CAGTGGTTTCTCGCTGCCCTCGGCTGAGTCTGGGAGCATTCAGCTCCCGTCAGCTAGGAGAGGCCTGCATGCTCGGGCCTCCGGCGGAGCGCCCATGCTCCCACTCGCTGGGCGGGAAAGCTTTTGCCTGGAATTCGGTGGCCCCGGGATAAAGCCCCAAGTGCCCACAGTTAGGCCTGGGTCCCTCTGCTGCTGAGGCTCTTCCGTATCCCTCCAGGCTCAGACCTGTGGACAGACCTAACCGGGTTGTGTCCCCACGCCTGGCCCCAGGGAAGGGGAAAGGGCCTGAGCTATAGTGCCCGACAGACCTGGCCAGTGGGGGAGCCACAGGACTGCGGACAGGGGCCACTTTGGTCCTCAGTGCCTCAGTTGTTTCCCCTGTGAAATGGGTTGTGGTAAGGACCAAGTGAGCTAATGCACGGAAAGCCCTCAATACACAGAAGTTGGCCAGGAACCGTAGTCCCGGAGATGCTGCTGGAAGGCGGGCGTGATGATGCTGTTTCTCCCACCGTCACCTGCAGGACTGAGCGTGCTCCGTGACGGGTGGAAAGCTTGTGGGCCTGTGCTGACACCTGCTGGCCACCTGCCTTCTAGCCCCGGGACCAAAGGCTTTGTAGCTAGAAAGGTTTTCTGCTTCTGTTTTGGTAGAGACGGGGCGGGGGGGGGGGGGGGGGGGCGGGCATTGTCGCTTCTGCCTGAGGGGGACTTTTGGACGACCTTGAGGCCAGGCTGGGCAGCAAATTACTGCAAGGGAGGGCTGTGTGGAAACCCAGCAGTTAGAGCAGAGTGTCCCCGAAGGAGGGAGCTGCAGCCAAGAAGCCTATTCATTGGGTCCAGATGACAGGTACTGGCCTCTGCCGGGGGTGAGTCCACGGCGCCCCTTCCAGCCTCTGACTCTGAGCTGACGTTTACGGACGCACTGAGAGTGGCCGGGCGGCGCACAGAGCTTCTTAACTGAATTTTCCTATTGGGTCTATGTATCCTGGGAGGTGGCCCTCGGTGGCTCTGAGGCGGGGGAACAGAGTCCTTGAAGGGTCAAGCCCCGGGGCCAGCGTCCCGCAGCTGGCTAGGATTCGGGGCAGGCCGCCTGCGTCACTTGGCCCCGCTGCGCCTCGCGTGCCAATGCGTGCAAGACGCAGGACGGTACCCACCCAACAAACAAGCTGCTCAGAGCCCAGCACGCGGTCCCCAGGGGGCCCTGTCCGCTCCGGGCCACGCGCTGCGTCTGGCTGGTTGAGGAGCCGCTGGACCGTTTTCCAAAGTGGTTGCACCACTGTGTGTTCCCGCCGGCAGTGCCTGGGCCTTCTCGTTTCTCCAGCTCCTCGCCAACATCCGTCCTTTTGCCTGCAGCCACCCGGTGTCGGCAGGGGACAGGGGGCTGGACGTGGCCTCTCCTGTGGTTTTGATTTGCATTCCCCCGGTGGCTGATGTTGTTGAGCATCTTTACAGGTGCTTGTCGTCCATTTGTGTCTCTTCTTTGGAGATAGAATCCCCCCCTTCCCCACCCCCCCATACAACAGTGTGGGTTGGAAGAAGCGGAGCATCAGGGGTAAGACCAGAGTTTAAGTTTGCCAAGGAAGACGCCAATGACGGGCTTCTGACCGAGTCCTCGTCAACTTAATCCTGGTTCATTTTGGCAAAACCCTTTATCTCCTTCCCTCGGCCACTCACTCCATCCCACAACACGGAGGCCGCAACCCTCTTCCCGCCCGTTGCTGGTTTGGTGGCTCTGGCCACGAACCGTAGGCACTCCTTGGAGAAATCTGTGCTTCAGCTCCTGGCTCGCATGCCGTTTTCTCCAGTACTTTAAATGATACCCCACATTCCTGTAGGGCCGGGCCAGGCCGGGAAGGACACCTTGCCACCTGCTGCCCCAGAGGAGTGAAAGCAGACCCTCCCACTCCTCCAGAACCCTAATTACCATCATGTTTCTCCACCGCTCCCCACTTGGCAAATGGACCATCTGTTACCTCTCTGATGGAAGGGGTTTGCTGCAGAGCCCAGGGGTGATCGTGGTCTCCCTGAGATCCAGCTCTCGAATGAGAAGCCCCGGGAAGGCAGCGGGTCACCAAGTAACCCCAGGGCACACGGGCTGGCCCGTACTCTAGGATGGATAAATCTTTATTAAGTGAACAGGTAGATGGAGCTGACCGTCTCTGAGCACCTGCTCTGGGCCAGGCACTCCCGTTTTACCATCCTTCGTCCTTCCAACACATCCCTCGAAGCAGCTATTTACTATTCCCATTTTCGAGGTGAAGACACTGAGGCTCTGAGACTCGGGGCCAGTGGCCCAGGTGGGGCTTGGAACGGGGCTGACGCCAAACCTGGTGTCCGTGGTCAACCAACGCAGCTGCCTCTCTCCTCAGGTACTACGCGCCCCCGGGACCTACCTCAGCTTCCTCGGCCCAGCCGGCCCCCGCCGAGTGGCCCCCCCCAGCCCCGCCCCGCCTGCCCAGGGCGCCCCGACACTCCATCCAGCTGAACCTGGAGGACCTAGAGGAGCTCAACAAGGCCCTGAACCAAGCCGTCCAGGCTGCGGAGAACATCCGCTCCACCACCAAGCAGATGAGCCGCTCCCTGTCCGCCGACCTGCGCCAGGCCCGAAGCCTGCGGGGCTCCTGCCTCTTCTGACCTCACTGGAGACTCAGCAACACAGGGTGGCCGGGTGGGCAGGCGGCCTGCTGCTGTGCCCCGGGCCGGGAGGCTGGAGCCACTCCCGAAGGCCCCACAGACCCCTCCTGAGAGTCTCCTTCTAGCCCAAGCCCTGCCCGCTCCGTGTTCTCAGCGTGGACGGGGCGGGGGGGTGGGCCTGGTCATCGAGAGGAGCAACTTCCCAGGGGACCAGCCCCTGCAGGAAGTGCTGGACCGAGCCCGCCTTCTGCCCAGATGGCCTCTGGATGGGGAGGGGGGGTCTCCTGGTCCTGCACTGTCCACCTCTGGCTAATAATATGTATTTTATATACAGATGGACAGATTTTTTTTTTTAAACTGAGTTTTCCTGGTCTTAGATCCAAGCCAGAAGGCCAAATAAGAAGGGACAGGGCCAGGGTCTGTGGTGCAAACCTGCCTCCTGCGACTAGCCACTCCGGAGTAGGCATCTCTGGGAAGGGACGTGGCTGTGCACTTTCCTCCTAGTGACTGGTGGTCAGTAGGGCCCTTCGACGCCATTGAAACGTCCAGATGTCGCGTCCCCAGGATGACGTGCACCCCGCTTCTCCGCGGCTGGAGAGGCCTTTCCCGTGGACCTGCTGGGGAGGGAGCCCCCCCGGGGAGGGCCCAGGAAGCTTGTCCCCCATGGTCCCTCTCTGTACCTCATCCCGGCACCCTCGGCTCTGTCCCTGGGATCCCCGTGGCATCGGGCTAGCGGCCAGTGACCTGCCAGGCCCCGCTCTGCAGCCGGGAGGCCACCCCACCTCCGGCTCCCCAACTTGAAGCAGCACGTACCTCAGCTTCTCTGGAATGTGTATGCATCGGTGATATTTGTATATTTGAGGCATTTAAAAATCTATTTTCGTTATGAGGGCAAATGAAGAAGAATGAATATTGATCTTTTAAAAAAAGAGAAAAGAAAAAAAAAATTCCCAAAGCTGCCCACATCTGTGGTGTGTGTTGTCGTCGTCGACTTGTGGTTTCTTGACTCAAGATTGTGGGGCGGAAGATTCGAGGAGGAGGACCCTGACCCTTCCCCCGGGGGCACGTCTCACTCCGAAGTCTCTCTTGTCACCTCTCTGGCGTTCCTAACCTCTGAGCCTTTCTCCCCGACGCCTGCTGTGCCTTCCCTCCTGGGGTCTCTCGTCCGCCTCCCCCGCTCACTCCTGCGCCCCCCCGCCCAGCGCCCACCAGGACACGCTCCCATTGCACTTGTCAGCAGGTCATCATCTGGAGTTGAAAGTGGCAATCAGCCGAGAAGGGATCTCTTGTAGGCTCTGAGCGTCCGAGGCCAGCCCGTGCTGGGTGCCAGCAGGCTGCTGCGGGGCGATACGGACGGGAATGGGGAGCCCAGGCGGGGCGCAGGGGTGGGGGCCCAGGACGGCGTCCCCAGCCCCTGCCCCGGGCACAGCGTGGCTCCAGCTGTGAGCAAGGGGACGCGGGATCCTGGGCCTGGGCAGCCTGGCTCTCGGGAGGGCCACAGGACTGGGCGTCAGGTGCCCGGGCTCCGATCGGTCACCCTGGCTGCCTGAGCCCCAGGGCCCCCGCCTGCCCGCCCCCCCAGGTGGTGGTGCTCCCCGCCCAGGATGGCCCCCTCGACGCCATCGGGTCTGTGAGGAAGCCCGCCCTCCTTGCTGGACTCTCGATTTGGGGGGCTCGGTTCTCTTTGCCGCACGAAGTGGGCCTGCCTCCAACAAGGCCCCCCCTCGAGGGCTCCGAATGCATTTGCAGGACGGCGGGCTTCTAGGGGCCGATGTCACCCCAGTTTCCTTGTGGGCACCAGACGGGCCCCCCGAGGATGCGTCACAGAGCCCCTCCGGCTCGGCCCCCGGGCCTCTGCGCCTCCCCGTCCCGCCCCTGCCCGGCCACCCTCCTCTTGCTGGGACGCTCACAGTGGCCCCGCCAAAGCCTTTCTGCCTCCAGGCTCCCCAGACGACCAGGGTAACGTCTGAGGTGAGGCCCCTGGTGCTTGGCACCACCACTCGCCTGGCTCTGAGCTGCCCCCACCCTTCATTTCACCTGACTCCCCACCAGAGCCCCTGCCTCGATGTTTCTCCAACCCGTCCTCTCAGATCCTTGGCCTGCAGCTGGAGCAGCAGGTGTTAGCAGCCCCAAAGCTTTCTAGGCTGGCTCAGATGCCCCTTCCAGGAAGCCTTCCCAGCCTTCCGCTGCAGGAGAAACCTCCCCAGGTGCTGGGCTCCCACAGCACTCGGTGCCTATCAGGGTGCCGGCTGTGCTGGGTGTTACAGCGGGGGGCAGGGGCGCACCCCGCGGCCAGCCGGGGCCCGGCTCAGACCGGCAGGCTGCCCCACGTACGAATGAGTGAGTGACTGAATGAGCCAACGACGACCTGCCTGTTACAAATGCAGAAGCTTTATTGATGCAACTGAGACCAAAACCTGAGATGTCCAGAGGGTGGGGGCGTAGGGCTGGGGATGGGCCCCACTGTCCCCAGGGTCCTAGCCCAGCGTCGTGTCTGCCTCCTGCTCCTTCAGCCTCTCCTCCTTGTGCCGCTTCTCCACCGGCCCACACAGATCCTAGAGGGCGGCGAGCGGGGTGCACGGTGACGCGGGTTGAATGGGAAGTATCAGGGAGACTATTAGGCGGGTGATTCTCCCTCACAGCAACAATCCTTGGGGCCCTTTGGGTGAAGCTAACAACCGCGATACCAGCTGCCACCCGCGGGGGTCGGACGGCTGGGGTGTGGCCGCAGTCCTCAGTGGTGATCACCCTCGGGTGTTTCTTTGTCCCGTTCCCGCCCCCCCCCAATCCCTGCCATCCCTCCTCCCTCCCAGGCCTCACCCCCGCCCTGGACGTCCTGCCTGTTTCGCAGGGACTTTTCCCTCCTGGGCCCCCATCCCCATGGGCTTCCAGAAGGCTCAGCCGTCCCTGCCGTGAGGCAGGTGCTTGAAGGTAGGACGTGGTGCCTCAGCGCCATACGGTCGTGGCCGGCAGCTCTCCCTGTGTGGGCCCCTGGGGCTGCCCCCCACCCCGGGCAGGATCACCCCGATGCCGGGCACCTCTAATCCTCCTTGTGTTCACCTTTTTCTCATTGGTGTACGCGATCTCCGACTTGTGCAGGTCCACACATGTGAGAGCTTCGTGGAACACCGTCATTTGCTCCTGGGTCACTTCGGGCTTCCTGGCTGCAGGAGGGAGCAAGGGGGCTGGGTCTCCCTGGCGGGGTGGGGGGGGAGGCCTGGGGTGCTGGGGGCCCAGCCGCAGGGGCAGGCGGTCTGCTGGGTGAGGGCTGGGCGGGGTGGAGGTTGGAGGGGCACCTACTGTACAACGATAGCCCCTTGCGCTGCTCGTCTTTCAGGGAGAAGCCAAGCATGAAGAGCTCAGGATCCTTGGTGAGCAGGAGTATGCCAAAGTTTTCTTTGCCAGACTCTGGAGAAGAGAACTCTGGGTGAGGCCGCACGGCACGATGGGTCCCGATCCCAGGCGAGGAACCCTGGGGGCGCCCACGGCCACGAGGTCACCCGGGACGCACACCCCTCGCTCCTCCCGTGTGCCAGGCCCTGCGCTGAGATGTGGAGTCGGGGGAGCCTTATGCGGACCATGACTGTCAGGGCCTTTCTCCCCATTTTCCAGACAGGAAAGTAAGGCCCAGACAGGGGCCTCGGGGCTGCTCAGGGGCTGTTGGTTTAAGCCCGTCAGCATTCGTGTGCCCCTCGATGCGCCCTCTCTGGGGTGACGGTGGGGGCACGAGTGAGGTCACTGCCTGCCTGACACAGACTGCCACCCTCTGAGCCCAAAGGATAAAGAGTGGTTGAGAGAGGCAGGACTGCAGCCAGCCTTGACTTTGCATTCTAGTTCTAATAGGCTGCGTGACTCCAGGGAAACTGCTCGACATCCCAGTGTCTCATCTAATCCCGTAATGTCCTCCTGGGGTTGTTTGTGAGTATTAAGGGATTAATTCTAGTAAAGTACGGCGAACAGCGCCTGGCACATGGAGCGCAGATATGTGGGCAGTCCTTACCGGTTATTGCAGCGTGCGGGCCCCAGGACCTCGGGAGCATGGGCCTGTCCCGTGTTCTCCGAGCCTGAGCCCCGGCACGTCCCCACTTTGGGCGGGCCCCCCCCAACCCCCCGCCACCCCCCCCCACGACGCCCAGCAGCCCTCCTGCCCCAGCGCTGGTCCTTACCGTATTTGGACACGGTCCCATTCTCCCGCTGGACATTCAGAAAGCTGCTGTTATAGACGCACTGGTTCCCACTAAAGCCAGACAGAAGAGGGGAGAAAAACAGGAGAAATATGGATGATCACTGGTCACTACCATCGAGGGGCAAGAGTTGCTGGCGATTTGTCAGCCCTCCCCATTCTGTGGATGGAAAGACTGAGGCTGGGAGGGAGCAGGGAACTGCTCAAGGTTTTCCAGCAGCTAGGAGCAGGTGCCTGGGGCCGGGGGTGAGCCTGCAGGTGGGGGTCTTACATGGTTAGGTACTCTCTGAGCAGGATTGTGTCATCTGTATGGTTGACGTCAAAGTAAAAGAAGGCCGCGTGGATCGTTCTAGCCGAGTGATTGAACTCCGGGTCACGGAAGGCCGAGCCGATGTAAAACCACTTGCCAGAGATCTGGGGGGAAGCCAAGAGCCGGATGATGGAGGCCAGGAGCCGGATCCCCCTGCTAGCCAGGGGGCAGGTCTCACCGCACCCCTCCTTTTGCAGCCAGGTAGTCTGGGGCCCCCGGCGAGGAGCTCATGGTGAGGTTCCTCCTTGCCCAGGACAGAATGTCCCCTCTGAGGGACCTTGCAATGAGGCTTCTGAGTTTGGAAGCAGAAGAATGCTGCCAGAGGCTGGTCGGAATGTCGCCCCGGGACCCGGGAGAGAAATGGGCAGAACCAGGCCAAGGGGCTGACCACAAGCCAGCAGGAGGAAGGGAAGCCCAGGGCGCTCGGGGGCCCAGGGACGCACCTGCTCCAGCGTGGCGTTGGTGATAGGCCTCGCCGTGAGGTTGGCACACCCCGGGCTCTGGGCTTCCAGCAGGGGAAGGAGGCTCAGGGCAGTGAGGGCCCAGGACAGTGCCATGCCTAGACGATGGGTCCCCAAGCCGGCCGGAGCTGGCAGCCGGGCGGCGCAGCGCCCTTTATAACGGGCTGTGTGTGGGCAGAGCCCTGGGGTGCCCTTGTGACACGCTTGCGAAGTGCCCCACACGCATCCTTCCCGCCTTTCCACACAGCCAGCGCTAGCCGAAGCCTCCGCCCAGCCTCGGTGTACTCCGGATCGCTGGCCGGAAGGCCTACCGGGGCCCCAAGGCCTGGCCAGTCAAGGCCAAGGTGGGCATGGGCTGGAGCGCTCGTTATGAAACCTGTGTGGCAAGCCCTGCGGTGCTGGTTTGGTTTGGTTTTGAGAGCTCTTATGTTCCGTACCCAATCCGCGTCCCACTTGGGCAGCCAGACTGGGGCGAGGCCCACCTGTAAATCAAATGCTGAAGGCGATAGTTCCCAGGCTAGGTGGGGTGCGTGGGGGATGGGATGGGGAGCGGGCGGGGGTGAAGGCAAACCTGGATTCTATCCCAGCTGAGTGTGGTAACAGCTGGGAGAGCAAAAGTCCAGTGACGGGGACCGTGGGCAGCAGGCGGCGGGTGGGGGGTGAGGGGGGTGGTTGGTTGCCCAACGCAGCCTGGAAGCGGGGAGCCCGTGAAGCAGTCCCTGGGAGGCAGGGATGCTTCCCAAAGCAGGAGGTGTCTAAGTTATATGTCTATTACCAGTAAAGGCAGCATTACCTGACCGAGCTCCCAACATCCATAGCGGGAACGTGTGGTCTCCACCGCCCACCGTGGGTGTCATCACCAGCAGGTCCCCCACCCTGGACAGTGCCCCGCACTGCAGAATGAGCACGTCCACAGGGAGAGTCCGCCCGGCCGGGACAGATCTTTAGCCCCACGAACAGATACTTCCCCCCCAAAAAGCCTTATCATGTGACGCTTTCAATTCTGTATCCTTATTCATCTCATAGATTCTGGGTCATTTTTCATGTTTCAGTGGAAGTTAGTGGTTGTAGTTGTAATGGACGGATGACCCCATTGTGCTCCTCCCAGCTTCCAACGTCCTTAATGATGTGCTCGCTCTCTGCCTCTGGTCTCTGATTTTACTTTTCCAGCTTTATTGAGCTACACTTGTCTATGACTTTTCACATGGTGAGGTTTCCTCAGATGCTAAGTGTCGGAAAAGTGACCAAATCGCCTTCTCAGATTACCCTCCCATTCAAGAGGAAGAAAACCACGTCACATGCAAGACTACAGTGTCATTCAGAATAGCCCAAGACGAGGAACAGCAGTTCAGATGCCCGTCCTCGGGAAAATGGGAAACACGCGTCGTGGCGTCTTCATAAATGGACTATTCCTCAGCGATAAAAACCAACTACGGGTGTAGGAGACAACACGAATGACTCGGAAAATCTTAGGCTGGCAAAAGAAGGCAGACTCAATAAGGTACATAGTGTCTGGTCCCATTTAGAGAAAGTTCTAGCATGGACCAAAGGAGTCTACAATGGCAGCTATCAGATCGGTGGTCGCCTAGGGCAAGGAGGCCAGTCTAAGAGCCCAAGGTGGTAAGAGCACTTTCTGGATAAACGGCAGTGCTCCGCGAGTCCACGGGGTGGTTATGTGCATGATGTGCATTGGTGAAAACTCAGAGTTTTAGGCTTAAAATGTGCGCATTTTATTGTATACCAATTATACCTCAATTAAGTTGATTAAAAAAAAAAACTGTCTTCCCAAACGGAGAAGACAAAAAAAAAAAAAAAAAAAAAAACTAATGCTGTTTAATGTCCCTTTCTCCACATCCTTGTCAGAAGTGGAATTCACCTTCTTCTTCTTCTTCTTCTTCTTCTTCTTCTTCTTCTTCTTCTTCTTCTTCTTCTTCCTTCTTCTTCTTCTTCTTCTTCTTCTTCTTCTTCTTCTTCTTCTTCTTCTTCTTCTTCTTCTTCTTCTTTCTTTGCCAGCTCACTTGGTGTTTTGACTTTGCACTGCTCCCATCTGAGTCTTGAAACAAGGATCGGAGCTTGTAGGCAGGGAAGCGCGGAGGCGAGAGAGTGCGTGGCACGTGAAGTGAAGGACGTAGGGTCGTGAGGCCGGCAGTGGGATGACTGGGGGCTGGGGTGGGGTGGGGTGGGCGGTGCTGGAGAGGTTGGCGGGACCGAGCCTGCAGGGCACAGAAGCCGGACTGGGGAATTCGCAGTGGACCCTGCAGGCATTAGGAGAAATGGAAAGAGGGAAAGTGGGGCGGAGATGAATGAATAATCAGATTTGCTCTTTAGGAAGATCCCTTTGTCTGCAGAGGGCCGAGGTAGGGGGACAACTTGGGGCTGTCTCAGCAATGGTCCAGGTGCAAGACGGCAGGACTGGGGACACATTTGAGACACTGCTTATCTCAAGGAGAAGCTGATGGTTATATGGGGACAGCACCACCACTGCCCCGGCCACCGGGGCTCCTGCCCAGAGCCCAGAGCTTTAGAGGCTCTCGCATATCGCACATGCATCCGTACCCATGTGGGCACACGTACGTGCATGCACGCACAAAACTCATTAAATAACACAGAAGCACCTCTGTCCCTTGGGATCTTGTGCCCTAAACATCCTTCTTCACGACCGATGCTCTTCAGGCCCCAGGGAAACCATTCTTCCCTCTTACACCCTCTCCTTGCATCGCATGTGACGGCCCGGCCCGATGTCTGGTGAGTAGCGTGGAGAGAAAGGAATGCTTTCTCTTACAGCGGGTAGACGGAGAGCCACTCCCCAGGAGTGAGCGGTCCTCACTGTCACTCGGGGACCCCTCGGAGAGGTGCCCTCCCCTCCCGAGAGCCTCTCCAAGTGGTTCCTCCATGTGCACCCAGCGCTCCCCCGACACAGTGCGATTTTCTCCGTCGTCTTACATTTCAAGGATGCTTCAGTACCTCCGTGGATTGAGGGTCTGGCCAGCCCTCCCGACCCCGCCCCTCCATCTGGCCCCAGGCACAACGTCGAGACAAGGTTGGTGGAAAACAGAAAAGCGATCAGGGTCACGCAGGATGGTGGTGAAGTATCGTCCTAGCTTGACCACCTGTGAGCCATGTGACCCTGGGCAAGTTACTCAGCTTCCCTGTGTCTCAATTTACCCCATCTGTAAAATGGGGATATGGATTGTGGCTATTCGAGCAGGTTGTCAAGCGGACTAAATCAGTTCACATTTGTAAAGTGCTTGTTACACGAAACACACTTGTTTCTCAGAGTCCGCCGGCCCTAATAACCATCACCGTCAGTGTAATGTCAAGCTGGGCTAAGGAGAAAAGAAGACAGCCTCCTGCATTACAGAAATACTTCCAGGGCTGCAGGTTACATCCCCCATCTAAAGACATCAAAATGCAAAAAAAAAAAAAAAAAAAAAAAAAGTCAATAGTAGGCTCGAGAAAATTGGGTACTTTCCCCATCGGCTGGATAAGGAAACAAAGGACTCAGAGAGGTCAGGTGAAAGGTGAGGTTACATCATTGGGGCAATGCACCCGCTTGACAGGCTCGTCTCCGGAAAAGCCACTTGATATGGGTTTCTCCCTCCAGGTCAGGGCTCAGCTCTGTGTCCGACGACTGGTTCGTGGTCTTCCACGTGAACAGCCGCAGCGACTACATCGGCAGAGCAAAAGATCCTAATTAGGACCTTTGTGTCTGGGCCGAGAAAACCCTCGACAAGACTTGCTCACGTTCAGACCATGTGTTGTGATCTTGGCCAACTTATTATTTTTTTAAAGATTTTATTTATTCATTCATGAGAATACAGAGAGAGAGAGAGAGAGAGACGGACAGACAGACAGAGAGGCAGAGACACAGGCAGAGGGAGAAGCAGGCTCCATGCAGGGAGCCCGACGTGGGACTCGATCCCGGGTCTCCAGGATCACGCCCTGGGCCGAAGTCGGTGCTAAACTGCTGAGCCCCCCGGGCTGCCCTTGGACAACTTATGTAACCTCTTCAGACGTGGCTTCCCTCGTCTGACGAGCCGGTGCCGTGACATGTGTCTCAAGAGGGTCGCGCACAAGAACGAAAGCGTACTGCGCTCAACCGGGCTCCTGCTCGTCCCAAGTGTGCAAGACTCCGTAGCTGCTATTTATGCGGAACCATCCGACACCGCATTCTTACGGAGCAGGTGGATGTCATTCAGACTCAGACGAGTCGCCCTGCTGCTAGAGAACAGCAGCTCCGTGTGCGGTAGCAAGCAGGAAAGGGCATAGCACCCCCATTTTGCAGAGGGAGCAACTGAGGCCCAGAGGGAAGGAACGACCCAGCCAAGGCCACGTCCCAGTCAGGAAGCTGGGACTGGAATCCACCTGCCAGCCTGTCCCCTTCTTGCTCACCCCCCCTCCTCCCAGCACGGGCGGCTGGTCACTGGGGGCAAGTGACGGTCCATGGCCGTGGCTCGATTCGCTGTGGACAGAGCAAACACAGGATTGGCCCCACCTGGGAAATCCAGTCTGTCGGCTTCCTGACACTCGGTTGTGCAACAGGAGACAGGGAACCACAGCTGCTGCCGGCCCCCCAGGAGCTGCCTTTTCTGTTCCCCGATAACTTCTTACCCTGCCCCTGCCGGGAAGGAGCTGGCTCGGCTTCAGAGGCCTCACTGGCCAGCTCCCGGGGCCCCTGGAATGCCCACGGACAGTTGTGAGTGTCGCAGTTTTAACACGGCCATCCTTCTCGTCCCCCATCTTCCTGGCCCTCCCGTCCCCTCCGGCTCTTCAGAGCCTCGCGGGGGCTGCTGACACCTCTGGAGCTCTGACCGGCTCAGCCCGCCGCCCCCGGGACAGCCCTGCAGGGCCCCGCTGCAGCTCAGCCCAGCCCCGCTGTCCCCTGCCACCCGCAGCCTTGTCCTCTTCCCGGCCCAGGGCTCTGGGGCTCCCCCACGCTACCCTGTGGCATCACAATGAACGGCAAGTATACTGTTCCCCAAACACAGAGGCCACCTTTACTCCCCAGCCTCGGCGCTGGTCCCTCTCCTCTCCGTGTCCTTCCCCCACACACACACGGCAACCCTTTATTCATCCTCTACCGGCCTCAGCGTGGGATGGCTAATTATACGTGCCGAGTTAATAGGGCCATGGGGCACCCGAGTACTTGGCCAAACATTCCGGGCATATCTGCGAGGGTGTTTTTAGGTGAGACCGACGTTTGAATGGATAGCCCGCAAAACAGATTGCCTCCCCCGCCCCCGCTCCCCACCCCGCCACCAAGTGTGGGTGGGCCTCGTCTCATCAGTGGAAGGCCTGAATAACACTGAAGGTCTGAGGAAGGGGGAACTCCTCCTGCCTGACTGGGTGAGGTGGACGTCAGTGTTTCCCCGCCTTTAGGAGACACCGGTTCTTCCTCGCTCTCCCGCCTGCGGGCCGTTACGTTAGAACAACATTGTCGGCTCGCGTGGGCCGTGACTTGGCCAGCTCGGTCTGCAGATCTTGGGACCTGCCAGCGATCAAAGTCACGTGAGCCCATTCCTTACAATAAATCTCTTCAGGGCCCCTGGGGGGCTCAGCGGTTGAGCGTCTGCCTTGGGCCCAGGGCGTGACCCCGGGGTCCCGGGATCGAGTCCCGCATCGGGCTCCCGGCATGGAGCCTGCTTCTCCCTCGGCCTGTCTCTGCCTCTCTCTCTGTATCTCTTGTGAATAAATAAATAAAATCTTCAAAAAAAAAGTAAATGAATCTCTTTACACACATCCTACCGGTCCCGTCTCTCTGGAGACCCTGGTTAATACGAGTGTCACCCCTGACTACCCTTCTGCGCCGACGCTGCCTCGGGCACGCTCTCATTTTGCTCCCACGCCCTCAGCCCCCCATCGGGCCTCCTGCCCCCGGCTCTCCCCGCCCTTAACCACACAAGGTCCTGCTCCTCCAGCTGCCCCCCCCCCGCCAGAATCAGAGCCCCTGAGTCCCCCTGCCGGGCCCGTCCCTGTAACTCCAGCACCCACATACGGCCTGGCACAGGAGGGGAGCTGCTGAGACATGTCAAGGGGCTGTTCCAGCGAGCATAGCTCAACCAGTTCGAGTGCCTCCAATGTGCTGTACTCCGTGGCTGGAGGGAGGGCAGGATCCATCCCCGGCCCTCACAGAGCTTCCCGCGGGGACAACGCACGTCAGAGTGACCCAACCTTCCCATCTGCAGAATGGGAAGCATGATCCAACAGCGGGGCGGGCTCTCTGGGGGCGATCGCACAGGGCAGGCCTCAGGAAAGGATTCAAGAAGCGGGACGTCCTGTCTCAGTTTCATTTCTGGTGAATTTTGAAAGAAATGAAAAGAACATTCTTTTTCTTCTTTTTTCTTATTTTAGATTTATTCATGAGAGACACAGAGAGAGAGGCAGAGACACAGGCAGGGGGAGAAGCAGGCTCCCTGCGGGGAGTCCGATGCAGGACTTGATCCCAGGACCCTGGGATCACACCCTGATTTGAAGGCAAATGCATGACCGCTGAGCCCCCCAGGTGCCCCCCAAAGAAATAAAAAGAACATTCTTATCTCATTTCCAAGGTTTTTTCTCCCCCCAGTTTTAGAAGACCATTTTCCAGATTTAGGAAATAGTGTAAGGCCCCAATTCTTGAGACTTGAACAGGTTCTAGACTCTTCAGGGAGGCTTATTAAATCATGGATCGCTGGGCCCCACCTGGGACTTTGTGATTCAGTAGGTTTGGAAAGGGGCTGAAAATTTGCATCAGTAACCAACTCGCAGGCTAATCCCAGGGGGCCACGCTGAGCCCCACTTGTCAGCAGTGTGGGGTTTGAATGGAAGCTTCGCCCCGGCCTCGGGAGGTGACCTCGGGCACTGCACTGGGCTTCAGTCACAGTGTATGTAACGTGACAGGGTGTACCTGGGACGTGGGACTCTCCAAGCCCTTCCAGACCACGAATCCCGGGCTCTGCAGACGGGACTCTCCGATCCACGGCAAAGCAGCAGCACCTGGTGCTCGGTGCTCGCTGCCTGGGGCAGGTGCCAGGTGCAGACAGAGGAGTGGAGGCCCAGCTGCATGTGTACTAATGACCTGGATACTTAGAGCAAGGTTTTTGGGTTTTGTTTTGTTTTTTTTTAGATTTTGTTTATTTTTAAAATATTTTATTTATTTATTCATGAGACACACACACACACACACACACAGAGAGAGAGAAGCAGAGACACAGGCAGAGGGAGAAGCAGGCTCCATGCAGGGAGCCCGATGTGGGACTCGATCCTGGGTCTCCAGGATCACGCCCTGGGCTGAAGTTGGTGCTAAACCACTGAGCCACCCGGGCTGCCCAGATTTTCTTTATTTGTTTGAGAGAGTGAGCACAAGCAGGGGAGGGGGCAGAGGGAGAGGGGGAGAGGGAGAAGCAGACTCCCCTCTGAGCAGGGAGCCCAGTGCCGGGCTCCATCCAGGACCCTGAGATCATGACCTGAGCCGAAGGCAGACGCCTAACCCACTGGGCCACCCAGGCGCCCCTCGAGCAAGGTTTTAATACATAAAATCCCAGCTATGAGTTCAACTGCTTGCGATTTGTTCTTTCTCCTCGGGGAGAAGGGCAGAAAGGCTCGGGTTCACTCAAGGTCCCACGGTGGGAGGACCAAGCTGAGAGAGGAAGAACTGCACCGAGGGTCAGGAGATACGGGTTCCAGGTCCAGCAGGTATAAATATGTCCTAATATATCCCGGGTATCACATGGGGGCCACACGCATGCTAAAAATAATTAGCTATTGTGTATCTGAAATTCAAATCTATTCACATTTATCTGGGTGGTCCTGTATGTTTATTTGCTAGCTCTGGCTAATTATCTCTCAGATTCTCACCGGCTCCAAGGCAGGTGTCGCCGTGGCCTGTCTCAAGCATCTCCCAGGTAAGGAGCAAACGCTCCTATTTGTGGAAGCACCGTCCACAAGCCCCGCAAGAAGGAAACAACGCAAACGTCCGTCAGTGGGTGAATGGATAATCAAAGTGCGTCCCGTCCGCACAGTAGGATATTATCGAGTCATAAAAAGGAATGAAGTACTGGACGGATACACACCACAAGAACGAACCTTGAAATCCCGCTACGGGAAAGAAGACAGTCACAGGAGGCCATACATCGTGAGCTTTCTATGGTGGGGAGCACACGTTAAATTGAACTTTCCCATGTGCAAAACAGGATCCCGTTTATCTGAGATAGGATTCCTCGTCTGTGAAATACCCACAGTAGGCAGAGTCGGAAATCCGGTTAGTGCTTTTCTGGGGCTTGGGCAGAGGGAAATGGGGAGTGACTGCTTCACAGGTATGGAGTTTCCTTTTGGGGTGATGAGAATGTTCTGGAACTAGGCAGTGGGGATGGTTGCACAGGTTGTACGTGGTGAGTATACGAAATGGTAAGTCTCCTGTGTGTGACTACGCTAAAAAAGAAAAAAGGAATCGCTCAAGTTAACCTCAATATACCTCCTCCCTGTGGGTCATGAGTTGAATCGTGTCCCACCCCCAAAAGATACGTCAAAGTCCTAAGCTTATTACCCGTGAACGTGGCCTTACATGGAAATAGTCTTTGCAGAGGTAATCAAGTTCAGATGAGGGCCCCTGGGGGGCTCTGGTTGAGCGTCTGCCTTTGGCTCAAGGCCTGATCCCAGGGTCCCGGGATTGAGTCCCGCATCAGGCTCCTTGCAGGGAGCCTGCTTCTCCCCCTGCCTGTGTCTCTGCCTCTCTCTCTCTGGGTGTCTCATGAATAAATAAATTAAACCTTTAAAAAAAAAACGTTCAGATGAGCTTATTAGGGTAGGTCCTCACCCAGTAGGACTGGTGTCCTTGTAAAAAGATGTGAGGACGGAGACGGAGCCGCACAGGGAGCAGGAAGGCCGGGTGGCTCCAGAGGCAGAGACTGCAGAGCTCCGGCTAGGCCCGAGGAACGCCCGCGGCCACCAGAAGCTAAGGTCAGGGGGCTCCCCTGGAAGCGCTGGAGGGACCACGGAGCTGCCACCCCTTGGGTTTCAGACTTGCGGCCTCCACCGGGGAGAGAATGCATTTCTGCTGGCTGCAGGTTTGTGGTACTGTCGCAGCAACCCTAAGAAACACATGCACCGTGGGACACCCCCCCCACCCGCCTGCTCCGGGGGAAGCAGCATCCTCTGAGCAGCTCCTGTCCCCTCCAGCCCCCCGCCCGGCCGGAACCTCCTCCGTCTGGGCTTTTCAAAGAAGCACACAGCCACCGATGCGTCGTTCCATTGCCTCAGTTTTAAATATTTATTTAAAATCCAGAAGGGAAAAGGAGAAACGGAACCCACTGGGGGTTTAACACACTGACATGTGGACAGACATATAGGAGGACAGGAGAAGATCCCGAGAACGAGACAGAGGCCAGGCGGTCGCTGGCGGGGGTGGGGGGGGGGAGCGGGGGCTGAGATGAGGCCCGAGCTGCTACAACACGCTTCGGTGGGGAGCGTCTGGGCTGGGGCGGGAGGGCGAGGCGCACAGGGAGTGTCTGGTGGGGAAGGTGGGCTGGACTGAGGTATTAAATAATGAAAATCAAATCCAATTCCCAAAGAAACACAACTTTAGAGAGAGAGAGAGAGAGAGAGAGAGAGAGAGAGAGAGAAAGACACAAATAGACGTTCACATAAAATTTCCCCTTCTAGAAAAATAATTCCATACTTAAAGTAACCTCCAAATCCAACTGGGTGCCGCCTGGTTCTCGGATATAGGACGGCTCAGACTGCACTGAGTCTCCCGATCACGCTGAACCCCGAGATCCCCATAATTATTCTTTCTCCTCAGTCCGCATTTACATTTGGAGCTAATGATGCTGGGTTTCTAGAGGATTGAGTGACGGTGGAAAAGCAAGAGTGACGGCCGCCTCTTGGAGGGGACAAGCTCCTGGGAGGGAGGATCGTGGGGAACGGTATTTGGGGAATGGTACGGGGCCTTGTAAGGCGGCTCCCGGTTGGTAGGTCACCTCCAAGGCCAGCGCCGACCCCGCACCGCTTTCTCCGAGGTCCAGGCTTCTCCCAGGACCCTCCAGTCTAGATCCCACCTTCCAAGACCAGCCTAACTTCCCTCCAAGGGGCCATGAGAGGCCAAGCCAAATCCTTGATGCTCAGGCCTCCCCCTGCCTGAAGAGGACAAACCTTTCAAAGTCCATAAATTAAAAATGTAAATCTTTCTGCTTCTGTTTCTGGAAGGTTTTTTTTTTTTCTTTTTTTTCCTTTTCCTTTTTTTTTTTTTTTTCCGGCTTTGCTTTTTTTGTTATTGTTGTTTTTTTTTTTTTCTTTTTCCTTCCCCTCCCCCCGCTGAGTTGATTACCTGACACGAGGGCGACACTAAGGACATTTTTAGATTCCCCAAACTTTGTCATTTGGAGGAGAAAGCAAAATGTGGACGATACTCCACATCAAAATAAATGGTTCTTCGAAGTCTGTAGCAAAAATGGTAGCACCTTCAAAATCTTAAATAGGCTTTTTTTTTTCCCCTTAAAAAAAAATCACATACACTATGAGACAATTGCGAGCACCAGCGATTTCACAGTGGGAGGTAGCTAGCATGGGCACCCCCGGCCCCGAGGGTCGTGCCGCCCCCCTCTCGGCCTCCACAGCATCCCACCCTCTGGCCGCTCCTTCTCTCACCTCTTTCCCAGGTGAAAAAAAAATAGTAATGCACCTTCTTTGTGTTTGTTTAAATAAAATATATATACTTCTTTCTTTCCTTTTCTCCTTTTTCATGTCTCCTCTCTAATATTGCACATCAAAGCTCCCTGGCAGGGACCAGCTGGCGAGATGCCCCCTCCCCTCAGGCGGGCTGGAACGTGGGGCTCTTTGGGCAGGAAGCTGGGGAGGGCAGGGGGTGGCCGCAGAGCTGGGAGACAGGCCGCGGGGCTCAGGCGGGTTGCAGGCCCAGCTGGCTCTGGCTGGCTCTTTGGTTGGTCTTTGGGGGACTGAGCTGGGACCAGCTGGTCCCAAGGATACCCAGTTCCCTGCCACCGCCCCCCGCCCCACCCCACCCCCAGCCACTCCTACAGGGCAGACAACAGCTGGGGCCTACCCAAGGATGCTTGGGCAGGTGAGCTGCCTCTCGTGGGCCCACCTGCCCCTAGGTACCCTCCTCTGGCCTCCTCCTCCTCCTCTTCCCTCCCTGTCGAGGCCTAGAGGAGCCAGGAGGTCAGAGGTCAGAGGAAGCACGCAGGTCCAACTTCGAGGCGGTACTGCTTCCCTGATGAGGCAGGAGGGAGGTTGTCCACACCGACAATGGGCAGCTGCTGGGGGTCCTGGGTCCGGAAAGTGAAAAGCGTCTGATGCCAGCGGCCGTCCTGGACCTGAGGGAGGCAAGAGCATCACCACCCTCATCGTCGACATGTGCGCGTCCCCATCCTGTTTCCCACCGTGCAAGGGACCCCTGGCATGTCACTGCAGCCACGACCTGCATGCGTCCACTGAGACTGCTTCTGCTACCTCCACCCTGGGAGGGAATGCACTCATGAATATCACCGTAGCTGCCCTCCTGGGCTCCTTTCCTGATTCCCCAGGACACAGTCTAGAAGCGGATTGGCGGGCTCCAAGGATCCGTACGTTTCTGAGGCTTTGCATCTCTGTGGGCTGCACGGGCCTACCTGGTCCCATTGCTCTGCCCTTTCCCGAGCTGCCCAGATCTTGTGTTTTTTAATAAATTGAAATTCAGTGGCAACCTTGTATGGAGCAAGTCTGTCCCGTCGTTGTTCCAACAGCATTTGCTCACTTTGCCACACCTTTTGATAATTCTTGCAACATTTCAAACTTTTTCGGTACCGTGACCTTTGTTCTGGCCACCTGTGATCAGTGATTGACTCACTGCGAGCTCAGGCGATGGTCAGCCTCTTTGATCGGTGACGTATATTTTAACTAAGGTATGGACATGGCTTTTGTAGGCACGGTGCTGCTACACACTTAGTAGACTGCAGTGTAACGTAGACGTAACTCCGATGTGCGCCGGGAAACCAAAAAAATCCATCACACTTACTTGATCGCCGCCTTCACGTTTTTGCCATGGTCTAGAGCCAAACCCACAATCTCTCTGAGGTATCCTCGTGTATACACAGCTGCAATCCCAAAAGCCTCTCCCAATTTTTTTTTTCCCCAAATAGCTTTGTGCAAGAAAGAGTGTGGCTTTCCCCACACACCCTCACTAACGTCGTGCATTACTAGTTTTGTTTAATCTTGCGAAACTCGTTTTGGGGACAAATGTCTGACTCCCTCTCCACCAACAACCCACACACTTGGTGGTATTGAAAAATAAGCAAAAATGTCAACAGAAGAAATTAGCCCGGCCAGGGCGGGGGCCGAGAGCATAGAAGTACATTCTGCTTCTACAAGCAGCCTGGCAAAGAGGTACAGCATCTATCAGCCCGTGCATTTTTTTTTCCCCAATCAGCTGGATCTTCTCTCAGTTTTCCCAGAGAGGATAGTGGATAAAAGGGATTTTATAAAACTGTTATAGGGACGCCTGGGTGGCTCAGCAGTTGAGCGCCTCCCTTTGGCCCAGGGTGTGATCCTGGAGACCCGGGATCAAGTCCTGCGTCGGCCTCCCTGCACGGAGCCTGCTTCTCCCTCTGCCTGTGTCTCTGCCTCTCTCTCTCTGTGTCTCTCATGAATAAATAAAATCTTTAAAAAAAAAGACCCAGAATCTCTAATAATAATAATAATAATAATATACTAATACAATATACCCTTCATACTAACGTACCAAGGCAATACAGCAGTATGTATTGTGCCGTCATATACGATTTTATTATAAAAACCCATCTTTTCAACTTGACTGGCCCCACGGGTTACCTTGCAGCCATCCATCGATACTTCTGGCCTGAACTGGCCCCCTGCTTCAAAGATCTGCCCATTCCAGGCCCGGAAGCGCACAGCCCGCTTGGCTGGGGCCTGCCCGGTGCCCTCCTGCCACACGGTCATGTTAAGGCAGTGGATGGTGATGTGCTGTGTCACCTCAGAGCTCAGCAGGTGCAGAAAGTTCATCTGAACCCGGCTGACAGCAAACTCGACCTGTGGCAGGGACACGGCAGTGAGGGAGGGTCAGGCCTGCTGCCCAAGGTTCTCGCAAGCCCTCCCCTCTCCCTGGAGGGCGTGCAGAGAAGCTCCTTCCTCGTAAGCATTTCCCGGCTTTGCTTCCAGACCGGTGGCCATCGAGTCGGGGAACTAAGGTCTGCATGAACTGGTCCACAGCCAAGGGGGAACAGGAAGGGAAAAAATACCAAGGCCTGGCCGACTGCAGGGCCCGATCTACGAGGGTCCTGAGGGAACCCGAGCCACCCTCCACTGCATGGGTGCGGCCAGGAGAAGGGGAGGGCATTGTCTTTGGAGCTGAGCTGGGATCCCAAAGCCCGGAGATGAAGAGGAACTAGCCCAAGGTCCGGAGGCTCTTCAAGTGCAGGAGAGATGAGAAGTGCCCTCCCCACTCTTTCTAAGTCCCAAGATGCCAGAGATGGCAGGGACACCCAACAGGGAAGGGATCTGCGACTGGAGCAGGTGCAGCGGGTGCAGCAGGTGCAGCGGGTGCAGCGGGTGCAGCGGCAGCCCTGCCGGCTGGCTTTTCTTTTTGTAAGGGAAGCGCCTGATTGAAGCGTTCATGGTCTGGCATCCACTTCAAGACTGCTATGGCGAATGAATGGAATAAATGTGATGCCAGCCGCAAGGCCAGGTGAAGAGCCTGCCCCACTGCCCTGAGGCTCCTCGTTTTATTTTTATTTTTTTAAAGATTTTATTTATTTATTCATGAGAGACCCAGAGAGAGAGAGAGGCAGAGACACAGGCAGAGGGAGAAGCAGGCTCCGTGCAGGGAGCCCAATGCGGGACTCGATCCTGGGACTCCAGGATCACGCCCCGGGCTGAAGGCAGATGCTCAACCACTGAGCCACCCAGGCCCGCTCCTTTGTTTTAGACACCAGGATTGCCAGAGCTGCCTGTTTGGGCCACTTGCTCTCTTTCTTCACATGCTTAACCTTCCCGCTCTCCTGTTTTAAATTCACCAATTTAAGAGCAAACCCGGGAAACCCTAAGCCCCCACCCTGGACCCCAAGAGAAGCAGAACCCCAGGCCCCTACTCTCTCTCTGTCTCTCTCTCTCCCGGTGACCTGGCTGTGTGGTCCCCAGTGTGCTGTGTCATTTCCAGGTCCTGTAATCACAGACCTCTATTTTTTCAAAGTTTCTGGATAGCGAAGGGCATCTTGCAATCATAATAAGAACCAGGAGGGCTGGTCCAGACACCACGTCGGTTATTGGTAGGCCGAGGCCAGTACGAAACAGGGGTCATTGCTCCTCATGGGGACGGCGACCCAGGTGGGCAGTCGTGTCACCAATGCAGGTGCCAACTCTGGCCTCAGCCCTCTGCCCGCCAGATTTGCTATGGGGACCCCAAACCTCCGAGCCAGAGTCAGAGAGGAAAGGGCTTGACTGGTGGGGCCCGGGGTGAGGTGGCCCCAGTGCCTGACACAGCATCTGGCACATGGTAGGGACCTAACAAGGCTTGCTGGCCAGCTGGCCCACATGGAGACGCTCAAACCCTGGGTCCGACCCAGTCGGCATGAGGCACCTCCCAGAGCCTCCCCAGGAGGGCTGATGGGATGGGAGGGGCTCTGGGTTCCTGCCTCCCCCCCTACAGGCAGGTGGGCTCCTCTCCCTGCAGCGTGAATCCTCCCATATGGAGGACTTGCCGCTACTGGAGACCCACAGTCCACTGTGGGGTACCGCGGATGGGGGAGTGACTGCACCCCACTGCCCCGCCTGCCCTGGCTTGTGGTTGAGCTGCCCTGAGCCCCCTCAAGTGCTCAGCCCAGAGACAGGCACATGGAAAGCAGGCACCGAACGTTAATTAAATATCTGCATACGCGCCTCGGAGACCATGACTTATTTTGTCCTGATGGTTCATGGTTCTCTGAGCCCGGCCAGCCTGGCCAACTGTGCTGTTTTAGATATTAGGCAGAAAGTTCTACCTGAAATAAGAACCATTAACATCACATGTCTTGAAAGGGTTTAGAAACCACAGATTTAGGGACGCCTGGGTGGCTGAGCGGTTGAGCATCTGCCTTTGGCTCAGGTCGTGATCTCGGGGTCCTGGGATCCAGCCCTATACCAGGCTCTCCACGGGGAGCCTCCTTCTCCCTCTGCCTGTGTCTCTGCCTCTCTCTCTGGGTCTCTCATGAATAAATAAGTAAAATCTTAAAAAAAAAGAACCCACAGATTTAGAACAAACCATTTCCCAATTTATAGATGAGAAAGAAAACCGAGGTTCATAAAGAAGCCATGGTCACGGCCCAGACCAAAATTCAGGTGGGCAGTGGCCCAGGGCAAGGTGGGCACAGAGAGGGCCAGTCGGGGGTGGGGGTGGGGAGCAGACTGCTACCTTGGAGGCTGTGATGGGCTTGAGGCACGTTTGTCCACCGTGCGTGAAGTTGCAGGAAACTTCGATGGTGTCGGATGAGCAGCCAAGGTTTGGATCCACCCAGTAGGTACCTGCAGGCAGCAGGGAGGGGGGTGGTATATGTACGTGAGGAGGAGCCCAGGGCCTGCTTCTGCAGGTGGACCCCAACCTTGTGACCCTCTGAGCCCCAGTTGGGCAATGGTGTCAAGAAAGGACGCGGAGAAGGATGCCAGGAGCCACTGAGATGGCAGGAAACGCTCAGGGCAGAGCTCACGGCTGGCGGGGCCCCTGGCGGAGCCACACGGCTGAGCACCTGCCCGTGTCCATCCTACAGAGGGGCCAGCTCAGGCTGAGAGGCTGAACCACTAGCCCGGGGACTTAGGGATCATCCAATTGAATGGGGTCTCCCCCAAGGCTGATGATCCTCCTAAGGCTTGCCGGGGGGGAGGGGGGTCAGGCTTCCACCCCGTCAGCTGGGCACGTCTGCTGGCATCGGTTTCCCCACTGGGCTCCCAAGGGAACGCACGGCCCCACAGCTGAGAGGACCGGCGCCGGTCCACCTTCTTGTCAGTGGAGGGAAGACGTGTGGACAGAAAGGGGGGGACATCCTGGCTCTCAGGGAATCCGTGGCAGCCTCCTCCTGCCTTGGGCGCTCGGCCTGCCCAAGCTCTTGTCTCCTTGCACTGGACGGTTGTCCCCACTTTCCCACACCCCAAGAGTCACAGGGTCCGTCTGCGTGTGAGGCTCGGGGGCTGTCGAGGGGAGAAGTGACTGCCTCACGCGCCTGTGTCCCCAGGGATAGACACTTGACCCCGGTGAGCCAAGACGGGAATGCTCCACGTCCCCAGCCCCTCCTGGAACGCCCCTGCCCCCCCCACTCCAGCCCCGGACCCCACAGGCCCTCATACCATCCACCATCTTCTGCTCACAGTCCATGAGGTCCCGGCAGACCCGGGCGGGGTTCTCTTTGGTGCCCAGGGGCGTCTTAATGCTCTGGATGAGGTTGCTGAGGTAGTGTAAGGTTTTAAAGATCTCCCCTCCCTGGTCCAGCACCAGCCGGTCCGGATGGCTGTAACCCTGGCACGGAGGAGAGCGGCTGGCCAGCGGCCCCCCGAGTCCCGGCCCCCCCCACCTACTCAGGAGATGCCCTGAGGCCCCAGGGGCATGAAGGGGCTCCCTCCACCTGACAGGCAAGGAAGCTGGGTGCCCCCCGGGGTGGGGGCTGCCGTGAGAGCTGGGAAGCTTGCCCGGGAAGGGGGCCCGGGCGGGCGGGCGGCCGGAGTACCTCTGCTTTCAGTGCTCCATTTGTGTCCATCCACGTCTGGAAAGCTGCGCCCAGGTCATCTTGCTGCTGTGCCCAGAGAAGACAGGCTGTGCATCCTGCCCCCCGGGGCCCCAGACTCACCGGGAGGGAGACCCAGGGCTGGAGCACGAGCTCTCCCACCCACCTGCCTCCTGCGCAGCTCTCTCGTCCTCCCTCCACTTATGGAGTCAGGGCTGACCCTTCAACTCTCTTTTATCAGGCACTTCCATAGCTCTTCATCGCCCTCGGGATTAAGTCCAAATTCCTCCACCCACGTGGTTCCAAGACCTGGCCTGAGGACTGCGGTCTCTGGCCCAGCCTCTCTTCTCTTGCCCACATACGCTCCACACACCAGACACAGTATGAAACAGCTAAGTTGCTAAGCATCATGTTCAATCTGGCCACAGGACCTTTGCACATGCAGCTCCCAACACCCGGAACATTCTTCTTCCCACCTGCCTATCTCCTACTCCAGTGGTTCTCAATCAGGGGCAGTGGTGCTCTGTAGGGGCTACGTGGTTATGTCTAGAGACTTCTTGGCCGTCACAGCTAGAGAAGGGGGTACTCCCGGCATCTAGTGGGTAGAGGCCAGGGATGCTGCTAACCATCCTACAATCACGTGCAGCAAAAAAATCATCTGGTCTCCCAAGGTCTATACATGTCACGGTGAGAAATCCGGCCCTATACTCATCCTACAGACGTCCACTTCCGTCAGAACTTGTTCCTGGTGCGCTGGCTCACCCCCAGGCTGGGTGCGGCCCCCTTCTCTGTGTACCCACGGGCCCTGAGTTTCTCCTCTGGCTTGTGGTGTGACTGTCTACCCCACACCCGTGCCTCTGACCCTGGCCTGGAGCTTCCCAGAAATGGCCTTGCTGGGGAGACTGTGACATTGAGTGAGGCCCAAGAGGTCCAGAGCCCCGACTCTAGAGGTTGTTTCTCAAGTTCACATCTCAGCCTTGCTCCCTGCTAACTGCGTGACCCGGGCAGCCGGCTTACCGCCTCCCTACATCTGAGGGTGGGCACGACACCCAAACTCTTGGAATCTCGAGAGGAATAAATGAGCGAATCCAGGAAGAGCCCACCTCCCAGTGTCCACGTGTCACAGACACTCAGTATATCCATTCCTATGCAAAACATTCAAAATCCTTGAATTTGGGGCACCTGGGTGGCTCAGTGGTTGAGCGTCTGCCTTTGTCTCAGGGCATGATCCCAGAGTACTGGGATCAAATCCCATATTGGGCTCCCCACAGGGAGCCTGCTTCTCCCTCTCCTGTGTCTCTGCCTCTCTGTGTGTCTCTCAGGAATAAATAAATAAAATCTTAAAAAAAAAAAATCCTTAGGCAGCCCAGGTGGCTCAGTGGTTTGGCCCTGTCTTCAGCCCAGGGCATGATCCTGGATCCTGGAGACCCAGGATTGAGTCCCACGTCGGGCTCCCTGCATGGAGCCTGCTTCTCCCTTTGCCTGTGTCTCTGCCTCTCTCTCTCTCTCTCTCTCTGGCCTCTCATGAATAAATAATTAAAATCTTAATTTAAAAAATCCTCAAATTTTCCTTTTTTTTTTTTTTTTTTTAGAAGGAAAGGGTTTTTTTTTCTGGATCTCTTCACTTTCCCCCAGCTGTCTGGCTTCCTTAGTGATGAAAGGGCTACGGAAGCTGTGGAGGGGAGGCTGGGGCCAACAGTTCATTTTCGTGAACGATGCCCGGGGGAGGGGGTGCTGGACGGAAGCTGAGAGATGAGAAGAGCAGAGAATCCAAGGGCCTGGCTCAGTCAATCCGGGGGACGCTGTCAGGACCTGAGCGTGACCATCAGCTGGCGCAGTGGTAACACGGGGAGGGCCCCTGGTTGGGGTGGAGCCTGGGAGGGGCCATACTTTCAGGCAGGCCCCCACCAGGGAGGAACGCAGCCTCCCTGCCCCAGTCTGCTCCCTTGCCCGACCCTCTTTGGACTCAATCTGAGATGAAGGGACCCTATGATGTTGTGACCTATAAGAAATATATTTTGGGGATGCCTGGGTGGCTCAGTGGTTGAGCATCTGCCTTTGGCTCAGGGCGTGATCCCAGGGTCCTGGGATCAAGTCCCGCATCAGGCTCCCTGCATGGAGCCTGCTTCTCCCCCTGCCTGTGTCTCTGCCTCTCCCTGTCTCTGGGTCTCTCGCGAATAAATACATAAAATCTTAAAAAGAAATATGTATTTGGTCTTCGGCCCTCTTCCTGGCACAGTCTCTCGTCATGTTGCTGAGGGGACTCTCGCAAAGCCCCCAGGTAACCACGGGGTAGGGGGCCTGATTGCTGAGAGAAGCAACCTTGGGATAAGTGGGTTAGAAGCTGTAGTCCTGGCCCACCCGCCTCACCACCGCCACCTCCAGGGAGGGCAGGGGGGCTGGAGGGTGAATCAACCCCAATGGCCAATGATTTCATCAGTCACACTTAGTAACGAAGCCTCCATAAAAACCCAAAAGGGTGGTCCTCAGAGTTGGCGACCACGTGGAGATCTGGGGAGTGGCCGCCTGGAGAGGGCTCGGGAGCTCTGGGCCACCGCCGCACCTGGTGCCCATCTTCCACCTGGTTGTTCCTGAGTTATTATTATTAGTTTTTTTAATAATAAACCGATAATCTAGTAGGGAAAATGTTTCTCTGATCTGTGAGCTGCTTGAGCAAATTAATTGACGCTGATGACAGGGCATGGGAACCCCTGGTCTATACCCGGTGGGCCAGAAGCCCAGGTGACAAGCCGGCATCTGAGGTGGGCAGGATGGGGAGTGCGTCCTGTGGGGTTGGGAACCCGTGGGGTCTGATGCTTCGTCCTGGTGCACAGTGTCAGGATTGAGTTGACCTGTAGGACACCCAGCTGGTGTCCCATAATCGCTCTTTGGTATGGGGACCACCCCACCCCCGTCCTCCAAGCTTGAATTGATACCATGACCTATGTAGACCCTCGGCAATAGGCTGATCTGCACCGAGGACGCCGACTGGACCAGGAGCCCAGCCACTGGAGGGTCTTCCTGGGTTCACAGTCGGGGGGCACGTCCTGGCTAGAACCTGGATCCCCCCATCCCCTGGCACAGGGCTCTTTCTGCCGATTCAGAGCCCGGGGTCCAGCATGGATGGACAAAAGCACACGGGCATCCCTGGGCCTGGCTGAGGGTTCCAGCCGTTGTGACCAAAAAGAGGTCAGCGGCCAACCACCCCCTTGCCCTCCCAGGCCTTACCCCAAGCCGGCCAAAGAGAACATTCGCCAACTTACAAAGTGGAGAGGGCTCCCTGGAGGACCCTGCAAAAGAAGACGCTCGGTCACTATTTGGCATGGACTGGGTGCTAGGGCCCCAGTGGCTGTCAGGAGCCGGGGGAGGGGGGCATCTGGGCACAAGAGGGCACGTACAACTGGTCTCTGCTCTTCTAGGGGCCTGGTCCTGCCAGGGCAGCCCTAGACCTTCCTAGAAGTCTGTGGAGGCTTGTGAGGTCAAGACAGGCAACTGCCGGCCAAGCCCGGGGCCTCGTTCAAAGGAGCTCTGCCCCCCTGCCCTGGAGTCCAAGGGGCGGCTGAGCGCGAGTACCTACCGGTGGGCCAGGCCGCCCTCTGGGACCAGGAGGACCCTGGAGGAAAAGAAGAAGAGTGAGGCCCTGGCCAAAGGCCTTCGATCTTCCCCACCCAGGCCTCCCGGAGCAGACGTGCGACCCAGGGACAGTGATGGCTCCAGCACAGAGGGGTACAGAGGAGGACTGAGGCCCGGGGCAGTGAACATGCCTGAGGGCTCCGGCGCTCATGGGCAGGGGAGCCCACAGCGCCCACCCGTCCCACTCCCCCATCCCGGCAGCCCTCATCCCCCGGCCCACTCACCCTCGGACCTTGCAATCCCTGGAGGAGGACAGAAGCAGAGAGACAGTCAGGGGGTGGGGCTGAGCCATGCCCTCCTTCCCTCCCCCACCCCACCCACTGCAGCTCTGCTTCCCCCTCCACCCCCGCCCAGCCCATCAACTCACCAAGTCCCCTCGGCTGCCTTTGTCACCCTTTGGACCCTGCAATAAACCATGGCCCGGTAAGAGAGGACTCAGACAGGAAGTTCTAGTCCCAAGATGGGGACACTGAGGCTCAGACTGGCCCTGGGCCGTAGAGATAAGCTTGCCCCCGCAGTCCTCCTGGCCGGCCCCCTACACATACCGGGCGTCCCGAAGGTCCCAGGATTCCGAGGGGCCCAATGATGCCTTCCTTTCCCTAGAGGAGAGAGAAGGGTTTGTGTGCCCTCATCGCAGGGCCTGGGGGCCCCTCCTGTGTGCCTTGGGGTGGGCTCCGAGGGTGGGGGGCGAGAGGGCAGGGGAGGGGGGCGCGGGAATGGCTCAAGCAAGGGGCTGGAAGTGGGAAGGAAGGCTGTGGGCAGAGAGGGCTCCAGCCTGACGGAACAGGGGGAGCGGGGTGTGCCTCCACCCGGCGGCCGGCCGGCCAGCCCTGGGCCCCGGCGACTGGCCCTGCTCAGACCGACCAGGAGGGGACTCACCATCAAGCCTGGGGGCCCCCGAGGGCCCTGGATGCCTTTGGAGCCGACGTCTCCGGGGGGGCCCTGTGGGAGGCAGAAGAAGGGCTGTGTCTGGGTGGCCACCGGGTCGGGGCTCCCACGGCTCCACGACCCCTGGGCGCTGGCCACACCTCGCCCTTCCTGTCAAGAGAGGCCTTACCTGGAGGCTCCGGGAAGAGTCACAAATGTCCACAATTAGCGAGCAGGTACCAGCGCTATATGCCATACGCCTCTGCCACAACAACCCTCTACGGGCATCCTGCCCATTTCACAGATGGCAACACTGAGGCCCAACCGGAGGTACAGAGTCCCCTGCCTAACGCCCAGAGCAGGGGAGCCGGGCTGGGAACCCAGGTCCGCTGGAGAACGCGGATGCTCACGCCCAGTGCTGGCGGCCTTCCAGCCCACATGGGAGCGTCAAGGACTATTTGTTGAGTAAATGGATAAACGAACGGGGGGGGGGGTGGATGGAGGGGACCCCAACAGGAACCCGGTGGAGCGGGAGCCCGTACCTTGGGTCCGAAGAGGCCAGCCATTCCTGGGAAGCCCATCTCGCCAGAGTCACCCTGCAGGGAGAGCAGAGCGAGATGTGGTGGGTGCGGCCAGGGTGAGGGGGCCCAGCCCATCACCCGGGACCCCTGGGCTGGCCTTCCCCCACGGACTTCGGCGACACCACCTCCAGGCAAAGGCTCATATGCTAGACAGTGGTCACCTGGGCTCCGAGCGGGCAGGAGCCTGTGCCCTCTGCGGAGGCCAACTCAGGGATTCCATGAGGAATGTTCTAGAACACTGGGGGTCGCCTGTCCCACGTCTTCAAGGAAGTGAATGAAAGGACCTGCAAACGCTTCCCTGGACCCATCTCAGAGGCTCCATCAAGGACGAGGCCCCCCAGAAGGAGCTCATGAGCTGTGGGCCCCGACGTGCCAGGTGCTTGGCATGCACCCCCGTTCCGACTTCGGCCCAGGGAGGCGTAACAGGCACAGGTGAGAGGCCTGCGGCTCAGGGAGCAGGAACGTGCTCGTCGTCACACGGGTGCCATTCTTACCATTGAGTTTTGAGAACTCTTTACATATTCTAGATACAAATCCTTTACCAGATACACAATTTGCACGTTCTCCTACCACGTGGCTTGTCTTTTTATTCTCTTAACAGCGTCCTTGGAGGAGCCAAAGCTTTACATTTTGATAAAGCCCCACTCATCACTCCTTTTGGTGCCACATCTAAGAAATCCTCGTATAACCCCAGGTCTCGACGATTACGATTTTTCTGCTACGCTCTCTTCTAAAAGTTGAGCATTTTAGGTTTTACATTTAGGTGTGTGGTCCACCTTGAGTTCATTTTGTCCACGTTATAAGGTGTCCCGTTGCTAGAAAAGACTGAGTTGCTTCTGCGACTTTGTCAAAAGTCCGTTACCCACGTGTGAATATATTTCTGGACTCTCCGTGCCGTTCCTTTGGCCTATTATTAGTATGTTGATGGCGGTGCCTCCCCTGTTGGTTGCTTTTCCTATATAATGTCTGGAAATCAGCTACTGGGAGTTCCCCCAAAAGAAAAGCCTTCTCTTTTCGAGTTGCTTTGGTTATTCCAGATCTTGCCCACTTGCAAATAAATGTGGGACTCAAGCTTGTTATTTTTTCCACGAGAAAGGCCTGATGGGATTTTGGTTGGGATCGTGCCGACTCCATATACCAACTGGAGGGCAACTGCCATCCTAACAACACCGAGTCTTTGACCACTGAGCACAGCACCTCCGCTTGATTGATCTTCCCCGATTGATTTCAGAAACGCTTCGAAGCTTTGCAGCGCACCTGCCTCGTACGTACGCCCGTCGGCACACGGATGTCTAAGAGTTTGCCGTTTTCTCGCTATTATAAGCAGCACTGCTTTTTGGGTTTCAAGTTCTGATTGTGGCTAGCGTACAGTTCCTTCGTGCACACGGAGCTGGTGTCCCGTCGTCTTGCTGTACCACTGGTTCTAGCAGCTTCACTGCGGATTCCATCCGGGCTTCTACACAGACGATGATTCTATCTACCCGTGAAGAGAGTCACTTCTTCCTTTTTTGAGATGAATGCCTTTTGTTTTTCATTCCTTACGGCACCGGCTCGAACTGCCAGCCCAACGTGGAGCAGAAGTAGTGGGAACAAGCATCTTCGACTCGTTTCTGCTTCTTGGACAAAAAAAAAAAAAAAAAAAGCGAAACACAACACCACGCCATTCACTATTAAGGATGATGCTAAGTGTCCGTTTTTCACCAACGCCTTCCTCCCCGTATTTTGGGGAAGCTCCTTTTCCGTATACCAAGTTTGTGGAGCGCTTTTATCAGAAATGGGGTTGCGTTTTGGCAAACGCTTTTCTTGCATCCACGGAGGGGATCAAATAGGTTTTCTTTCTCAGTTCGTTAAGACGGTGAATTATGTTGACTTACTTTCAAATATCACACCACCCTCGCATTCCTGGGGTATATCTGGTCTCGGTGTCCTAGCTTTTTTTTTTTTTTTTTACACATTCTTAGACTGATTTTCCTACAATTGTGTTGAGAATCTCCATCTCTCTCTCTTTTTTTTAAGATTTTATTTATTTATTCATGAGAGACACACAGAGAGAGGCAGAGACCCAGGCAGAGGGAGAAGCAGGCTCCATGCAGGGAGCCCGATGCAGGACTCGATCCCAGGACCCCGGGGTCACGCCCTGAGCCAAAGGCAGACGCTCAACCACTGAGCCACCCGGGCGTCCCTCTATTTCTGAGCTATATGAGTCTGGAGCGATGCCTTTGTCCAACTTTGACATCAGGGAGATGCTAGCTTCATAGAATATGCTGGCAAATATTCCTTCTTCTTCAATTTTCCGGAAGGGTTTATGCAGAATTGGCATTACTTCTTCCATTCACTCTGCCTAGAATGCTCCAGGGAAGTCTTCTGAGCCCAAGGTTTTCCACGTGGGATGCTTTTTGGACCACGGGTTGGATTCCTTTGATAGACGTAAGGCTATTTCGAGTTCAGGTTGGCACCCGCCACCTCTCCTCTTTCTGAAGGGACCACTCAGTTCTCATCTCTCAGCCTCCTCCCTCCAACCCTCCCCACTCAGGGGAGGCCGAGGAGCACCCGGGGCTCAGAGAGGGTGTCGCCCGGTCCGTGTCACAGGGCCCGCAGGAGGCTTCTGGGCCCATGAGTGCGTGTGTGAACGTGTTTGCAGGCGTGCGAGTGCGAGAACGTCTGCCTTCCCTGGGGCTCACTCACCGGCTGGCCTTTGGATCCAGGTTCTCCCCGGTTCCCAGGAAGCCCGGTGCCTCCCGCTGTCCCTCGTTTGCCAGGAGGACCCAGCTGCCCAGGTAACCCACTTTCACCCTTTAAAAAGAAAAAGCAAAACACCAAAATGACCAATCAATGGGGGGGGCACTTGGTTCTAGGGGAGGGGGGCTTAGGAGAGACAGAGTGGTGATTCCAGGCCCCGCTGACATCTCGGGGACGGGATGCTGGGGCTCAGGTGGCGGGCCTGGCGGGGGCTCAGAACTTCAGCCCCAACTTCCCCCGCCTGTCCTCTTCACTGTTTCCTCCCAGCAGGCCGCGAAGTTCCCACCCCACTGCCGCCGCCTCCCCTTCTCTCCTCAAGTAAATCCCCCCCCCGGAGGTGGGGGGACAAGGCCCCCTCTCCCTGCCACCCGCCACCCCATGCCTGCTGCTCCCGCAGAGCGTTCCAGCCTCTCCCCAGCTAAACCTCTCGCTTGGGGAGGCCGAGAGGAGCCATGTCTCAGTCGTCCACCTCGACCTCCCCTTGGGTGTGGAGCCCTGGGCTCAGGGCCACTGGTGGCTGCCTCCCCCACCGCGGGGAACACTTTCTAAAAAGATGCTTTTTGGACGAGCTCCTGGCTGCGAGCAGCAGCCGTTGTCCCACGAAGGCCCACAGGAGGGCGCCCAAGGGCAGCTCAACGCCCAGGGCCCGTGGGTATGCACAGCTACGGGGTGAACTGTCCCCTAAGTCAGGCGCCCGCGTGGGCCGGGGACCCCGGGGACCGTCAGCGCCAGGGACTCCATTTCCACACAGGCCCCGGGACACGGGCGCCCGCGTCGCCCTTCTAACCCACGTCATTATAGTTAGTGCCCAGGGTAAAAGGGTGGAAGGCGGGTGAGAAGGATTTGCAGGTGTCTGACCTTGAATCCCGGGGGCCCCTGCGCTCCAGGCAAGCCGGCCACACCTGGATTTCCTCTCTTCCCGGCAGGGCCCACGGGGCCAGGGTCCCCATCGTCTCCCTGCTCCCCCTGTACAGAAAGAGGACGAAGGAGGACCGCTCAAGTTGCAGGAAACAGGCAGCCGGGGCCCGGGCGGGGCGGGGGGGGGGTGCAGGACGTCTCAGAGTCTGGGGTGGACTCTGAGTGGAACTGGAGGGAGGGAGGTCATCCTGCCTGTGGGCGAGGAGAACCGGACCGGTGCAACCAGAGGAGCTGCAGGTTTTTGGTTTTTTTTTTAAGATTTTATTTATTTATTCATGGAGGGGGTGGGGGGGTGCGGGGGCAGACACACAAACAGAGGGAGAAGCAGGCTCCATGCAGGAAGCCCGACGTGGGACTCGAGCCTGGATCCCAGGATCACGCCCTGGGCCGAAGGCGGCGCTGAACCGCGGAGCCACCCCGGCTGCCCAGAGCTGCAGAGTTGTGAGTGCTGGGCCCACGCCCGAGACTTCTGGACGGTTGGGCCTGCCCCGTCCAGGCTTCCCAACCTGCTCCTCCTGGCCTGTGGCCTACGGCAGGACCCCCCCGCGCCCCAACGCACACAACACACCTGGTCTCGGACAGAGACACGGTCTGTTAAGCCCCGGTGCTGCTCACCTGCTGTCCTGCTGGGCCATCCCTGCCGGGAAACCCGTCTGGTCCCGCGACACCCTCGGGGCCCTGTCTCCCCACCACGCCCCGGGGCCCCGGCAGCCCCTGCAGGCCCTGGGGGTATAAGAGAAGCGGGTGAGGGCCTCTGCGGAGGGCAGGGCAGGGCGGCAGGCGGGGAGGACCGGCCGGGGCTGCGGCCACTCACCTGAATCCCCCTGCGTCCTGGAGCCCCGGCCTTGCCGTGCCTTCCCTTTGGTCCCTGTGAAAGCAAGGGGCACGTGACAGTTTGCCGGGAGGGGGGCCGGAACCCTGGGAGGTCTGGAAGGGGGGCTCAAAGGATCACGGGCTCCTGTGCGGCCCGGCCCTGCCCCTCCACCTCTTGGGCCTCAGTATCTGGACCTGCAGATGGACCCCAGCACTCCGGGCGTGGAACCTCCAGTGTTGTCACGGCCCCCGCTCTGGGCCCCGGGCCCCCACTGGCTCCCCGTGCTGCAGAGGCTCTAGGCCCTGCCGTTTCCCAGGGGGAGCCTGGGCCCACGGCTGGCTGGGCTCCCAGACCCTTAGATCCTCCAGAGTGTGGCTAGATCCCTGGGGGAGGGGGGATGGAGAGGAAGGAGACAGGCCTGGGGGTGGGGGCGGTTAAGACAGCACTGGCTCAGCCTCAGTGGAGGCAGACACGGGCTCTGGGTGCGAGGCGGGAAAGTCCTCGACCACCCCTCAGTTCCTGCCACCAGCATCGCTGCCCCCGCCCCCCTCCGGACCCCTGGCCTCTCCAAATTTTCTCCCATTGTGTGGAACGAATGGCTGGGCTGGCTCTTGACTGCCCTGTGTTCAAATCCCCCTGCTGGCCCCACAGGTGGTCCCCCTCCTGGAGGCCCTGCCAATGGAGCCGGTGATCCTCCCTCCCTCAGGCCCTTGGCGGCGGAGAGATCTTGGCCAGGGAGCACCCCGCAGGCCCCCAGGGGCCCAGCCTCCTGTAGCCTCCTACCTGCGGGGACCTGTGTCCGCCCTTGCCAGAGCGCCCCTCCCCCCGCCCCCTAAGGACATCAATCCCCTTACCTCTTCCCCTTTCGATCCTTTGGGTCCCGGCCGCCCCCGGGGTCCCGGATGCCCCTGCAAACCAAGGTGAGATGATGCAAAGCGGCCCCAGGATTCTCTCCCGGGGAGGGTGGCCAGTGTCCGCCTAGAGGGGGAGGGGTGGGAGGGGTTTGGGGGGGCAGGCTCTGGGGGTGCCCCCGGCATCAGGGCGGGAGAAGCCAGAGTGGACTGCCCCGGCCCGACCTGCGGGGAGCAGGGCCCCCAACTCCCCCCACTGCCCGCCCGCCCACCTGGGGAAGAGAGGGAGAGGACAGGAAGCGCCACTCACTGGTAGGCCCTGCTGGCCTGGATCCCCTCGGAGGCCTGGCACACCTTCCTGACCCTGGAAGCCAAGGGGAGATGGGTGAGGGGCCCATCCTGGGGGGGCCGGGTAGCTTCCAGCCCCGGGGGACCCCCGAAGCCCTTGCTCCTCCTATCCAGGTGTCACTGCCCGTCTCCTCTCAGCTTGCTGCTCTGCAAAGCTGTGCAGGGGGAGGATGGAGGGGCAGGGGCAGGGAGGAGCCTGGGGGGCCTGGTGCTCCCTCAGTGGCCCGCCTCCCACTTCTGTGCGCTGCCTGGGCTGGGAGAGCCATGCCCAGCCCCAAAGGGGAGACTGAGGCCCCGCCAGGAAGGGTCTCTCCATCCACCCCCCTCCCTGCCACAGCCCTGCCAGCGTGCGCATGACCCGAGCCCTTTGAGGGGGCCTGTGCTTCGGGCTGGGCACTGGCAGGGGGAGGGAGGGCCTGTCTCCTGCTGAGGGCCGGAGGGGTCAGAGCCCTGGTACTCACAGGGTATCCCGGGTCCCCTGGCTCCCCGCGGTCTCCTTGATCGCCTACGGAGCCCTGGACGGCAAGGACAACAACACATGAGCCACCAGGGGCGGGGGACACAGAGCTGGGCCTCACGGGCCACCCCCTCTGACGCCTGCAGCAGCCCCACCCCTGCTCAGCATCCCCCGCCCCTGCCCCCAGCATCAAGCCCGGGCTCCCCCTTGGCAGAGGTCCAGGGGACAGAAACGGGGGGCTCACCCGATCTCCAGGGGGCCCGGGTGGCCCCTCGGCCTTGCCGTCCTCGCCCTGCTCCCCCTGTGGACACAACCAGCTTTAGGACCCGCTCTTGGCTCCTGGTGCAGTGGGGGACTGCAGGCACTCCACACGGCGCAGAGGCCTTCATCAGAGATGAAGTCCAGCCGACTCAGGGTTACAGACGGGGAGACTGAGGCCAGAGAGGGGAAGGGGCAGGCCAGGGCGTGCGACCAGGACCGTGGAACCCAGAACAGCGCTCCTTCCTGTCGGGCCTGCCCCCCCACCCCGTGGGTACCTTCAGGCCGCAAGACCCAGGTGGCTCAGAGCAGACCGTGGTCACACCAGCTTGCACAGGACCCAGGCCTCAGACCCTCCCCAGGTCTCTTCCCAGCTGGGAGCTCTTCTGCTCAGCTGGGGGACGGGGGTGAGGCGGGGCAGAGGACAATGGCCATACCCAGGAGTGAGGAGGGCGGAGGATTTGGGGAGATGATGCGAGAAACCCCCGCGTGGTGCTCGGCAGGGAGTGACAACAGTCCCAACAGCCCTGTGAAGCGTGTAATGTTATTCTCCCCATTTGACGGATGAGGACACTGAGGCACAGAGGGGCGACGTGGGCTGCTGCACTGTTGAGCTCTGAATGAGAGTCCCTTTCTCCCATCTCTGCTGGAATAGGGTGGGCAGAGGGCTGTAGCTCTAACAGGAACCTCCTACCCTGGGTGGGAGCCCCGGAAGCAGGCCCTGGGCGGCCCCAGGTTGCCCTCGGCCGTGGGCCAATTCGGAGAGTCTCGTCCACAGGACAGATCCCTAGCTGCGACACAGGACTGATGCCTTGCCGGGCTGCTCTGAGGACCAGGGAGGAAAGCTCGCTACTGCCCACGTAGTAGGGGCTCAGATGGCCATGAAATTGGCTGTTGGTGACAGTAACGGGGGACGGTGTGTGGCCTCGATGCAGTCAGAGGGATGGGGTGGGGGAGGGTTTGGAGTGGAGGTCCTGAGCCCTGGCAGGCCACTCCGGGCCCTGGGCCACCACCCAGCCCAGAGGCTGGATGCCATGTGCCAGCTACAGGGAAGGTGTCATCGGAGCTGCAAGTGGCAGGATCCCAGGGCTCGCAACGTTCCAGCCCTGGACAACCGGTGTCCCCTCCCCTGGGGGTGCATTCTGGGCCGGAGGCTCAGCTGGGGCCCCCCGGATGCTGGCAGGGACTGAAGGGGAAGCCTGAGAGGCAGGAGAGGGAGCCATCCCTGGGGCTGGAGCCCGTCCCAGGCCCAAATCAGCCCTGAGGGCTGGCAGCCGTAGCGCCTTGGCCCAGAGCCTCTGTGGCTCCTGTGGGCAGAGACCGAAGGCGGGAGGGACTTGGCCCGAGGCTCAGAACAAGTTGGACCCGAGGGGGTGGCCCAGGGAGTGGGGATTCCCTCTCCTCCCTGACCTCCCTCTATGGCTCTCTGTCCCAAGCCTCGGTCCCACCGTGGAGGGAGGCAGCGCGACTGGGGCACTTTGGAGAAGGAGGCCGTGTCTACCGGGTGTCCCTACGGCCTCCCTCGCTGCTGTGGCTGTTGGCCCATTTTACAGACCAGGAAACTGAGGCCCAGGGAAGGAAGAGTCTTAGCCAAGGCCACACAGGAATCAAAGGGTGCTGAACCCAAAGCTGGCTATACGGATCTCCCCCGCTCGCCCCTCGACCCAGACACACTGTGGCTGTAGCTTGGGGATGTGTTTTTAGCACCAGGACGCTGGTGGAGCCCCGTCTTCTCCTTGTTCCCAAAGTCCCATCGCTAATCCCTCGAGATACCACCCAAGGAAGTCACCAGTCGAGCAATGCATTAGCTCACCCGGGTGCCTGTTTCCGGCCTGGGAGGCACAGCCTGACCTCAGAGTCTGAACCCTGGTCCCTGGTCCTGACCTAGTCCTTAAGCTGCCCGGAGACTCCGTTTCTCCATCTGTCATGTGGGACTCTGACCCCTCCGCATGGAGATGCGGTGAGGACCATGGGGAAGTCCTGGGGGAGCTTTGCTCAGGGCCGTTTTGCTTCGGGGTCTCCCCCCGGAACCTGCTCCCCCCTCCCAGCACCCTCCAGCTGGTGCCTGGCTATTTGCTCTTGCGTCTAGTCCCCTCTGGAGGTCTTTAGGGCATCAGTCCACAGCCACTAGCTCAGGGCCGAGAAAACACTTCATCATCATAAATCCATAAATACCTGTCAGATGCCCAAATGAATGACTGAACCTAATACCTTATCACTAAGGAAGTGGCCTGGCTGCCATATACACGATGTCCTGCTTAGCCGCACATTCGGGAGGTACCCACCCACTTAACAGATGGGGTGATCAAGGCTCAGGAACCCTGGGGCCCTGCCCAAGGCCTTGGCCCTTAGGTTTAGGGTTAGGAACCCATTCTCAGTAGCCATAGGGACTGGGCCTGGGGCCCACAGGTGGCTCAGAGGGACGCTCAGCCTTGTGTCAGGGTCTATGTTAACCCCGCCTGTGCCAGCTGTGGGAGACTGAGGGCTGAGGGCGGGGGACTCAGGGCACTGAGTGGCACTTCCAGCAGCTTCCTGTGGGATGCTGGAGCCCACTGATTGCAGATCTCTCCAAGCAGGAGGAAGGGGCCAGCTGGACAGCCAGCCAGGCCAGGGTGATTCACACGGCAGCGGGATGTAGTTAGTGGGTAGCTGACTCAGCGAACGAAGGGATGGCGGCGGAGGCAGGGGGGCAAGGAGATGGGGAGAGGGGTGGCCGCCTGCTAGGATGCATTCCAGCTGAGCCATCAGGGGAGGAGGGAGGCAAGAAGAGGGGTGCTCAGAGTCGCCAAGGTAGGACTCGAAAGCCCGGGTCCAGGGCCAGTTTGGTGCTGCCTTGGATTGTGACCCAGGGCCGATGCCTTGGCCCCCTGGCCCCACGTCCCCACTGGCACCATGCAGCAGGGCACAGTGATCGGCAAGCTTTCTTCTAGCAATTTCTCTCCTCCACCGAGGCTGGAGCCAAGCAGTGGGGTATGGACATGCCCTCCCTCTGCCTCAGTGGCTCCCTCCTGGCTGTGAAAGGCTGGCCTCACTGGCGGCCCTCCGCTGGCCCTCGCTGGGGGCTCTCGCTCCTGAGCAAGGCTTCAATGCCCACATTCACACAGATGATGGAACTGCAGTTCTAGTCCGAACATGTCGGGCGGGCAGAGCTGTGGTTTTGCTCCGGCGCTGGGCACGGCCCTGACACGCAGCCCACCTGTGTTCAGCGTGGGTCTAACGGCTCCTGGCTGGCCGCGGGGTGAGCTGACCGTGAACTTCCCCATCAGCCTGGCCACAGTGCCCGCGGGCTGGCTCCTGCCGGCCGGGATGGGAGGGAGTGGCTGCCTCCCAGGCCTGAGCACCCACCTTTTCGCCCTTTGGTCCAGGAGGTCCGAGGGGGCCCATGATGCCTTTGTGTCCCTGCAGGAAACAAGATGGCAAGGGGTGAGAGCATGGGGGAGTGAGGACCGAGAGGCACAGTGACGGACAGGAGCTCAGAGATGGAGACCCTGGGCTGCAAGTTTGGGTCCTGGCTCTGCCCGAGCTCCCTGTGCCACCCTGAGCAGGCCGTGTGCCTCCTGGGGCCTGGCGTCCCGGACAGGCAGGGTCAGTCCCTCTAAGGGCTGGCCCACTTGGATGGTCGGGGCGTGGGTCACCCCAGCCTGGAGCAGACCTGTGGCCAGATGTCTGAGAGCCAGCTGTGTCCCCTGGGGCAGGGGCAGGGCCAAAATGCTTCCCCAGGCTGTGGCGAGAAGCACACAGGCAGGCTCCCCCTGGGGCTTCGGGGGCCTCCTCTCTAGTTCCCATGTCCTGTGCCCTGCCCCTTCTTCTGCCCTCCTGTCCGCCTCCTCTCCCTGCTGTGCCTCCTTCAGACACCGGATCCCGCCTTCAGACCTAACAACCTGTCACGAGTCTCCCCAAGCCTCCGTTTCCCTTTCTGAGCTAGCCCCGAGCCTCTCTGAGGACTAGTCACCCAAATGTCTAACACTGGTTTGGCTCCGCCGCCTCTAACACGGGTCCCAGCTCGGATGCAAAAGCGAGGTAAGGCTCTTCCCCTTCCGCAGACAGCAGGTGCAACGCCCAGATGGGAAGCATGCGTGGCACCCGCCACAGGAAGGAAGGACTCAGCCAGGGCGCGTGGAGGGGGTGGGTGTTTCTATCTGTGCGCCCCTGCTCTGTGGGCCCCGGGAGACCAGGGATCTTCAGTGGCCCAAGGAGGGTGGTGGGGGCAGAGGCGAAGGCACGCCCGGGGCCCCGCCTGCAGGACAGAATTCAGGAGGGGGAGGTGAGATTTTCTTACATCGTAACCAGCGAGTCCCGGTTCTCCTTGGGCCCCCATCCGTCCTGGAGCACCCTAGGAGAGGAGCAGACCCGTGCTGGAACAGGCGTGGTTCTCACAGCAGGGCCTGGGCGCTGGCTCCAGCCCAGGCCAGCCCAGCAGACTGGCACATCCGCAGCCCAGAACCCAGGCTGGGGAGCAAGTGGCAACTGTCCCCTCCTCCCTTAGCTCCCTTTCTCCCTCCAACCCTTCCTTCTGTCAGCTCCAGGGGTTCAGAGCCCCAGTGGCTAAACCGTCTTCACCTTTGTGAGCCACTTTTAAACAGAACTGCTATAGAAAGTTTTACAAATTTACAGTTAAATTAATCATATTAAAAACAAAGATGAGGGCAGCCCAGGTAGCTCAGTGGTTTAGTGCCACCTTCAGCCCAGGGCGTGATCCTGGAGACCCGGGATGGAGTCCCCCATGTCAGACTCCCTGCATGGAGCCTGCTTCTCCCTCTGCCTGTGTCTCTGCCTGTCTCTCTCTCCTCTCTGTGTGTCTTATGAATAAATAAAATCTTTAAAAAATTTTTTTAAATTAAAAAAATAAAAATAAATAAAAAATAAAAAATAATAACAAAGATGGTAAATACCCAAAACTCATCCCTTCCTAATAATTTTACTAAATTTTACTATTATCTATGCTCCAGCCTATTTCCATCTATGGAGTTCGTGTGGCAAAGCTACCAGATGACAGACAATCCTGCGCACCTCCTCCCAACTGTGCGTTCAGGACACCCAGCTGACGGCACGAAATCAGCCGCGATGGGAGCATTTACAGCACAGATGCTGCCGGTCAGTGCCACATGCACCGGGTCAGCTGTTTATCTGTGCACAGTGGCGGCTCAGGAATGCCGTCACTTGCCTGCCTCCCCCCTGCTTGCTCCCCTAGCTGCTGGCAGACCCCTGGGACCCTCCTTCAGGACAGGCCTGCAACAGGTTGGGCTGCCTTCAGCGTCACCTAGGGATCTACAGCCGGATCCGCATGAATCTATTTCCACCCTGATCCTCATGAATCTGTTTCCAGTGGGAAAACTCCTTGTTCCCTAAAAACACTCCCGAGGGGCTGGTTTCCTCCCCCGACCCTAATGGGGCTTCTTAATCTGGGTCTATAAAGGACAGCGGAAGACCCACAGCCCCCTTCAACCTGCAAGAAATACTTGGCATTGTGGGTAGTTTTCCAGGAAGAAAAGCTGCAGCTTCTACTGTTTCTCCAAAGGATCCATGATTCAAGAGAAGCAGTTGGGACAAGGCACAGCCAGCGGTTTGGCTGAGAAGTAGAGCGGGCAATACCCCTTTCTGCCCCTGGACCCCCCACCCCGACCTCTACTCCGTGTCTGACCCGCCCCACCCCCACCCCACCCCACCCGAGAGTTCTCACCGTTGGTCCCAGGCTGCCCCGGGACCCTTTAGGGCCTGGGGTGCCAGGGGGTCCGGGGTCTCCAGGGACGCCCATCTCACCCAGCTGTCCTTGGTAGCCCTTGGCACCCTGCAGGGGGAGGAGACACAGGCTGTCACTAGACCCCAGCAGGGGAAGGAGAGAGGGGTGGGGTAGGGGTAGAGGATGAGGGCCTGGGGAGATCATGGCTGTAGGAGTGGAACCCACCTTGGCTCCAGTCCGGCCCTTCTCGCCTTGCTTCCCAGGTTTTCCTTCAGGACCCTGAGGGGAGCAGGAGGGAAGGAAAAGGGTGAGAAATGAGTGAAACTTGAGGCAGACCCACGGAGCATATGGAGCATTGGGACAGGAGCTCTGAGGGGGGACTGCCTGGGTTCCAAACTCACCCTGAGCTCAATACCCCTGGGACCTTGTGATGGAGGCTTTGTCTGCAAAGTGGGGACAGGAGTCCTGTCTGCCTCGCGGTATGAAGTCAACGCAGGGATGGCCTCTCCTGCTCACCAGGTGCCTGACCCATAGTATGTGCTGGATAAATCCCCCTTTCAGGGACTGCTGGGTGCCCAAGCTGTCTGCATGAGAGCAGCTCTCTGCTCTGCCACATGCCACACACTGTTCCAGCCTCCCAGCCACCCTGAGCCACAGCAGGGCGGGCACCTCTACTGGGGTAGCTAGGCCACTCCCTCCAACAGGACGCTCTGCACCCTCCCCCATAGGGCATCCCAAAATGCTACTCTCCTTTGCTCTGCTCTTGTCAGGGCCACTCATTTCAGGGAGTGCCTATAAGTGCGCATGTGTGAGCATAAGAGAGAAAAAAAAGGGAGAGAAGAGAATCCCAACACTGAGCCACACTGGGTTGGGATGGAGGGGGTAAGGCAGGCTGTGTTTCTGGTCTGGAAAGGACAGCCTGATGGTCTCCAGAGGACAGCCCCTCAAGACCCAAACCTCTAAGGGAGCTGGGAAAAACATGGACATTCTTGGCAAGCCCTAAAGAGCTAGTTGGATTCAATCTCTTTGGCTGTATTAACAGAGGTACATGCTGTAGGATGAGGAGGGGATGGCCCCACCTTGGAATAGGAGGAGGCACCGACCGGCGGAGGGAAGGCAGGAAGATGGGATCTTAGAGGAGCCAGGAAACACATGTGCTAACTCAGAGGCACCTGATGGCAATCTTCAGATTTCTGCAGCTGCCCTGAGGCAGGGCAGCTGTGTTCTCTGGGGTGGTCAGTGGACGGAAATTACAGGGAGGCCCGCTTTGATTCAGCACAAGGACAAAACACGGCAAAATGTACTGGAGTAGATGATTCTCTGTCCCCAAGGAAAGTGCCAGTTAGATCACCCTGAGGCCCTCAGGAAGGAGGCAGTGGCGGTCCTAGAAGGACCAAGCACAGACTGCCCTACCTTCTGGTGCCTAAGTCCTCATGTGACCCTGGACAACCCCCTCCCCTTCTGTGTGCCTCAGTTTCCCTGCCTCTCATATGTAGGTCTTAAACTAGCTTTGTACTGTCTGTGGCCTCTTGCCACACGGGGCTACGGAGCGTGTGAAAGGTGGCTACCGGGAGGGAGAAACCAAATTCTTAATCAGTTGACTTTTTAATTGAAATCAAACTTAAAGACGGATAATTCGGTTGTCGTAAAACTTTTACGTGTGCTTGGAACAACCTGGAAATATGAATCTACGTTCTCAGCTGTGTATTTTATGAAATGTAAACACAGATCGAGCCTCTCCAATGAAAATTTAGCATCCGAATTAAGATGTGCTGTAAAAGTAAATCCCACATCAGATTTCATAGATTCATGCAGAAAACAAGAATGCAAAATACCTGATTAATGATTTCTATGTTGATTACATGTTGGAAGCGTTCGTGTCTTGGATATATTGGGCTGGATGTAATTTACCGTTAAAATGTATTTCACCCACTTCTCTTTACATTTTGAAAATGTGAGGATTGAAAAACTTTAAGTTGCACATGTGGCTCGTCTTCTGTCTGTACCGGGCAGCACTGAACTGGACCAGGGCCAGTAATGGAACAGTCACAACCATCATGGCTTCAACCACAGCCCAGGCACCGTGTCTGCGTTCCGGGCCCAGGCCTGGGAGGAAGGGGTTATTTATTCCATTGGAGAGCCAAAGACAAAGGCGCAGTGAGCTGAAGACACCACCCGCAGGTCCCGTAACCTAGGTGGGTTTGAATGAGATGTGGATTTTCAGTTGTCCCAGGCTGGTCATATCTGGGCAACTGACACCGTGATACAGGGGCTGCTGGAACATGTCAATGGGCTGAGGTGATTGTTATTGGCTGATCCCTTTGTCAGAAGGAGAAATGAGTCAGCACTGAAGAATTCAGCACAGGGCCAGGGCCCCGGGAGTCTCCCTCAGGACAGGGCGGCCGGCCACTCGTTCTGACAGGCCCTCTCCAGCTGGGAATGTCCCTCATGGTGTGGGAAATCCTGAGTAAGAGCTGGAGCATCCAGCGGGGTGAGGCTGCAGGGCCAGAATGAAGACTTTTGCTGGGCCCCCATCCATGGAGATGTGTTTCTGGAGAGGCTCTGAGGGCTCATAAAATTCTATTTTTAAATACTCCACTGTTTCCTGGCCAGAGTGGGTGATGCTTGTCCTGTAGCCCTGATGCCAAAGAGACAAGCCTCTCACCACCTCTGTCACCCAACACACACTCAGTCTGGCCCCAGGGAACCTCCTTGCAGTTCCAGTATATAAAAATTGGCAGAAATAGCAAAACGTGGACATTAATTCTACTGCTACCACCACCACTGCCCCATCACCATGGCCACTGTCACCACCACTGCCACTGCCACCACCATCATTGCCACTATCATCATCACCACCACCTCTACCATCATCACCATCATCCTCGCCATCACCGCCAACTTCACATCATTACCACCATCATTAATACTATCACCTCCACCATCACCATCACCGTCATCACCATCATCATTGCTACCATTGTCACCATCACTGTCATCCTCACTATCACCACCACCTTCACCATCATCACCACTATCACCTGCACCATTACCACCATCACTAATACTATCACCTCTACTATCACCATCATCACGGTCATCACCACCATCGCCACCACCATCCCTGCTACTATCACCAAAACCATCACCATCATTGCCACCATCTCCACCATCATCACCATTGTTACCACCACCATCACCAATACCATCACCTCCACCATCACCGTCTCCACCATCATCACCATTACCATCGCCATCATCAATATCATCATCGTCTTCACCTCCAACCATCAACATTACTACCATTACTACCACCACCACCACCACCACCACCACCAGCTTCTAGTCATTTTCTCCTCCAGATTCATAAAGACAATATTTGTTTTCTGGCACACTGTCGAAAGTGCTTTCTTTTCCAAAGTTTCACTGACTCTTTAAAGATAAGAAAACCAAGGCTCATAGAGGGGCAGCAGTGATCTGCCTGAGGTCACAGAGACAGTGGATTCTCAAGCTAGAACTCAACCTTTGGACTCTAGGCCCAGGGCTATTTCTGCGGCATGTTGCCACCCGTTCCACGGCCATGATACTCAAAAGTTTACTAAGAAAGGGCCCCTGGAATGTTGGAACCCAAAGTGATCTCAGCACGCATTCCTCCCCAGTCCTTCAGCGTACCAAGCGCGTGACCCAGGGAGGGCAGCAGCAAGTTCTGGTGAGGAATCACAGATTCTAAATCCCCCCTGCTAAATTCAGGGTGGCTGCATGTGGGACAAGTTCAGCAGGGCCAGGCTTGTGGAGGGCGTGGCAGCCAGACTGAGGAATGTGATGCTAGGTCCAAGGGTGCTCGCTGGGAGCCGAGCCGTGGGAGGGTTAGGCAGGGGCGGGGCACGGGCAGACAGTGCTCTGGGAAGCTCGCAGGTGGAGGAAGGATCACAGCGGAGACCTTTAGGTGGCTGCTATCTAGAGACCTCCTGTCCAACTGCCTGAACAGGCGTGGGTGGCACGCCCACCCAGGACCCCAAGTGACGGCGCACTGCCGTGCACACTCACCCGGATGCCAGTGATGCCAGGGGGGCCGGGGGGCCCGTCCTCGCCCATCAGGCCCTCCTGGCCTTTGTCGCCACGTTCACCATCAGGCCCAGGGTCACCCCTGTCCCCCTAGGTTGGAAGAACACGAGGAAGGGAGAGAGAGAGAGAGGCAGACAGAGAATAAATTAGTCACTAAGCCCATCAGAGATGCTAAACCTCAAGGCTCCATTTGGTTGTCCACAGCCGAGCAGCCCCTGGATTCCCTGATGGTTTCGTGAGCCACCCAAAGGGTCAGGGTGGCCTGGCCTGGCTGGCACAGGGGACACCCCCGACATGGTACCTGGGCCAGGGAGGAAGTCGCTCAGAGGGAACACGGGACCCCGACCCCTCCTGCCCCAAGGAGTTCACAGGAAGGGGGCAGCTCTGGGAGCCTCGGGCTCGGGCGATTTCTCCCCAGATATTTCTATTGGGGGGGACAAGAGTCTTAAGATGCTGATGGAAACTTTAAAAAAAGTAAAACAATTCACCCAATCCTGCCTCTCTGAAATGACTCCATTTTTTTTGAGTTGCATTTTCAACCCCTGCTTGCATGAAAACTGGACAGTGACAATAATGAGCCTGAGGTCGCAGTTCCCGTCGCTCCGCACCAGGCTCGCGGCCGAGGCACAGGTGACCCGAAGCAAGGAAGCTCCTCAGCAGTACGTGAAGCCTTAGAGGTCTAATCCAACCGCACTGCTTAGCTCCATCTTATTTTTTTCTGCTTTTTTTTTTTTTTTTCCTACTCGTCTGACTCTACAGCGAACACCACCTCCCCTCGCTGTCTACTCAGCCCAGCAGCTCTCAGCCTCGCCGGACGCGGGGCCCTCCCTCCGTCCAGTGGGCAGCAGTTACCACTTGCATGGCACTTGCCACGTCCAGGCCACGTCCTGGCAGGCTGAGCTGTGCCAGGCCGGGGCATGGGCTGGTGCCCTGGCAGCCACGGGCAGAGAGGCAGCACGGGCCGTGGGCACAGAGGAACAGGGTGGCGCCCATCGGAATGCCACCTCCATCAGGCTGGCAGGCCCGGCGGGGCTCGTGGCCAGTCTGCAAGTGGCTGAGCTGGGACTGTGCAGAGGGACCCGTGGGAAAGCGTCTGAAGTCATGCATAGGAGGAAGGGGTGGGTGGCGGCTGTCGGGGGGAGCGGGCTGGGAGAAGGGGAGCGTGTCTTGGCCAGCGCCGTGTCCCGGCGCCACACTTTACAAGGAACGCTGATAAACTGGGGCAGGTCCAGGAGAAAGATCAGGGTGCAGAAGGCATGAGGCCGGAGCCTGGGAACAGGTCTGCCGAGAGCTGACCCTGCAGGCCGGACCTGCTGGGGCCTGGGCTCTGGGCGCAGGACGCCGGCACAAGGGCCTCTGGGGGTGATTTCTAGCTCAGCTGGGGGCAGGTGAGCCTCCCAGTGAAGAGGGGTCCAGAGATAGGGGAGGAACACACCAAGCTGAGGTGTGGGCCGGCTCAGAGCAGACCTGGGCACCAGGGCAGGGTGGGACGGGTTGGTTTGTGAGATCCCGTCCCACTGAGATTCTCGGCTCCAAGCACAGCCCGGCATGGAGACGGGGCACTGCCCCGATGAACCTGCTACAGACTCCAGCTCCAGGACTCCCCCCAGGCTCGTCAGCCCCGGGCCCCTGCTCTCCTGGCTCTCAGAGGCAGGCGGCCTGCTCCAGGCGGCTGGGCTGGTTTTCAGAGAGAAGCCCCGGCCTGGCACCTGCAGGGGCCCTGGCCCCAGGGACCGCGCAGACCCCCGCAGCCTGGGGTGGCGTACTTGAGGATCCCCTGCACAGTGGGCTCTGGGCAGGGGCGCGGGGGGGCGGGATCCTGGAGAATTCTAGAGTCCCGGGGCATCTGCGAATGCTCAGGAGAGCCTTAGCTGTCGTCTAGCTCAACCTTCTGGAGTTCAAGCTGGGGGACTAAGGCCCAGGGAGAGGAAGAGGCTTCGCAACAGCTCGTTAGGCCAGTGGCAGAGCACGCGTGCGACCCTAGGGTTCTGGCGCTTTGGAATTCTGCGGTTCTCTGTGCAGGGGACGTCACCCCCCTCACTGCTGGGGTTCTGTTGCTGAAACTGGAATCTCGCTGCCACCCCTCAAGAGCTGCGTGACCCTGGGCAAGTGTCTTCATTTGTAAAATAAGCAGCACAGGGTTACTACGGGGATTGAAAGGGCTAATCCATGTAAGTAGCTTAGCATAGCGTCTGGCGCGGGAGTTCTGGATAGACCTTAGTCTTGGCAGGAGTCACCGCCACCACCGCCACCACCACCCGCTGGCTGTCGGCAAACTCAAAGGACACGATCAGCATGAAACACTCTATCAACTACCAAGTGCTGCGTGGTGTCCGAGAGGTGGTTTTCACCGTGAAGGTGACTCTCGGGACAAAGGCCGTACAGACGGCAGGAAGGATGAGGAGAGAAGACGCTGGACGCCCGCACAGCTACTCCGGCCCAAGGTCTAGGGCTGGGCTGCCTCTGAAAGGAGAGGAAGAGGATGAAGGCGGCGCCAGGTGCCGCGCTGAGAGAGCGGGGAAGGCTGCGTGAGACCTCGAAGACCCCGCTCCCAGCCCACCCCAGCAAGAAGATCCAAGGGGAAGAACGGTGGCTGGCCAGAAGCAGAAGAGGCCCCCGCGCTGGGACTCAGTTTCCTCATCTGTCAAGTGGGGACGGTGACCCGTGTAGCTCACAGGGTGGCTGGGAGGATTAAACGGGTTTGTTCACATAAAGCGCCCAAGGCAGGTGGTGCGAGTGCACGGTGAGCACCCAGAGCATCTCAGCTGGAATGTTCTCCAGCATCACTGCAATTCACGCAGGCACCTGGCAGAGGGTGTGCAGGGGCCGCAGGGGTCCGGGGTTCCCCAGCCAGGCCCCCGCGGTTCCCTGGGAGGTGGCCCAGCTGGAGAGGAGAGAAGCAGGCGCTGGCAGACAGACAGGGGGGCGCTCTCGGCCTTGCAAGAAAACCCCAGGGGTGGGGATGGGGAACCGGCCAGGGGCCTGTCCCAGGGGCGTCCAGGTAGATGGGGAAGCCCTGGGGGCCCAGAGCAACTAGGGGATTGGGCGGTGCGGGGGGGGCGTGGTGATGGGGAATTGAGGGCTGCTTATCTGGGGTCACATGGAGAGGAAACGGGTGACAAAGGGATTCTGGGATGTGGCACTGAGCCCTGGGCTGAGAAGCTGACTCACGGGGTGACGGGCCAGCCCTGGGGAAAGCCCACCTATCCTTGTTCCAGGGCTGGGCCGGGGCCAGCTGCCAGCGACAGGCTGGGGCTAGAGGTGGAGCTGGTAGGTCGGGAGAGCGATTCCCACCTGCCCCGGGGTTCAGGGGAGCCCTGGCGCCTCTTGAAGGTGCCAGCACCTGCGGCTGACAGAAGAATCTGCGGGATGCAGCAGGGCACGGTTAGGCCGACCTACCCGCTTTAGTGCTGGGGAGCCCTGGGTTTGAATTTTGGGTTCTCCGCTCACAGCCCTAGACTCTGGATGAGTGCACCTCTGCCTCCACTGAGCCTCAATCCCCTCACCTGTAGAATGGGTGCACAGTGTAGACGGGTAGCCGAGGCTTGGGTCTCGGCTGTGCCAATTACTAGCTGTGTGTCCCTGGGCAGGTTGCTTAACCTCTCTGTGTCTGCGTTTCCTCATTTAAAGACAGAACTTGGGATGCCTGGATGGCTCAGAGGCTGAGCATCTGCCTTTGGCTCAGGGCGTGACCCCGGGGTCCCGGGATCGAGTCCCGCATCAGGGTCCCTACAGGGAGCCTGCTTCTCCCTTTGCCTGTGTCTCTACCTCTCTCCATGTCTCTCATGAATATGTAAATAAAATCTTTAAACATGAAAAAATAAATAAGTAAAAGACAGAACTTACCCCGTCGCATTAATGATGTGTTACATAATACGAAGGGCTTAGCATCGTCCCGGATGCGTACGTGACTAGTCCACCATAAATAGTGGCTTACAGGTCACGGGGGGATTATTATTTTCCTGATCTTTTAGGATGTTTGGAAGATGACAGGTATCAACGCTGCTGGCTCTGGGCCTGGCACAGAGCGGGGGTGTTCAGGCACAACCCTTACCCCAGAGAGGCTGTAGTTTTGAGGAGAAAGGTAGCAGAGCAGAGTGGGTGGTAGGATGGTCCCATCTGCGCAGGGCAGGAGGCGGTGGTGGGCAGGGTCGGGGTGCGGGTGCGGGGGCTGGGCAGGGCTCCTTGGCATAGGAGCCAGGGGTCTGCTCTCAGAGCTTCATGGGAACACAGAGCTTCCTGGAGACAGCTTAGGCCTTGGACGGGAGCGGAGGGGGGCAGAGATGGAAGGCAGTTCCAGAAATCCCTCCCCCAGCCCTGCCAGCAGCAGGACACTCACCTTCAGCCCATCGGGCCCTGCAGGGCCACTGTCTCCCTCGAGTCCCGGCTCTCCCTGCAAAGGGCGGTAGAGAAAGATGAGGAGACACTCCTGGGGAAGGGGCCCAATGCGCTTTTATGCCCCCCCCACCCCAGGGCAGGACGCCAACCCCCTATCTCCCGGCAGTAGGGCCCTGGAGCGCCCGGCACACGGCAGGTGCCCGGTGAACAGTGGCCGAATTAGTGAGTGAGCCGGGGGGCTGAGGTACCCGCTCCCGGCTCTTCAGAAACGAGGAGCAGACCCCCAAGCCCGGCCTGCTCCATCTGCCGGGTTGGTCAGTGCAGGCTACGTGAGACTATGAGTTACGAAGGGTCCGACTGGCTGGTTGGACTGGGAAGCACAGATGCCCGGCGGTTGCGAAAGGCTTGGATGTCATACAGACCTCAGTTTCCCCACTGGGCTCCCCATTCGCTGGCAGTGTGATCACAAGCCCCCACGGGCACCTGTTTCCTCATCGGAAAATTGGGCGGATACCGCGTCCTTTAAGGGTGTGTGGAAGGCGCAGGGTAAGCGCCCCGCAGGTGCAGCCGTTAGGGACCTTGTTTCTGGAACTGCAGCGAGCTCCTCGCGGAACCCCATCTCTCAGATGAGGAAAGGGAGACCAGCCTTCAGACCTTTGTTACCAGCCAGTTTGGGAGTGATACCAAGACCCTGCGTCCCCATCTGACCCCCCAGCTAGGTTCTCGGCCTGCAGTCCCTGCCCCAGAGATGCCCCTGAACTTCTCAGTTCTCAGATCAGCTGTCGCATGAGTTGGGGTCTCTCGTGGCTTGCAGAGTTCATAGCTGCTCGGTACCTCAGCCCAAAGGGGCCTCAGAGGTCATCGAGGCAGGGACAGCAAAGGCATGACAGGTGTGTAGGCCCCACCCTCCTCATGCCTGTGGCGGATGTCACTAATGGATCCACTAGAACGTGGCTCCATATGGGCAAGGGGCTAAGTCCCCCCACTTGGACCCCACCTTCTGCACTGTACCGCTCCCAGGCGGAGACCTTATAAACAGGGCACAGAGCATAGAGGGGCAGACAGAGAGGCATCCCAAAGCTTCTCCTCGAAAGACAAGCTTTGTGGGGGAGATGACCTTCCATGGAACAGTTTCCAGGGAGCATAGCAGGTGTGTTTCAAAAAGCAGAAGGGCTTGTGGGTCAACTAAATTGGGATTAATCCAAAAGCAACCAATGTCTTGGCTGCAGGCCTTCTCAGAGCCTTGAAGATGCTACGGCTAGTGTGGACGAGGGAACGCGGAGCATGCAGTGAGTCTCAAACACTCTGACCACACAATCCTTTTCTTCCAGGAGACTCTCTGCGTTGTGGAGATGCTGGCTTGCCAAGAAAGGCGGGATGAGGCTGTAGGGATTCACAGTCTCCTTCTCCCTGAGGTTCAGGGAGGTTGAATAAAGCCCTTCCCCACCCCCCACCCCGACCCAAGTGCCCCTGGCAGGGGGGTCTTCCACTTACCCGCTGCCCAATGAGGCCTTGCTCCCCAGGGGGGCCCAAAGGCCCAAGGTCACCCTAGGAGAAGCCAAACACAAGTCCGTGGGGGCGGGTAGGGCCAGTCCCGGCCCTGGCCTCGCCTTCCTGTTCTCAGCAGCTCTGACTTGGGCGGGGAGCCGGGGAAGCACCTCGTTCCCAAGGACCAAAGCGAAACGGCAAAATGCCAGCCAGAGCCCCTGCTCCTCGCCAGCCCTGGCCGCGTCAGGACCACCACCAACGCCACCACCATCGAGCTCACGCTGACACGGCGCTGCCCTACGTGCCTCTTGACTTCGCACCTAAACCCCACAACAACCCTGCCGGAAAACAGATCTTCTCTTACAAGGGACCACGCACGGGGGCTCCGTAACTGGCCCGAGCCCATGAGGCTAAGAAGGGACAGGTTCGGGACCCAAACCTTGGGTAGTTTGGCTCCAGGGAGGATCGGACGCAGGGATGGCAAGTCTGTGGCTGACCACCTTCTTTACTCTCCCCGGGAGCCTTGGAGAGAAACCCAAAGGAGGAAGAGGCCCTAAACGAGCCGGAACAAATGTCACCTGCCCCCCTCCCCTCAAAGATCACCACGTGGGGATTTCCAGCCTAGTCTCCCTCCGTGCTGACGTCCGGGGGGTGGGGGCACCAGGAGGAGGCGGGGCGCTGAGCCCCCGGCCCTGCCCCGAACTAGAAGGATCCCATTTCTGTCCGTTTTTATAGATGGGCCGGTTTTCCGCATTGTCGCAGCAAAGTTTTCTGGACCGAAGCCAACAACCGAAGTCCCGGGGCTGGTCCGAGTCCCTCTGGACGGCGGGAGGCTCAGCCACCGCTGGGGAGGGGGCGTCTGCCTCTAGAGTCCCCCCCACCCCAGGGCCCTGCCCTAGTGAGGCCCTCAGGCCACCAGCCGAGCTCGTCAGCCCTGGGCCTGCGTCCTCCTCCACGGCTCCCCCGGAGCCCAGGCATCAAGGGGCACCTGGTCCCCGCAGGTAGCGAGGGCCACAGGGCCCAAATGCAGAAGGTATCTCGGGAGGCCGGGAGGTGTGGCCTCCGGACAGGGGGCAGGTGCCAGAGAAAACACTGCTGGGCAGGGGGGCAGGGGTGGGGGCTCCGGGCCAGCTGGGCCCGCCCCCGTGGCCACGGCCAGGACCCGCTCCCCGCTCCCCGGCCGGCTGGCGACACAGAGGACCTATTATCCCCACACAAGAAAGGCCCATTTCTCTTCCGTGGGGAGGACGTGGCCGCCAGCTGGGAGCCGGTTTCCACAAGTCACTTTGCTCTTTCATCCCGCCTTACCTTCATCCCGGCTTCCCCAGGAAGGCCCGGCTCTCCCACGGCACCGGGTGGCCCCTGCAAGGGAAAGCCATTGGTCCCCGTACAGCCAGCGCACAGCGAGGGCCTCCGACTGGGGGTGGGGGGTGAGGATGGAGGAGGGGGAGGGAGGAGGCCGGTTGGGCAGGCCCAGAGAGGGCAGGGAAGGGCCCCGGTCACACGGCGGCCTTGGGCCCGGGGCTACCCAGAAGCTGCCGGACCCTTCTGCGTCCCCACAAGCGTGGTTTGCCACATAAAGAGCCCTTGGTGAGCACAAGGCAGAAAAGATCCTGCTGCACCGGACAACAGGGGAGGCAGCCAGCGGGGGCCGCGCGGGCTGGCGGTCCCGTCCTTGCTCGGAAGCGGGGCCAGGACGACAGGCGTGGGACAGGGGCTGGTTCCTGTCATCGGCGTGGCCCCAGCCCCTGCACAAAGCCTGCAGCTGGCTCCCCCCCCCGGGCCCCCGAGAGGGCACAGGTGTCTGAGGCCCCTGGGAGGGGCCCCTGGGGAGCCCCTCCTCGCCCTATGCTCCAGGGGCGGACCTGCCCTCTCTCCTAGCAGGTCTGCCCTTGGGTTTCTGCAAGACACAGGACACCCGCATCCCCAGGCCAGGCCAGGGCGCCCCCACCCCCCTGCAGAGGATGACATCTCCCCAGCAGCGTCACGGGACACACAAGGGGCCTGTGGCACTCACCTTGGGTCCCATCTCTCCTGGAGGGCCAAGTGGCCCCTGGGGTCCCTGTGGGCCCTATAAGACAGAAAAGCAGGTGCGCAACAGTTTTGAGAAGGTGGCCTGGGCCCTCTGGGGGTCGGCAGGGGCGGGTGAGGGAGAGGATCCCGGAACCTGGGACTCTGCAGCCACACCCCCTGCCACCTGCCACCTGCCACCTGCAGCTCCCTCCTCACCACCCGCTCTCTCACGTTCCTTCCCTCAAACCGGGGGTCCCTCCCCCACTCAGAAACCTGCCAGCTCCTCCAAGCAGCCTTGCTCACTCTGTTCCCCCTGCCTGGACGCCCTTCCACCTGGGATCCGCCTGCTAAAGCCCCCCCAGGCTCCTGGTCAATTCACTGTTCAAAATGGCATCTCCTTGGGCCTAGAGATGTGGGGCCATGGCTCGGTCCCCGGGAGGAGGCAGGAGCCCCCGTTCTCCTCCTGCCCCATGCAGGGCTCCCTCCCGCTGGGGCCCCCCCAGACTGTCCCCTCCCGTCCCTCTGCAGGGGTACCACTCACCACCTCCCCGGGCGGGGGGCTGACTCTCGGGCTGACTCTCAGGAAGACCTCCTGAACGGCTATCTCTGTTTCAAACCCCTCACTGGCTCCTGTCGGGACCCTGCAATTCCCATCCTGCCTCCCTTGGAGACTCAAGTACCCCGTTCCCTCAGCTTTTCACTGTGCAATGCACCCTGTATACATTTTTTTAAAGATTTTATTTATTTACTTACAAGAGACACAGAGAGAGAGAGAGAGGCAGAGACACAGGCAGAGGGAGAAGCAGGCTCCATGCGGGGAGCCCGATGCAGGACTCGATCCCAGGACCCTCCCGGGATCAGGGCCTGAGCTGAAGGCAGACGCTCAACCACCGAGCCCCCCAGACGCCCCTACATTTTCTTATCTTCACAACAGGATGGCACAATAGGGACAATTCTTCCTGTTTCTTGCAAGAAAACTAGGCTGAGGGGCAAGCGAGCTTGGACTCCAACCCAGAGCTCCTGAGCTCCCCGGCCAGCGCCCTCCCCGCCCAGGCCTGTCCCTCTGTCACCTCCTTCTTGTGTGACCACGTCCCACAGCCCTGGGGCGCTGGCCCACCCGACACCAGCCTGCTAGGGGCAAAGAGGCAAAAGGAGGAGGAGAGCGAGCACTCACCGGTTCTCCTGGGAGGCCCTTGGTGCCCGGGGGGCCTGAGGGGCCCGGGATGCCCTGCAGAGGGAACCAAGGTGGTCTGAGTCCCTCCGAGGCCTCCTCCGGAAGCCTTCGCAGGGTGCGAGGGTCCCACGCCCACCCTCCCACGTGACAGGCGGGGAGACTGAGTCTCAGGGAGAGCGAGGCAGGCTGGAGGGGCTTCGGCGCAGGGAAGGGGGGAGCCAGAACCCTGTGGTTTCCAAGGCAGGATGGGGACTTGGTAACGTGGCTCTAATCTCCCGGCCCGGCCCCACGGGGCTTCCAGAACCTACTTACCGGGAAGCCTCGCGTGCCCGAGTGCCCGCGCTCACCGGCCGCACCCTGGAAACACACGTGGGGGGGTTAGAGGCACAAACCACAGGGCAGGGAGCGGGAGAGGGGAGGGCCGGCAGCCTGGGCCTGACGTACCTGCTGCCCCGGCTGGCCCGGCCTGCCCTGCGGTCCCGGAGGGCCCTGCAGGAAGCAAAGCACGTGAAGGTGGACAGGGTGCTTAGGAGGACCCTTCTCGGGCCCGGACCCACGCTGCGGGGGAGACGGAAGGGACTGGGTCCCCCCTCCCGGTTGTGCAGGTGGGAAAACTGAGACCAGGCAAGGGGCCTGGCTCGTCACCGTCACCATCTGCTCTGGAGAGCCGGGGATCCCTTGCTCCTGCTGGGACCAGAGGCAATCTCGGCTCTCGGGGGCTCTGGAGGGGGCTGGGGGCCCTGGGGAAGGGGCCAGAGGGCACCGGAGGCTCCCTCCCCGCCCTGCCTCCTGCCTCCTGGGGTGCCCTCCTCTTGTCCACTTCTCTCCCCTCGCCACCCCCCCCCCCCTCGCTCTTCCACCCCCACCCCCCAGGCTCAGGCTGCAGGGCTGGGAGGGGAGGAGTGGCCCGGGAGCTCCCAGCCTCTCCTGGGCTCCCTGCTGCCCAGGGGCCTAGTGCCCCGAGGAGGGCCTGAGCCTCGGTTCCTGGATTCCTGTCCCGGGCGGCGTGGGAGGCGCGAGGAAGGGCAGGCCGTGGGGTTGGTACCTTCAGGCCCCTGGACCCCTGCTCCCCGGCTGGTCCGTCCGGTCCTCGGGGGCCCTGGAACAGGAAAAAGGGACTAGCACGGTGGACAGCAGGGGTCTCCCTCGGGCTGGGAACCAGGAGCGCGGGGCTGCCCAGGGCCTCGGGCCTGTCCTCCCACTGCCCGCCCCCCACCCTGAGCCGGGTCACCCGGGTGCGACACAGGGAAGCCCCGAGGGACTCAGCTAGAGGCCCCATCGTTCCAGAACAGGGCTGGTGGTTAAGGAGACCCTGGGGGTCAGCTGGCCAACGCCCTTCATGGTCGCGGAGGCTGAGGGCCGGACACATGTGTCCAGGTCCCCACAGTCAGCTCATCACACCCGGCTGTTGCATCCTCTTCGCCGAGCACACAAGGGGCACTAACAAGGTTTCCCCTTGGGGGGAAGTGACAGGAGGGCCCGGGGAGGGTCTGCATGTGGCCGGGTGTGCGGAGCAGCCTCCTCCAGCCAGCTCCCAGACGACGGCTGATGTTGGAGGGTCAGGAACAGGGCAGGGGTCAGGCAGCTGTTCCTTGGAGCCCCGGAAGGACAATCTTATTCCTTTGGAATCCGGGAGTGCCCCCACCGTGAGGCAGGTCCAATACACCCCCTCCCTGCACTGCACAGATGGGAACACTGAGGCCCAGCCAAGGGAAGCGACTGGTCTAAGGTTCCTTAGCACATCAGCAGGGGTATCCCCTCCAGGGTTCTACCCACGGGCCTGTGTGACCCCTTTACAGGGACGCCCACAGAGACACAGATGGAATGGGGTCCCCGGCAAAGGCCCCCCGTAGAGAACAGTGTGGTGTTTGTGCTGCAGGGGACCCGGGGGGGGTCACGCTGGGGAGACCAAGAGGGTCTCATGCAAGGGGCTGGCCCACCCTGGGCCTGGGAGTGTGGGGGCCAGCCACCAAAGGGGGCTGAGGAACGTGTCTGAGTGGAGCGGGTGCGGATAAGGGACGAGAAAACAACGTGAAGAAATTTAAAAACAGAGCAAGAAGGGATGCCTGGGGGGCTCAGTGGCTGAGCATCTGCCTTAGGCTCAGGGTATGATCCTGGGGTCCTGGGTTCGAGTTCCGCATTGGGATCCCCACAGGGAGCCTGCTTCTCCCTCTGCCTGTGTCTCTGCCTCTCTCTGTGTCTCTCATGGATAAGTAAATAAAATCTTTGAAAAACTAAAATAAAAACGGAGCAAGGAAATTTTCAATTAATAATTGAGCCAGAAAAAGCAACAGTTCCTCTTATCAGCTACCCGATGCCTCCACTCCAGACCAGAGCCTTCAGTAGTGCCTCACGGACTGGGTAAAGACAGGACGGGGGGCCACATGGAGCCTCCGTTATCTTGTCTCTGAAATGGGGATGGGAATATCTCCCCGTTGTGCAGGTGGGGACATCCCGGGTCTTAGGAGCTGGGACAGAGGCTGAGCTGCTGGCTGGGCATCTGGGCCCTCCTGAGAGACGGCTCCTGGCCCCTGGCCGCTGTCTCTAGCTGAGGCTTGAACCTGCCTGGAAAGGGATGGCTCTGGGCCTGCGGTGGAGGCCCAGAGGTGCTGACGGCTTGGTCTGAACCACACAGCACCCTGTTAATCCCAGGAAGCCAAGCTTTCTGAGAGACAGCATTCGTGATCTCCAATAGTAGCAGTAGCTACAGCAGCAGCAGCAACGATCCTAAAAGCTATCGTCCTCCTCTTGCCACAAGGAAAGAGCCTGTGGTTGCACTGCTGGGAAGTGGACCCAACTCAGCCGGATGCCCATTTCCTTCCACACCTCTCTACCTGTCACTGCTTCTCAGTGTGCAAGTGAGCTCCGCATCAGAGGGGGTGTGCAAGTCAGAGAAGCCTGGAGCAGGACGTAGGAGGAGACAGTGTCCTGGGAGAGCGCACTCCCTGGGAGACCAGCGAGCTGAGGGAGAAGCGGGCGCTGCTGGGGGGTGGGGTGGGGAGCGGGATACAGGGCCAGCCTTCGCTGTCTGGAGCCACAGCCACCTCCGTCGCTGGCTCCCCAGGGCGGGGAGATGAGCAGGGCGCATGCCAACCCCTGCTCCGGGCCACTCTGTGGCTCGTCCTGGGTCCCAAGAGTCCTCCCCGCCCCCCCCCCTCGTCCCCCCGGCCTGCTCCTTCCTTCCCCAAGCAAACACGGGTCAGCCTGCCCTGCTGGAGGCAGGCCTGGGCCTCTGGGGCTTGGTCTGAGCCATGTGTCTGTTCTCTGGTCGCCAGTCCCCAGGAAGATGCCATGGCAGTCCCGGCTGGCGCTACCGTCCAGAGAAAACCTGGCCAATCGTAGGCCTTGTGGCAAAGGGATGGATGGCCAAGGGGGAAGGACCTGCCGAGCCGCTCGCCATGCGTGGAGGGATCGGATCCTGGCCCTCCAGAGAGCTCAGTTCTGTCTCCCGCCCGCTCTACAGAGGAAAACTAGAGGCCTGGAGAGAGGGAGCCAGTGGCTCAAGGTCGCAGAGGAAGAGCCAGGATTCAGGGCCAGGTCTGCTGAGCTCTGAGCCCCCTCCTTGGGAGCAAAGCCCAGTGTCGGGCACGTGAATCCTAGAATCCCCATGACTCCCTCAAAGTGCTTGCTGGAGGGAGATAGTGGAGTCTCCCAGGTAACAGGGCTTTTAGGCACTGTCTTCACCAACACCGTGCTGCAGGGCAGAGCGTTCCAGGCAGGCTTCTCTAGTCTCTGGCTTGCACACCCTCCCCGATGGGGAGCTCACTCCTGCACTGATAAGCACTGACTGGTGGTGGTGGGAAAAAAAGGGGGGGCATCCAGCTGATGTGAGTTCAAATGTCATCCACTAAGTCTTGGAGGAGTGAAGAAGCTGGCCTGAGGTCCCAGAGCTGGTAACTGGGAAGGCCGAGACTTGCCCCTGTCCAAACCCAGAGCCCCCGCTCTTTCAGTCGAGGCCTGTGGACCCAGACCCTGTCAGCAGTTCTACCAAGAACAGAGGGGCTGAGGCCCTCGTCTTGTCCCCTCGTGCACACCCCTGCCCACCCCCTGTGAAGTGGCCAATGGCCAATGGTGGACTATTAGGCCAGGGAGCCAGGGGGGCCCGTCCCACAGGCTTTGCATTCCTGCCAGGGAGGAGCTCACGTCCCGAAGCTTCCCTCCCGGCCCTGGAGACTTTTGATGTGGTCGGGAGCCTGGGTTTCCTCAAGCAGGACACACATTCTCCGAGCCACTGCCGGGAAGGGGTGTTGGAGACAGCTGGGGCAGCTCGGGGAGCTGAGGACCTGAATCTCCAGCTCATCTGGCTTCCTGAGGGCAGGAGGTAGTGTGCACAGGGGCAGGGTGCAAGTGGCTGCCGATGGGCCTGGGTCCACTTGCAGAGACCCGGCACTGGGACCCGGCACTGGGAAGGGCCCTGCTGGGCCCGAGGAATGCCTCTTAATCCCCCCTCTCCCAGCCTGCCTGCTGGCCATCTGGTTTGGGGGAAAATTTAAAACCACTTGAAATTCAGCCAAGAGGAGACTAATCACAGATCCCCCCCGTACGGAGGAGCTTGGATAGCAGGCCTGGGCTGTCCCTCGGCGCTACCTGGCCATGGCGGTCCCTCCATCCAGGGCTGCCTGGCCTAGCCCCGGTTCGCCAGCTGGGAGCAGAAAACCCCTCCATCCGCCCTCCCTGCACGACCGAAACTAAGACGGTGCCTGAGGGCCAGATTCCCTGGCTTCAAATCCCAGCTCTGCCACTTTCTGGCTATACAACCCGAGACAACTGACTCAACCTCCCTGTGCCTTAGTTTCCTTGTGTGTAAAATGGAAATCAGAGGAGCACCTTCTTTATAGAGTCGTGTTGAAGATTAAATGAGTTAACATATGTGATGGACAGTACCCGACCCGTAGGAAGTACCCGTGGTTGCCCCTGGCGACTGTGCTGAGGCCAGCCCTTGCTTAAAATCCTCTGTGGCTCCCCACTACCCTGGGAGCACAGCGCACAGGCCAGCTGTCGTTTGCAGGCTTGCCACCTGCTGGTTCCTGTCTCATCCCTCTCCTCCAACCCTCTGTTGAACCCACAGAGACCCCCAAATGTGCCTTCTCTTACCTTAGGGCTGGTGACCTTGCCTGGAACCTGGCGGCAGCTCCAGCACCCTCCTCTCCCTGAAGCATTCTCTGCTACCCTGTCCAGGCTCCCAAGCTGCCTATGCTTCGCCGTCCACGTGCCAATACCCCCAGACAACCTATTTGACCTACTTGATTGAGCCATGGGGATAGCCATGGGGACAGCCATGGGTCACGCCTCTCCCATGCTCTGTGGCCTCTGCAGGGCCTCCACCAGTGGCTCTCAGACCATCGGTGCTAAGTAAATGGTGCCCGAATGAACGAACGAACAAATGAATGGACAAAACACTGGTACCTCGGAGCCTGGCTATGCCCACGGGATGCCAAGGCCTGTTGCTCAGAAATAGGGTGGAGAGGGGGGGTCCCAAGGCTGACAGCCAGGCCCGGGATGAGCCTGGAACCCTGCCTGATTCCATGAAAATCACAGATCTCAGGGCTGGGCAGGGGGCAAGGACCAGGAGGTAGTGTCCCTGTCAGGTGGCCCCTGCCAGGTTCAGCACCCCCTCCCTGGGGGCTGGGCCCCACTTACCCAGAGTCCCTTTGCTCCCCGCATGCCTGGTGGACCTCGAGATCCTGGAGGACCCTGTGGGGAGGAGAAAGAGTTTGGAGAAGCCTCCTTTCAGGTAGCAAGGGCGACCCGGAAGGCTAGGAGTGTGGGGGCAAAGCCCGGCCACAGCCCTCAAACAGGCCTTGCTCGGGAATGGCCCCTGCCCGGGCCCCGTAGCCTCCACATAGAAGGGCTTGGCCCAGTGGCAAAAGCCATCCGATGGGGAGAAGCAGCCCACAAGCTATACCCCAGAGCCCGGGTCAACGGCCTGGGTTCAACGTGGTGGGCCTCCAGCCCTCCCGGGGAAGCCAGCGGTGAGGAGAAGCCTCCCTGGGTGGACGAGCCATTTCCTTCTGTATCTCAAAACCAACACCCAGAAGCTCCCATGACCTTCCTGACCAAAGGGCTCCCCAGATTCCATTTCCCTGGTCTTCCTTCCAACAGCAAGGGGAACACGGCAGCCCGCGTGCTCTCCCTCACCAAACCTCAGCTGCGACATCTCCTTCTGTCCAGAAGGCTCTGACCAGGGCAGAAAGAGCCTGGGGTCCGAGGAGGAGGAACCAGACCGCAGCCCCGAGGTGAGGGAGGGAGAGGCGGGGATGTGGGGTGGCAAGACCCAGGGAGGGAGGGAAGGAAGACACGGGGTTGCCTTTGTTCTTTGAGCTCTCAGCACCGAGCACAGCACAGGCCTGCGACCAGGATTTGGGGATCTGTTGAATGAACCACGAACAGTCGAACCACAGAAGGGGTCAGAGGGTAGGAGGGGAGCCGAGAGGAAGCAGGCGCCTCATGCCTGATCTCTGATCCGGGGTCCCGGCCCCAGCTGCACAGGGGGCACGGCGCCTCCCCACGCCGGCCAGCCAGGACCCCTCCAGGAGCCTCCCGGCTCAGCAGCGAGCCTCAGACTGGGCGTGCTCCTTTGACAAGGCAGAGGCGGCTTCATCCCCCTCCAAATACCAGGGAGAGGCCCAGCTCCATTTGGGCCCTCGGGAAAAACTGGCTGTTCCATTTCTCTCTGGCCCCACGGCCTCGAGGAGCACAGACCCTCGGTCAGCTGCAGCTGCCGGGCGGATGTGTGCGGCTGGTTCCCACTCGCCCCTTGTCAGCAGAGCAAGCAGGGTGTGGACCCACACGCCTGGCCCAATATGAAGGCCGATCTGACTCCCGGATGGCGGGTGACAGCAAGATTGGGTGAGAATGAGCTATTTTATAGCGGGACCTCGGACAGCAAGACGGCATGTAATGCGTCCCTGGGAAATTCAGGAGCCAAGTCTTTGCTTTGAGGCAGTCGAACCGAGCGCTCACGAGAACAGACTGCTTCCCCCGAGGAGCAGGTTCAAACCCCAGCCCTGCCGCCTTCCTAATTCTGGGACGTCGGCAAGTGATTGCAACTTTTTGGGCCTCAGTTTGCTCATCTGCGAAATGGGGTTAAGAAGAATCCCTAGCTCGCGGAGCTGCTGGGACAACGAAATGACATGGAAGGTCCTCAGTAAAGGGTAGCTATCAGTTGTCTCGATGTGGGAAGGGGTCAGCGATGGGGGGGTCCCAGAACCTGAGTGTCCCCAGTACCCCCAGGCAAACGAGGATAATGATCTCAGCTGACCTCAATGGGCTGTAGGAGAATGTGCATGTTCATGTGCTTGGAAAAGCGGGGAGAATGCTCATCAGACGTGAACGGTGTCATCAGAAGTGTCACCTTAATGGCAGTAGTCCTACTAGTGGCAGTGGTAATTACCGCGTCTAGTAAATAGTCATTATGACTAGCGCGGCTCATCGCACTTAGTCTGCATGTGGACGGTTCGCCAAGCATTGCACCTGGGGCGTATCTCTGATGCCTCCTAAGGGAGGGAGTTCGATGCTGGCCTACGGATGGCGAAACTGAGACACAGAGAGGCTATGAACGCTGCCAACAATCACCCAGTGAGTAAGTGGCCGGGATTTGACTCACATTTGACTCTGATGCTGAAGCCAGGCTTCCGGGCCCTGGTGCCGTGCTGTTCCCCCAGCAGCACCAGGGCAGCTGGCTGCCCAGAAGGAGCCCCCCGAGATCCACGCGACCAGCCCCATGTGCAGCGGTGCGGCAGGTCAGGGGCAGACCCCGGGGTCTGAAGGCAGCATGTGGCTGACCTCACTCAGAACGGTTGGAGGCGCCGAGGATGCAGAGCGGGGACGAGGTCAGGGGAGCCATGGAGTAGGGGACTCAGAGGAGGCCCAGAGCTCCCTTCCGTGTGCTGGCTTAGACGTCCCCACTATTTTCCCACCTCCCACTGGCCTTCCGTTTTGTCCCAGCAACTCCGTTCCAGGCTCCTCTCCTCCCACTGGACAGGTGGGGAGACTGAGGCCCAGAGAGGCTGAGGTCCAGGGGCACAGGAGCTACAGTTTGATGATGGACCCTCGCCTGGGCACCTCCCACCCCTACGGTCCCCGATCACTGTATCTCTGGGAGCATCTGCTGGGCCCTGAAACTTTCATCCTATGAACACTGGGGAGGGAGATGGGCCAGCAGCCTTCAGGCTGGGTGGGCTAGGACCCTCAGGTCACAAGTTGGGCTCTGCAGCCCACCAGCCCGCCCCTCCAGCCCCAGGCAGGAAGTGGCTTCTCCACCTCCTTCTCATTAATAGGGAAAAATACACCATCAGGAGCCCAGAGCACTGGCTCTCATCCCACCTCTGCACAATCATTGAAAGGACTGTAGAGGACAGACAGCACCACCTGCGGCTCGCACCTCCTCGCACCTCCGTCTTGGGATGATGAGCACTTGCGTCCAGGCTTCTCATCCCTGGCTAGTCCCTCCATCTCCCTCCTCAGGACCTAGCACTGCCCGGCACGTAGTAGGTGCTCAGTAAAGTTGTTAGTGAGAGGATGTTTCTACTCGGCACTCTCACTAAGGGATCTTAAAGGATCACTTAAAGGATCACCCCCACTAAGGGATCCCACTAAGGATCTTAAAAGCAGATATATTTCTCTTTTTTAAAGATTTTATCTATTTATTTGGGACGGAGATGGTGAGACCACGAGCAGGGGGGGAGAGGAGCAAAGTGAGAGGAAGAGCGAGAAGCAGACTCCCCACTGAGCAGGGTGCCCGAGTCAGGGATCGATCCCAGGACCCTGAGATCATGACCAGAGCCGAAGGCAGAGCCTTAACCGACTGAGCCGTCCAGGTGCCCCAGCACATGTATTTCTAATCATTCCTGTACCTTTCGGATGGAGCGTAGGCCCAGAACGCGGTAGGTGCACAGCAAAGTCTGGGAACTGAGCTGGCTTTGTTTCCCTAATTGGCCCAAAGAACTGGTGTGTGGTGCACACTTCCCTTGGATTCAGACCCTCAAAGGCTCCCGTTTCCTCCCTCATCAGACCCCAGGGAGTCCCTCAGTCCGGCCTTTGGAGGGAGCTGGGCAGCCCGAACTCATTGTCCCCCAGCCCTGCCCCGGGATCGTGCCTGGACTGGTCCCCTTCCTCCAGCCCCCTCCCACCTGCCTGAAGCCCACCTCTCCACCTCTCCAGATGGGGCTCCCAGCCTTGAGCCCCAGCCTCGCCTCAAGGGAGAGCCCCTCCCAGTCTCCGTCCTCCGTCAGCAGAAACAGAGGCAGCAGAAGCTCCGAGGGCTCAGGATGAGAGTCACCGCTCCCTGCCCCCAACATCACCCTCGGGAGAGTAGATGGGCCCACCCCCACCCCAGCTACCCTGCCTCTCCCACCCCTCCCTGCCGTGGGATCCTCAGGAATCTCCCCGGTTCCCCAGTCATCCCAAGAAGTCCAAGACCCCTGAGTCCTCACCCTTGTGCTCAGCCCGTGTCCCCAACATTTCCCATCTTCTCCCCTACGCTTCCTCCATAGCAGGTGTCACTTAGTTATTGGGTTCTCTCTCCCCCAAATGGCAGAATATAAGCTCCTAAAGGCAGTGGCTGTTTCCTGCCTTGCTGATGGCTGCACCCCCGGCTCCTAGAGCGGCTCCAGGCACACACGACACCGTATTTCTTGAGTGAAGAGGCAAAGCAGCAACGGCACTGATGGCCAACACGCTCCTGCACTAGCAACACCGCTACGTAACCAACACCAGCGACTTGGTGTCATCTAACCCACGTGATGACACGATCACGGCCACGATGACCTTCTTTCTCTATGTTTCCACGAGCAAACTTTAGGTACGATGATCTTTCCTGGCAATAGGGAGCTGGGATTCAAATCCAGGTTTGTCTGACTCTGAGACCTGGAGACTCCACACTGTTACTCGACAGTGGGTTTGAGCAAAGGGAACATGAGGGCTTTGCTTACCGGGGGTCCAGGCTCTCCGGGGGTCCCAACAGCACCAGGAGTTCCAGGATGACCCTACCAAGAAGGAGACGAGAGAGAAGGAGTCAGCTGAAGCAGGTGGCTCTTCCTCCTTCCACCCCGGCTGCCCTGGTCCCCGCCCCGGCCCAGCGCCGCAGGGGCAGCAGCCAGGCCCCTTGGAGGCCCGAGTACATGGAAGCAGGCAGAGGAGAGCAAAGCTGTCACCAGCACTGTGACAGGAGCAGGCAGGCAGCACATGCTGGCTCCTTACCATCGAGCCCTTGGGTCCGGGTGCGCCTGGGGGTCCCATCATGCCCCGGTCACCCTGTGATGGAGACAGCAAGGCAGGGAGGTCATGGCTGTGGGGTGGCTCTGTGGGAGGCAGGTGCAGAGGTCTTCCAGAGGCCAAAGAGGGAGAGGCAGGGACTTGTCCAAAGTCCACAGTCACATCACCCAGGGTGGTGGCCAGGGAAGGGGTGCTGGGATTTCACTCGGCAGAAGCCGGGAACCCAGCAAGCCCCGGAAGGCTCAGCATCCTCTGTGGCATGCCACCCAGCGGGCTTCCCTCGGGCATGGGCGGTCCTGATCAAGGATGCGCTGATGACATTGTCCCCTGTGATGCTGGCCCACGTCACGTGGGCCTCACTGGGCCTGGCATCCCCTGGGCGGGCCTTGCAGAGGGGGCGATGGCCATAGAAGGCACGCTCACTCTTCCCATCCCCTGCCCAGAGAGATGCCAGAGCATCTGAGACGCAATTTTTTCCTCTTGACCCAATCCAGACCAACCGGGCAGAGATGGTGGAGGGAGGGGCTCTGGGTTTGAATCCTGATTCTGTGTTTGAGAGGCCCTGTGTTCTGCATCCACCCAGACACCATTTATTGAGCATCTACTACGTGCCTGGCGCAACACCCTAGCCCCTAAAGATGTGAAGGTGAGTAGTGCAGACAGACCTTGCTCACATGGGGAGCCCTCAGAGTGCTGTGGAGAGACACACAGAGCACCAACACAGGCGCAGACAGGTCCACACAATGAGGGTGTGCGTGCTAAGGCCCTTCCGTGGGGGATCTGACCCATCAGGTGCAGGGATGTGGTGGGGCGGGCCTCCCTTGGGAAGACCTGCTACACCCAAGAGGGCAGAGGGGTGGCATTGGGGAGGGTGCACCTGGACAGGAGGACCAGCACGGGCAATGGTCTGTAGGTGAGGGGGGACCCTAGAGGGGTGGCGTTGGGGAGGAGGGTGCACCTGAACAGGAGGACCAGTGCGGGCAATGGTCTGTAGGTGAGAGGGGACCCCAGAGGGGTGGCGTTGGGGAGGAGGGTGCACCTGGCCGGGAGGACCAGCGCCGGCTGTGGTCTGTAGCAGAGGAGGGACCCAGAACGTTTGAGCAACAAAAGAAGGCCAGAGTTGGTTTGATATTGCACTCCAGTTGTGCAAGACGTGACCACCAGCGGCAACAGGGTGAAGGGTACGAGGGACCTTTCTGCTCTGGTTTTTGCAACATCTTGTGATTTTCTAACTGCTTCAACATAACACGTTAAATTAAGAGAAGAAGAAGAGGAGAAAACAGGAAGGTGGAGAAGGAGACGGAGGGGAGCAGTTAGCGGTGGTGGTGGCCAGGGGGTCTGGGATAGGAGTGATGAGAAGTAAGGTCTCAGGAAGAGCCTGGAAAGGAAGGTGGGGCCGAACCAGGGCAGAGGCTTCCTCTCTCAGGACCTCAGGTTCTCTGTCCATCAGCTCCCCAGAAGGCCCGCTTGGGGGTTGGATAAGCCCATTGACGGAAAGCAGGTGGGAAAGAGGCACGGGGTGCTTGCGGGCTGGGAGCTAACCCGCGGCAGGGAGAGGTGGGGGCCTCGGGCACCGAACCTGATTCACATCCCGGCGCTGCCACTCTCTACCTGGGTGGCCTGGGCCTGGTCACCTGCCCCGTGTGAGCCCCGGTTATCTGGTCTGTACAACACGGCTGCTGGGGGGCGGTCACAGGGACGCCTGAGGAACTCTGTCCTTTCTTAAAAGGATGGCTCTCGGCCTCCCGCCTGTCGCCCACACCTGTTCGGGGCCCGTGCGCAGCCAGGAGGGCCCACGCCACGCGAAGGAGCCGGCTGTCACCCAGAGTCACGTGGCGGTGGCAGTGCCGCCGGGAGGGCAGGACAGAGCCCCTGGGCAGTGCCGGCAACGGGGGCAGTGGCTAAGGAGAAGCCGGGGGAAAGGCACTGAAATCCCCACGACACCCGGGCCCTTCCTCCTCTTCCAGCTTCAGCCGCAAAGTTGCACTTGTTTCGGTACCGTCCCCGCATAACTCACCTTTTCTCCCATGATCCCTGGCTCCCCGACCAGACCGATGAATCCCAGAAGTCCCTAGAAGACACGTGCCCGCGAGCAAGAGAAAAGAGGAAGGCCCGTGAACCCCGGAAGCGGCGAGTCAAAGGCCACGGGCGGGCGGCGGCTCCCCGGCCCTGCGGCCCCTGCCCGCGCCCCCTGCCCCGCCCGGGCCCCAGCAGGCCTGGGGCTGCCACGGAGGAGCTGCCTCTCTCCAGGCACTGTCCTGACTTCCCTCACTCCTCCAGATGGTTCTGATTTCGGAGCCAAGCGGTGGGGCCGCTGCCAGCATCCCTGGGAGCGCCGCACATTCTTCCCGCGCCAGGAGCAGGCTGGGAGGCGGCCGCGTTTGGGGGGTGGCCGTGCTGGGAAGAGCCCTGCCTGCTAGACTCGGTCCCATCGCTCAGGGCTCCGGGGGCCGTCTCCAAGAGAGAAGCAAACCGGCTGGCCAGGATGGAAACAGCGGGCAGCCTCCGCCAAGAGCCTTGCTTCACAGGGGGGACGCGGAGGCCTCTACGCGGTCCCCTGAAAGGCTCCCTCTGCTTTCTGAAGGGCGCACACGCACTCACACTGTGGCGCCTGTCGCTCTCTCTAACTCCACTGGGTGATAACTCGCGTCGGGTTCCGGGGGCTCTTCTAGGTGGCCGTGGGCCTCGCTGGCCCTGCCAGACACACCCACGCCCGCGTGGCCAGGCTCAGCAACCCGGAGGAGACACCCGGGAAAGCAGATGATTCCTTGTCCAGACCCCAAGCCCCCCGACCCCCGGCAGACGGGGTGTCTCGCACAGTTCAGAGGGGCAGCAGCGGCTTTGGAAGGACTCAGGTTTGCAGCCAAGAGTTTCCGGGAGCATCAGGAAAGGCCGACTGAGAGGGAGGAGTGGATCCGTCCCCCACAAGCTGCTCCCTGTCCCCCAAGCAGATCCAGAAAGGAACGAGACCCTGAAGCTGAGCGGACACAGGTCAGAAGTTGCAAGCTGCACGCTCAGGCAGGGAAGCTGGCCAAGCCGTCAATCAACTGGGGTGAGAAAACGGTGCCCATTTCCAAAGGCTTAGCTCTGTGGGTCTCGGAGACCGTTGTAAAGTGGCAGCTCAGGCCACGACTGTGTGTGTCTTGCAGCTGCAGCCTGGGATTCAGCTCTGGTCCGTGGGGCTCCAAGGCCCATGCACCCGTCCCTCCACCCGGGGACCCCCAAAGCGAGTGGTCGTGAGCAGGGCACAGATCCCCTGGCACGCCTGCACCAATGCCACACGGTGGAGGGTCCTGGGTCCCTGGGCTCAGAGACCCTTCGGGGTTGAAGCATGAGGTGTGAGGGGTGAGGTACAAGGCATGAGGTCATGGCTAGCAAGTCACGGACCATGACCAAGTATTTGACATTTACAACAACTTACTTAAAAAAAAATTAGAGCAATTTCAAGGTGACGGCATTATTAATAACAATAGCTGGCACTTACTGAGGGCCAAGCCCTGAACCTGATATTTTTTCTGGCATCGTCAGTCAGTCTTTAGGCTTGGGGACCCTGGGCAAGTCCATGGAGCCTCTCTGAGCCTCATCGTTGGTGGGGGGAGGGGAGGGGTGCGGGGAGCACTTGAGATAAAGGTCTCTCCCTATCTCCCCGGGGTTGCTCTGAGTCTTGAAGATAATGCATGGCACATGTAGGCACTCCATAAATGCTAGTTCCCTCCCATCCCGTTCTAATTTATTTTAAAAGGGCAGAGGGTTAACACAGAGGCCCGAGCGCCCCACTAGGGAGCACTCAGACATTTAGAGGATGCTGAGCGACAGGAATAAAAACGGCTCTGTTAAGAGGCCCCTGGCCGACTGGCCCAGAGAAACAGAAATTTCATAGCTACTTTAAATTTATGAGTTGTTGGGTCCTGGAAGGCAGGCGGGTCATAAACCTCAAACAAGAAGCCAAGCAGGATCCTAATGAATAAGAGCCATGCAGCAAGTGCCCCGTCTCCCCGCCCGGGCCCCCAGGACACCCATGGGGCACTGTCCCGGAAGATCCTGGCAGGCCCGTCCTGCGGGTGGAGAGGAGGCTGGCCTGGAGGCCCAGGGCTTCCACCTGGACGGGGGGCAGGGGGTGGAGGAGCAGCCCTGACCGCCGCGGGAGGACACGGGGGAGGAGGCAGCACCAGAGCAGAGTCCCTGATGTGGGGAAGGGGGTGGCCCTGGTCCCCCTCCCTCGTATGGCATTCTGCTCGGGCACGGAGTGCACCTGAGGAGAAGACAGCGGTAGGTCCTCTGCTGGAACAGGTGTCTCGGGTGTGCGTTTGCAGCCCCGGCCCCTCCCTGGATGGAGAGGGAGCTTCTTCAAGGCAAGGCCCGGCCTGCGCTCACCCTCGTGCGCCCAGCACCGAGCACAGGGCCTGCTGACGAGCCCTCTGCGCTCTCGCTAGCTGTCACCAAGGGGCAAGGGCTCAGGAGCTCACAGGATTATCCGGTCCCTCTAAGGACCGTCTTGGGAGCCCAGCAGCCCTGAGGGTCAACCTTGGTTCTGACACGCCTGTGTTGCCGTCGAGGAGAGCCTGACAAGTGAGCTCACTTCTCAGAGCCGGACTCTCCTCACTCGTGAGATGGGGTTACCGAGCCACCCTGGGGCTGCGGAGGAGAGCGCAGGTGGTGGTGGAGAGGGCGCTGGGCCTGGAGCCCGGTCCCTAACGGGAGCCCAATCAGTGCCGATGCATACGTCCCTAAGGAGGACCTCAGAACCTTTGCCGGGACCCTCGGATTCTGCTGTGGACGACTGGTGCCTGCCCCTTCCCACCCCGGGGCCCCAGCGCTGCCTCACGGTTCAGGCAGGCCTGTTTCCAGCGGGGGTCCCAGTAGCCGGGCAGCTAGACGGGGCTGGGCGCCGCTCCTCCTGGCCACCCCCCGCTTTGCCACTACCTTACTCAGTCACTCTTGTTAACGAGATTGCCGACGTGGGCTAGGATCCCGGGGTCTATGCTGGGGTTTCCGGAAGGCCCCGTGGATGGAATTCAGGGGCAGTCCCTGAACTTGAAGAGGAAAAAAAAAAAATCACGACTCTTCTTTCCACCGACCTCTGATGGAAATTCAGCACATCCCTCAAATCTGAGCGTAGGCGACGAACCCACGGTACCTGTTACTGTCACAGATAGGCACATGTCCCATTACAGTCATTGCTGCAGATTTCAAAACGTGTCACTAAGGCTTGTCGCTGCTTCAACTTTGAGGTCGTTAGCAGGCCTGCTGCTGGATCTCGTTATGCAATGCATTAATAAAGAAGCCCGTCTGAGACTAGGCCACCTTGAACGCACTTTCACGATTGTATTTCATTGTCATCGATTTCCTCTGTAATCCTTCGTTTTGCACTTGATGCATTTTAAAACTTTATTACGGGACGGGGTCCACAGGACCCCGGGACACAGTGCTTTGTTTGCAAGGACCCTCTGTGTCCCGACATTCTAAGATTCTGAGGATCTATTTCCCGAGGGCCCTTCCCATCAGCATAAGTATGAAATTAAATTTGCTGATCGCATGGCCTTCTTCTTCTTCTTCTTCTTCTTCTTTTTTTTTTCCAATCAGGAAATATATGCAGGCCGTGACAGCCCTTCCAAACTCCTGGGCTTCCCACAGAATGCGCTCGAATGACACTGGAAAGGTTTCAAAAATCCAGTCCACCCCCTGCTTTAATTCCTTTCTTCCCGCCAACAGATGTTGCAGGCCTGGTGAGGAAGCCCATCGTGCACCGCTCTCACGCCACTGGTGGCGTTTCTCAGCAGAGGCAGATTCTTCTGGGTCCCCGACGCTATCCCCCCTCCTGCACGAGGCAGCCCCTTGCAGGGTTTAAGGGAGTGCAGGAGATTGCTACTTTTCCACCTGGCCCCCAAGCCCAGAGGTTAAGCTTTCGGGTGGTGCCGGGCTGTCCGTCCCCCACCACCCACCCCCGGCACTCACAGCTGCTTCTCCGTAGCATCCAGGACCCTGGATCACCAAAATGAAGGTTGTGATTCTCAAACCTCCCCTGTCATGACAACTCACAAACTCTTCCCCTCTTCAGACCTTGGCCTGACTTCCCACCTAGCCAGAGCCACTGATCTGAGTTTCACTTTCCTCGTAAGTGAGGGTTGCCTGAGCGAGAGCCCCTGGCAGGTGGCTACGCTTCTCCGGGTTTCAGCTGCCCTATCTGTCAACGGAGCATAGCCGGCGAGTCTCGAAGGCTCTTCCAGTTGTAATGTTCTGGGAGCAGAGTCATGGAACCCCTTTGGGCAGATGCTCCAAAAACATCCACAGGGCCAGGCCAAGGCGCTGAGATTCGGGGCTTTCTCACTCAGTGACTTCACCTCGCTGAGAGTCAGCGACCATCCCGATCAAAGGGGAGACAAGCTAACTGACCCCAGCAGCCTGCACGGGCATGGAAGGGGGGTGCGTGTGGAGCGCTGCGCCGAAGGGCTCGGCACAGAGGAAGCGTGTGATAAAGAGTCATTGTGTTGGGAGACCAGTGTGGACTCACCTGCTCACCCACAGGCCCTGGCCGCCCAGCGTCGCCTGGCTCCCCCTGCAAAGAGGAAAAGAGGAGCATCACTTGGGATGGGTGATGGGAGTGTAGCCCCCCTCCCCGCCCCCGCACAGGGAACAGCCACAGGTAACTGGCCTCGTCCCTACCAGTAGGGAAGGACAGAAAACCTCAACCCCAGCGTCTGGCCTTGCAGAGACCTCAAACAAACGGTGGAAGCAATGGGACCCTCGCACAGAACCTCTGGCCCCAGACACGGCCCTAGCCGCCCATTCCCTGAGTGGTCCCCTTGGCAGACCACCTGGTACCCTGATGTCTGTATCGAATTTGGGCTGTTCATCAACCCGCTGCATTTTGTGGAGGCAGCGACCGAAGCTCAGAGGGGCTCGGATCTGCTCCAGGCCACACAGCAAGCTAGAACTTTGGTCCAACTGATTGAAATCTCCACTCCTACTGCTTACCAGGCTGCCCCACCACGGGAAGAGCAGGGAACCAGAGAGTCGGGGCACTTGGATCCTAGACCCTGACCCACCAGGGCTCTGAAAGCAGCTGGCAAAAGGATCGGTGAGCCTTGTCGCTGCCCTGGGCTCAGCCTCCCCCAGCCATAAATAAGGGAAATCACGCTCGTTTGTCTCATAGGCTATTTCCAGCTCTCACGCTTGGTGGCCTCCTGTATGTAGCCTTGTCTGCCAGCTTTGTCCCGAGCTGGGGTGGCTCCTGCTCCTCAGGCAGCCACAGCCTCCCCTGGTCTCCCCCCGCTGCGTGAGCTGGAGAGGCGAGCAGCCCCGTGGGATAAATCCACCCAGGCTATGTCACCGCTCCCACCACAGAAACCCAGCTGGCCTCTGAGGGAGAAAGAGACCTCAGAGGGCAGGACAAAGGGTGACACTAGCCCAGTGAGCCAGGACCCTGGCTCACAAATGGATGCGGCTCACCACAATCAGGGTTCAAGCCTCATCTTTCCCTCCAGCTCTTCCCCCAGACCTCACGCTCATGAGAAGCAGAGGGGCCCAGACAGATACACGGGCCATGTCCCCTGCGTGGAGGGGGCCGCGGATGACCTGAGCTACCCTGGCTCTGCGCTAACACTCATGCGTCTGCCCAGCTGTAAACGTGGCCCAGCACTCTCCGCCTGGGACGGCTTGGAAAATCCAGCCCTCAAGAGGAGTCCTTGGAAAGCCACTAAGCGAGGCTGCCCATGTGCTGAGCATCATCACTCTCCCACCCAGGCCAGCGCTTTCCTGATAAATTAAAAAATAAAAAAACTGCTAACAAATGTAATAGATATTTACTGCACCTAATGAGGGAAAGCTGGAGACCCACAAAAGGAAACAGAACTGCCCCACCGCCCGGAGAGAGAGCCCCTGTCTACACCGCAGCCTCTGCTCTGAGCCGACGGGAACGCAACTGGCCCCTGCAGCAGGTTGGTCCCGTAACCCTCCACCTGTCGCCTGCCTCCTACCACGGCCTCACCACCACCTCCGTGCGCACTGGCGTCTTGCCAGCTTGTAAACTCCTCCTCTGCACCGTCTTTGGTGGCTGCCCTGCGTCCCGTTAGGTGACCACTACCCCACTGTTGGACATTTAGGTTCTGCTCATTCTTTCCTCTCTGTTACCACTGTGCTGTGATAAATGGGGATCACTCACCCCCTTCCCACACCTGCCCGGGGATTGGGATCCTTCACAGGGCCCTCATTTGCCGGTCCCACCTTTCTTCTGTTCCCCCGTTGTTCTATCCCACCCCCCGCAAGCCCAGTCACACCCAGGTCCCCTCACCTTCACGCCGTCTGGGCCTGGCCGGCCAGGAAACCCCTTCCTGCCAGGTTGGCCCTGCAAACAGAGAGAGGTGAGTGAGGGGGGTTGGTGGGTGGGTAGTGTTGCTTGGGGGGGGGGGGTCCCAGTGCTGGCACAATGCCCCAGGGGGCCAGGGGTGCAGAGCCCGGAGGACCCCAGGCTGCCAGCCATTCTGGAGATGCAGAGGTGGGGGGGTGGGGGGTCTGCAGCTGTGTGACCTCAGGGACGTCTCCCCTCCCAGGCCAGTCCTGTTTGTAAATGGGGATGTTGAAACCTGCTTTCAAGGAACGAGGAAGAGGAAGGACCTGGATGGAAGATACAGGCAGGGCCCAGGGGACTGGAGAGTCTATGCCAGCGGTTCTCAGAGTGTGGCCCGGGGACCCTCGCGGGAGACCCGAGACGTCAGATCTAGGTTCACAATAGTGCCTAGACGTCGCTGGCCTGTGTCTCACTCTCATGAGTGTAAGCGGAGATTTCCAGAGGCTACATGACATGTGGTATCGTCAACGGGTTGAATGCAGAAGCAGATGGGAGATTCCAGCTGACTTCTATTAGAGCAGACATTAAAGAGATTTGCAAAACCGGTCAAACAATGCCACTCTTTTCATTAGATTATTTTGCCTCGGAAAATATAGCTGGTGGGTGTTTTGCTTTGTTATGAAACTATTATTTTTGTGAACATGGAGTGGGATGATTATTATTTCAAATGGATTAATAAACACACTTGAAAGTTTTCGGTTTTGATGACTAATATCAATAGATGGAACTCACACAGAGAAAAGCTTTTGGGGGCTCCATTCATTCCTTTTTAAGAGGGTAAACGGGCCCCAAGGATGAAGCGATTGTGCACGGCTGGTTTACACCACCACCCGCCTGGGGAGGACCTCGTGGAAGACGGCTCGGGGCAGGGCCGTCGCGGGGAGCAAGGTGAGGCTCTGGACGATGAGACACTGGGCTGCCCCGCTCGCTCTTTGGGCCTGATGGCCTTGCGTGAAACTCAGACCAGCAATGCCGCTCTCACGGAGACTCAAATGAATGAGAGCGGATGCAAAGCCCATCCCACAGCAGCTGGATGAGCGCAGCCGGTCGGTTTCCTGCCTCGTCTCTCTATCCTTTGCGTCTGTTCCAATCCCCTCACCGGCTGGCCCAGGGCTCCCGCCGATGACCTCTCTGCACAGCACCAGCAGGTGTTGCCTCTCTGCACACCGCCGGCACAGGAATGACAAATCCCACCTGCCCGGCGCCAGGGACACTCACCTCTAAGCCAGGGGCCCCGGGTGGCCCCATGGGTCCCTCATCTCCCTAGAGTTGGGAGACACAAGAGAAGAAAAAGGAGAAATTAGTCCAGGGAGAGACTCGGAGAGCTTGACCTGTAAGGAGGGAGAGGGGGTGGACAGAGGAGAGTCCTCCTGGACCCCGAGAAATGGTCCACTTGGTCCGCCCACTTGGACCCCCACCCAGGCTGCACAGGGCCTTCCACGTGAATGGGGCTCCTGAACATGACACCTGAACGTGACAGGCCCCGGGTTCGTGGCAGGGCTGGGCAGAGAGTCAAACCCCATCATACACTGTAGGTACAGAGCCCCAGACGACAGCTCAAAGATATGAGCTCTATTCTGAGCTCCACCAACCATGCAGTGGCAGACCTTAGCCTCACCGTGCCTCAGTTTCCCCATCTCTAAAATGGTGCAGGATGGAGAGGACCATGCTAAGGATGATGACTAGCCTAAGTTGCATTCCTGGAGGACAGCGATGGTCTCTTACTCTTTTTTGAGGCCCTGCGCCCTACTCCGCCACAAAAATCATTCAGGATGGGTGTGCAGGGCCTCACAGATGTGTGGGGAGTGAAGGTGGGGTCCAGGGGCATGAGGAGGGAGCAGATGGAGAAGCGGACGAAGGCAGGGGTGGATGAATGAATCCACGGAGACGGGAGCAAGCAGCAGGCTCTTGCACCGTAATGTGGGTATAGACGGGGGCACGTGGCTGGCGCCGGCCCTCCGTCCTCACCCCTCCCTTTCCACTCCTGGCCCTCCCGCAGGCGAGGGCAGCCTCCAAACCGGCCTCTCCAGCGTGCCAGGCCTAACCCAGAGGCCCCCTCTGGGGCCACCCCCCAACCCAGCTTCCAGGAAAGCAGCCCCACGTGGCCACTCCCCGAGCCAGCGCTGGGGCCCCGCCAGACCCAGAACCCGCCTGCAAAGGGATCCGTGTCAGCTGGATGCCTGCCTGTGGTTGTGGTGAGTCCGGGCCTCCTGCACCCTCACTCGGGGCTGTCTGTGTGTCCCGGGGCCTTGGGGCCGGAGCCTAGGTGGGGGCAGGGCTCAGGTACAGGCAAAATCTGGGGCTCACCCACCGGGTGCCCAACAGGCCCACCCACAGAAAACGTCTCGATCCCCTTGAGCATGAATGAGGAAACGCAAATCTCCACTCTGCCGCTTGCTAGCTCTGCAAGTCCTGTCATTCTCTGGGATGCCCCCCCCCCACCTCCCCACCCGGCAGCTCCCAGGAGCACGGAGTTAACAGCACGGGTCTATGTCACGGGCTTTGGGTTCAAGCAGACACGGATCTGAAGCCCGACCCTGCGGCCGCTAACCGTGGTACCCAATGCGGTATCCCCCCCCCCCCCCCGAGGCCCAGGGCCTCCCCTCCGACCTCTGGGAACTGTGCTGTGGGCAGGAGCAGGGGCAGTGGCCTCCTGGAGGAGGCCCCCGGGTGGTGGGGGCCCCACAGAGGCAGAAGGTCGCCTGCCAGCCAGGCCAGGCCAGAGAAAGACCGTGGCAAGGTGACGGGCTAGGGCTGTAAGGGATGAGCGGGAGGGCGAGCCTGAGGCAGCCCAGGGTGGTGTCCTGGCTGAAGGGCCCCGGCCCCCGGCTCAGGCTCCAGGACCCAGGCCGGAGCAGACAGGGCTGCAGGGGACGGGCGGGGACAGGGCCAGACGGTCTCACCTCGGGCCCCAGCTGCCCACGGGGTCCCGGCAGGCCTCGAGCTCCAGGCTTACCCTGGTGAGAAGGGAACAAAGAGCGGTCTCAGAGGCGGCACCTCCGTGTCCATCAGAGGCTGGCAAGGCCCCCAGCAATCCCACGTCAGGTCGCCAGCCTTGGAGGCCTGTGGCTTCCACACAGCAGTTTACTTCGATGGCCCTGCGCAGGGACTCACCTTCATGCCTTCTGGGCCGTTGTCCCCAGGGGGGCCAATGTCTCCGGGGAATCCCTGAGGGGAAGCAGAGAGCAGGGGTCACCCATGGGTGAAGGGAACTGCTTGGAAGGAGACCGACCCGGGGTTTCCGTCCCTTCCTGCATGGGACGGGACCCTGGGCAGGCGGGTTAACCACCTGGATGCCACAGTCCTGTTCTAGAACAGGGATCTGGGCGAGAGCCTGCACTTCCCAGAGAGCTGCTGAGATGAAACGAGACAATGCAAGGAAGTGCCGAGCACCGGACCAAGCGTGCAGCCCCCTCCAGGTTGTGTGACCCAGAACCTCCCAAGTCCCGGGCCTGCGGCAGCCAGAGCCCCGCAGCCAGCCCTCCTCCTCTGCCCTGGGAAATGGCATCCTTTGATTGCAGTGATCCTGCAGCTACGATTCTAGAATGTTCTGGGCGTGCTACAACTTTGAAGGGCTTGGAACACACCGAGGTTATGATTAAGCTCAGCCCCTCGTCTCCGGAGCTGAGGTGTCCCCTGCACCACCAACGAGGCCTCGCTGCTCCCACACCAAGCCTGTTCCCGATGGACGGCTGTGCAGGGCAGGCTTCTTCCCGACGCCGAGCAGAACCCTGCCCCTTCCCCTTGACAACCTCCTGCCACCCCCATAGGGCTGCACAAAGCTGCACAAAGCTCAGGACGGGTTGGCGGGGAGGGGGTCCTTCTTTCCACAGTGGTCTTTGCATAATTCGGAGGCCACTCATCCCCTCCCCCAGAGGCCTGCCCTTTGCTGGCCCTTCAGTGGCTTCACGCTGGGGCCCCTCCGTTTTGCCAACCTCTAGTCGGTCGGCGTCCATGGTTGGCCATCGCTAGGGTGCCCAAGCTCCTCTGGGTGCGAACAGACCAGCAGAGGCCAGTACAGGACTATCCCCTTCCTTGTTTGAGGTGTCATACCTCTGCTGATTCATCCTAATACCATAGGCACTTCTCAGGCAGCCCCTCTACTCTCTTAGTTTCCTGACAACTAGAAACCAAAACCTCCTTACGTGAGTCGCGGAGACCGAAATGCCTCCTCCTGCGTCGCCTCCGTATGTAGCTCTTTCCCTTCCTCTCTGATCTTTGGGTGACTCCCATTAAACTCCCGCTCTAACATCCTCTCACCCTTCTTACTGGCCACGGCAAGAATGGGTCTGAACTCTGAGCTATCACCGAATGCCCAAGCTCCCACATATGTCTCCTCACACCGAGAGGCTCAAAGTCCTGTCCTGTCACCAACACACCGCATGACCCCGGGCAGGTTCTGGAGCATCTCTGGGCCTTGGCTTGCTCGTCTAGAAAACGGTGACGACGACGTCACCTTACAGGTCCGTTCTGAGGCTCCAAGGGAATAAGACAAGCAAAGAGGGGCACCTGGGTGGCCCAGCAGTTGAGCATCTGCCTTTGGCTGGGGTTGTGATCCCGGGGTCCTGGGATCGAGTCCCGCATTGGGCTCCCCGCAGGGAACCTGCTTCTCCCTCTGCCTGTGTCTCTGCCTCTCTCAGTCTCTCATGAATAAAATAAAATCTTAAAAAAAAAAAAAAGGCAAGCAAAGGGCTTAGCTCAGCACCTGGCGCCTGCTATGTGCACAATAAAAATCCGTATCCAGAAGGCTGCAAAGCCAGAGTCACGCCCCCTCCAACCCTGACCCCGACCCCAGGCACGGGGTCAGAAGGAGCAGAGACCCAGGAAGGCGCTGACATGCTCCTCAGCCTCTGTCTCCAGCCGGGCAGGACTCGGAGGTCGCCAATCCAAACAGAACACAAGGACGGGATCCACGCAGGGACCCAAGAGACAACCAAAGCAGAGCTTCTTTGCTGCAAGTAGCAGCGACCCCAAGGAAGTCACTTCTCTACCCCGTGACTCAGTCTCCCTTTCTGTAATCCGGTGGCAGTGGTACCTCCCGGGCGTGCGTGGGAGGCCTTTCCACGCGCTCTCGTCCGAGGACGCTGCGTGGCCTGCTGCCCCGAGGTGGAGCCTGAGCAGCGGGAGGCGGCCAGACTGCGGGAGAGCCGGACTGTCAGAGGAGCCTTCCTCCGCAGTGGCCAGGGGAGGGATCGGGGCCAGCTCCACTCTCTCAAGATGGGACTGTGTCACGGCCAAAGTCAACACGGCGCAAAGTCAGAGCCTTCAGGAAACCATCCCTCATCTTCTCGGGGCAACACCAGGAACGATCTTTGGAAGAGTTTGGAGAACCCGGCAGAGCAAGACTTTCGTCTCTGAGATCTTGGGGAAGATGGGAAGGGGTGTGTGTGTGTGTGTGTGTGTGTGTGCGTGCGTGTGTGTGTGTGTGCGCGCGTGCACGCACGGTGGGGGCTGGCTGGGGTCGGCCTAGACACCTCCCCCCAAGAGAGCCCGGGTGCTGAGGATCCCGGCAGGTGGCAGCCCTGGCACGGACCACCCTATGCTCCAAAGACGGTCCCCGCTGGAGCGGCGGGTGGAAGGGCTCCACCGGCGGCCCCCCGCGCCGTGAGTGACACGTGAAAGCTGGCTGGTGCACGCCGACCTGCGCTAATGCTCACGCGCATCAGGACCCCGCAGGCGGGTTATAGGAGTTGCCCAGTCATCCTTCAGGAGTTCTCATTCTCCATCCAAACACCGGAGTTTTCACATCTGCTCCTTGCTCCCCACTCCTCCCAACCCTGAGCCCTGAACGTTTTCCGCTGTGTGGGGGGATTGTGGGCGGAGTGTGGGTGTTTGGAAACGTTCCAGGGCTCGGGCTTAGAGAAACAGGAGCTCCCGCTCAGGGCTCAGGCCCGAGTTCAGAGGGCTCCCCTGATGTTTTTTCTGGAAACTCTAAAGGCGACCACAACGCTAGGGAGGGTCTCCGGGGCCAGCTTCTGTCCCGCTGCCATGGAAAGCCGCTGGGGGCATCGCGGGCAGAAAAGGGAAGATGTCTGATCTCAGAATTTCTCTCCCCAGCCCCATCTCCCGTTTGCTGTGCGCTCTCAGGGAAGGACACCCCGCTCCCCATCTCTGGGTCTCGGTTTCCCAAGGACGACACCTAGTCCCGACCGTAGCCAGACGCAGAAATACGGCCTCACATACCTCGGGTCCAGGAGGCCCAGGAAACCCCAGGGGTCCCTTGTCTCCAACTTTGCCCTGGGGAAGAGAAGAGATGGCAGGGGAGGCCGGGGTAAGTGAGGGCCCACCTTCCTCCATCCTTTGTGTTAGCCCCCCCCACCCCTGCTGTGGGGGTGGGACTGGAAAAGCTCAGGAGCCTCTGAAGGAAACCGGCCTCCATAACCAGGAGGTACCATCCACACCCCACTGGGCAAGACACTTCATCATGTGTAAGCTCAGTTTCCCCGTCTGTAGGATGGGAACGATAATTCTCTAGCCCTTGGGTACCACCTTGGCAGCCTTCAAAGGAGGACAGGATGGGAAGGATCCAATACTTTGGAACATTCAAGAAGTACATGTCATGAACGCTACTGCTGTTGTCAAGGCTTTGGAAGCCCCGGATTCTGATTCTCCCCAGGACTCTGACAGGGACAGAGGCCTATCTATGACGCTGGGTGAGTCCTGTCCCTCTGGGGCTCAGTGTCCTCCTCTGTGAGATGGGTGACTGTCATTCCTACCCTGCTCTGCTGGTCCCTCAGGGCTGCTGCAGGAGGAAATGCGGTCTGGGGACAGGACAGGGTCCCTGGCCACATCTCACGGCTGCTTGGAGACTGTGAGGCTTGGGGGTATCAGAGCACAAGGTACTTACCAGAGGCCCCGGCTTCCCCCGTGCACCTGGGAACCCTGGCAATCCCTGGCTCCCCTGGAAAAGACCAAGAGCAGGCTAGGGGTTAGCAAGGCCCAGAAACGGCCAGGCGAACAGCTGCGCAGTCATCCTTGCCCGCCCGAGGCCTCGAGAACACCCACCTCTGGGGGTGACTGAGCCCCCCCCCCAATCTCCCTGCCTGTAAGCTCCAGCTGGGCACCCCCGTGGCCTGGGTCTCAGGGAGGCAAAGGGGAAACAGCAGGCCCTGTCCTCACCTAGTTGTCCTGGACCCTGGGAGCCCGGGGCTCCAAGCAGGCACCCCGTGCCCTGCAGGCCTGGGGAAGTCCAGAGACTGGGGCCCAGCTGGGGAAGCAGCCTGGTCCACATGGCTCACGAGCCGGAGACACCGAGGCTGGGTCAGGACAGGCCAGCCAGGAGGGAGGGAAGAGGAAGAGGGAGAGCTGGCCAACATCTGGGCCTTGTTGACCGGCTGGGTGAGGGCCAGATGTGGCCACATGGTGCCGGACACAGGCAAAGAGGAGCCGGCCTCGGTCCATCCATCAGTCAGTAGGGCCGTTTACTGCCTCGCTCACTCAGACATGTCCTAAATGTTCACTGTTCTGTGCAGGACTCTGGGCTGAGCTTTGTCAGGCCAGGCTGCGGCACTATCCTTAGGGAGCTGGTTGTCGGGCACGGGACTGAGCACAAGCCCCCATCAACCAGGTGCTGCCCCAGTCGCGGACAGATGTGCGGCTCGGGGAACGCAGAGAGGCAAGTGGCCCCTGTCCAAGCAGGTGGAGGGAACGGGGAGCCCGTGCAGAGGGCCCATCAGCGGAGCACAGGGCCGTAAGGGCAGGAATGGGGCCGAGGGGCTCACTCGCTGGGTGCTGGGTGCTGGCGTGAGGAGCCGTAGGGAGCCGCGGGGGGTCTGTGAGCACAGGGCAGAGCCTTGTGAGGAAGACAGACTGGGAGAGAAGAGGCCGGGGGCTTGGCAGTAAGTCAGGGGGCTGTTGTAAACGCCGGGGGAGGGACGCAGACGGGGGCCGAGGCTGGAGAAGACAGGGCTGTGTGAAAGCCATCTGCGGCGGCCGGGGGCATGGGGGGCGGGGGGGATCCTGGCCCACGAGGGACCCTGAGAAGGAAGCTGGGGCCAGAGAACAGCAGGGCGGGGGGGGGGGATCTGCTGCAATTACCTTGTCTCCTTGGAATCCAGGGTCTCCTGACACACCTGGAACCCCTTGTTCACCCTAAATGCACACCAGCAAAGAACGTTACAATGGAGACCACGGCGGGTTCCAGAAGCCTCCCCACTCGCAGACCCACCGGCAAGGGACGGCTTTGCTGAGGCCATTCCCAGACTGGATCGGACCAGCAGCAGCTCTGTGAGAGCAAAGGGCAGGGCCCCCCAGCAGGGAAGCCGGGCTGGGGAAGGCAGGCCCTGGGGGGCACGGAGCCGGCCTCGCCGCACACCCGCCTGGCGTTGCTCGGGTGGCTGAACACACCGCTAACGGCAGCCGAGCTGCCTGGCCTTTCCCGGAGAACTGGCAGTTGCAGATCAAAGGGACTGTTTCCTGATCCTTCCAGGTCTTCACCGTCAGCTTCATGTCACACGGGGGCAGGTGCCGGCTGTGCAGCGCCACCCTCTCAACGCCCACCCCCTCCCCCACCCCCATCACAGAGGGTTCAGAGTGTTTGCATCCGTTGCTTGACATTTTTCACCACCAGGCTGGGAGCCTTCGCTTCTTCCCTCTGCGGGAGTCTCTATGCAAGCCGTCAGCGGGGGGCTACTTGTAATTCGCCACTGGCCATCCTCTAAGCCCCGGCGGCTAACACTATGTGCAAACAGTGAGCAAACGGGTCTCGAGTTAGTTCTGGGCGTTGCTTTCCTGAATGACACAGATCCTGGCCATCAGGGGTCTCTTCGGGTCCCTCCCCTATTTTCAGCTACATCCTGGTAAACGAGCTGTTGGAGAACTACATGGGAAGATGCTTCCTCTCCCGGCCAGAGTCCCATCACGCAGCCCTCGTCATCTCCGGCTTGCCAGGCTGGATATTCCCCACAGTACCCCGGCCCTGCACTCGGCAAACACTCACAGCCCGGGGAGCAGTTGGAAGAATGGGGATAAAACCCAGGAGGGAGGGAGACTCTTAGAGAACACACATCGTGCAGCTAAGGCCAGGAGCCAGCACAAGAACTTCCTTGGTAAAACAAAAGCCAGAATTAAAATTAATAAATAAATAGCTTTTTTTTTTTTTAAAAAAAAAAAAAAGTACTTTGGTTTTTCCAATCTGGAAAAATCTGTAAAATATCCCAGAGGTTTGGGAGCCAAGGAAGTTTCTTTTTGGGGTGTGTGTATGTGTGTGTGTGTGTGTGTGTGTGTGTGTGTGTTTTAAATGCCCAAAGGAGGAGCAGAGGGGATTAGAAAAAAAAAAAAAAGTTTAAAAAGACACCTAAGAAATCAGGACAATGGATTCAGGCTGGAGCTGGAGTCTCGGTTCCAGAATGCGCCTCCACGCAGGAAGACGGAGCCAAGTGGTTGTAAGTGGGACCGGGGCCAGGCCGGGTCATGGAAAATCTGGGATTCTGGGCAGGGCGACTGAGGAACATGAAGGGATGGCTCCGTCATCCCAGGGGAGGGCCGGGCCGGGGGTGGGGTGGGGGCGGAGGGGCCCCTCACACCCTCACCGGCTCTCAGCAACGTGAAGACCCCTCCCCAGCCAAAGGGGTGAGAAAAGAAAGTCCTTTTTCTTTTCTTTTCAACCCCCAAGACTTATTTGATGTTCTTGAAAACTATGGGCAGGAAAACAATTTCCTCCACTTCTTTTTTTTTTTTTTCCAGAGCTTTCACATCTCAAAACGAGCCAGGCACCAGCAGTCAGCAAGCCAGCCGAGTTCCATGTAACACGTTTATTTCCATGTTCCTGAAGGACCAAGCGAGCGGGAGGCCAGCTCTGCACAGGGGCCTATAAAAAGCTCCCCCACTTCCTTTCTCCCTTGTCCGTGACCTCAACATTTCCAGAGCGCTGATGTCTCAAAACCCCAGAGCAAACAGGTAGCTGTGCGGGAGCCCCCCCACCCCCCACCTCGGACAGGAGGCCCCTGCATCTCAAGGGGAAGGCCACAGAAGAGGGGGCTTAGCAGGCAGCAGGGCAGGGCCGGAGGGGGAGCACGGGAGCCCGAGGGGGGTGGCAGCCGGGGGTTCCCGGCCAGGACAGTTAGGAGGTGGAAGAGGCGGAAACGGAGAAAGCGGTGCACCCCTGGCTACCTAGGGATGGGGCGGCCAGGACACTCTGGGTGTGCCCGTTTCGGCCCCCCCTTCTCCCCGTTCCTAAGAGTCTGAGGGCTGAGTTGCCTTTGATGCATCTCTTCCAACTCCCTGGGGCTACTGCCCCGGCTGCAAATGCAGGCACGGGCGGTGGTGACCCCCAAGGGCCTCGTCAGCCCTGCCCTTCTGCCCTAGTTCTGCTCCGTGGCGAGGCCTCCGGAGACACGTGCCTGGGTTCGCCACCTGACACTCCTCGCCGAGGTGCCGGGCCAGCTCCCTAGCTCACGGAGGCTCACGGAGGCCCACGGAGGCTCACGGAGGCCCACAGAGGCCCACGGAGGCTCAGCGGCTGGCTGGGGCAATCCCCACGGGGCCCCTACACGGTGCCCAGCCCTGATACACCTGCTCCCGTCTCTCAGGTTTATGAGGAGCGGAGCCGGTCTGAAGGCAGGTGCAGGAGGATCCCGCCCACGGGAGCAGCACTCATCTGCTCAGACTCGTGGAAACTTGGACCCGGCCCCAGAGCCCTCCCACACCCCCTTTGGGGTGCCTGCTTCACGGAGAGGCTGAGAGGGGAGGGCGGGAGGAGAGCAAGGGGCAGAGCACAGGGAGCACGGCCCCCAGCCCCTCCCACCCCAGCGTCACGGTGTCCCTTAGATGCTGCATGACCAGGCCACGGGCTGCCCTGGCGCCGCCCTGCTCCGGGCCCCGGGGTCCCCCGACCCCCACGTCCAAATGTGGTTTGGCACTGGGTGAGTGCAGCAGGAGGACTGTGTGGAGGACACGTGGCACGGGTGGCCTCCCCATGGCAACTGGGAAGAAAGCGGGTCAGGGGCTCAGAGGCCTGTGCCAGCTTTTCTGTTGCACACTCAGACCACGTGCTCCCTGGGGTCGGGTTCCCAGTTCTAACTGGGGCGGCTTATGTGGATTCATTTCTTCCTGTGGCTGGAGAGGTCTCTGGCCCCCACACCATACCTGCCCCGGGGACTGTCATCTCAGCAACTCCCCCCCCATGCGCCCCCACTCTGGCCTTGGCCGCCAAGTCCAGACACTGGCCTCAGCTTTGCTCTCCGAATTCAGGGCCAGGCCTTGCCCCCCTGCCCACCCTGACCTGTGCCTCCACAGCCCCCCGTGCTCTACCTGCCTCAGATCTGCACCTGCCTGAGCTCCACCTGAGTTACAAGGAGGAAGCTGGGGAACACAGATATAGGGGGGCCAGAGGGGAGGCAGGAGAGTGCAGGGGAGTGGACCTGGCAAGAGAGCAGCAGCCACAGTGAGGTCGCTGTGGGGGTGGGGGTGCGGGTGCGGGTGCGGGTGGGGCTGGTTCGCATGCAGATAAAACACAGTGCAACAAGGGAGTATTCAGATCACCTTATCACCTTTCAGTCCGGGCTGCCCCACGTTCCCCATCAGTCCCTGCAAGACAAAGGCCAGATCCTGCGATGAGAGGGGGGCTCCAAGCCACGGAAGCCCAGCGCCCTGCCTGGCACCCACCGGCTTGCTGTGTCCACCGTGCTGGGCGCCCCACCCAGCGCTCAGTTTTCCCATCTGCGAAGGGGCCATGACCCCCAGCTCAGAGGGCCATGATGTGGAGTGAAGGAGCACGAGAGGGGGCCGCTGACTCATGAACCACAGCCCTCTGAACGAATCCAGGGGAGAAGGGGAACGAGGGGGACAGATGGGAGCCTCGTGCATCGTCACCCGCACGTTGGCCAAATGGGATCGTTCCCGGAATGAGGTCCGAGCAGTGCGGGCCACTCTTTCCTGCACGCCCAGCCCACCCAGGGACGCACCAAGTCCACTGTTTGCCGGTACAGTTTCTATGCCCCAGGTGATGCCCCCCCTTGACCTTTCAGTGCCTCGACATCTGGCCCCGCAGGAGACTCAAGCTCAGCGCAAGGACTGCTGTGCAAGGACACGTCAGCCATAAACGACATACAGATGATGACTGGCTCGCTCCCGACCTGCCAGCTTCCACCCAGCACCCCGTGAACCCCCGACCTCCCCTCCCCCAGCACTGTGCCCAGGCACCCTTCCCTCTGGGCTGCAGTGGGTCAGGGGGTGCCTGGCTGGGAGCAGACCCGGATTAAGGGATGGCTCTGGTTTACCTTCACGCCCTTGGGTCCTGGATAGCCAATCGGACCCAGTGCTCCCATGTCGCCCTGCCAAGAGAAAGAGAAGAGGGCACGGTGAGGAGGTGGCTCCCGGGCGTCTGGCCTGGGAGGGATGATTCCCGACGTCCCCTCGCCTGGGCTTCTGAGGACACAACCCCACTGGCTTTGTCAGACCACCTGGTCTCTGCGGCTCGCTCACCGCGTGCAGGATTCAGGGAGGCTCACGGCTCCATGCCTCAGTTTCCCCATCTAAAAGGGGGACCAGCGCAATGTACCTCCTAGACTTGTTTCAGGAAGAACTGACCTACGGGTATGAAGTGCTTGGCATAGTCCGGAGGCATTTAGTGCTATTCTAGCTGAAGGGGCTCTGCTGGCACCAATGGGTGAAGGCCCCACACAACACAGCCTCGAAATGCCCCATCGTGCTGAGGTGGGAAACCCTGGCTGACAGAAGGGGTGGCTGGATCCTGTCCGCACAAGCCCACCCTCTCTTCCCCTCTCGGGTCCTCACCTCCTGTCACCCCCACCACCGCTGCTCCCAGCCGCAGCCATAACGTTAAGCCCACGCCCCCTAAAAATGCTCTCTCCTCTCCCTTTTCCATCTGTTGGGACTTGTCAACGTGTCTGGTGGCTATGGGTGCTCAAGCAACACCCCTGACCTCCCTGGGTCCCGGTTTCCCGCATCCCTGCACCAGGCTCCACAGGGGCCCCTGGCAAGTGCTCTGCAGCACTAGGGGAACAGCCACAGCTGGGTGTCCTGCAGGGACTGCCCTGAGATGTCTCCATCACATCCCTGCCCGACCCCCCACCAGCAACGGGCCGTGTGACCTTGAGCAAAACACCTGCCCTCTCTGGACCTCGGGATCCCCCACCTGATTAGGTCAAACCGAACCCTCTAGCTGAACCTCTGCCAAGCAGCGGCGCTTTCAGCTCCATCACGTAATCTTCTGGTGAAGGAAGCACGGACTCTACAGGTGAGGAGACGACACAAACTACACGGTCCGCCAGGCAGGGAGCTAAGCACCTCACCTGCCTCGACCCAAGGACTCCTCACAGCCGCCCTTGGAGAGCCACCCTACTACCATCCCCATTTTACAGATGGGGGACCCGAGGCTCCATAGCGTTAGCACTGGGAGGAGCTGGGATTCACACCCCACCCGGCAGTCCATCTCCAGACCTTCCAGGTAATTCTGAAGTCGCCTTGGGAGAGGAGGGAGAGAGGGGAGTGAAGAGGCCAGGGTCCAGGAAAAGCCAGCCCTCCAGAGAAGCGCACTTCCCTAGGCCGTGCTCGCGCCTAAGTCTCTCCCTCTGTTTCCCAGGCTGAAGGGGGCCAGGCTGGCTTGCCCAGGGTTCCCCGTGGTACACGATAAGCCGAGTAGGCTCCGCTGGCACGGCCGGCTCCAGCCGGGCCCGGGCTGTGGGCAGGCGACCGGTCCACCGCTGCAGGAACACCGACTCCTCCCTCCCACTGCAGGCCCCAAGGTGGTACTCGGCCCCGGGGCCCTGGGGAGCCACAGCAGCACCACACTGGCCTCCAAGGACTTGCACGGGCCCAACCCCACGGGGCAAGGGGCTCCGGCTGCGGGCGCACGGGGAGAGGGCGGCGGCTTGCTCACGGCACAGCTTCCCCTGCTGGCAGGACCCCAGGGCCGGGCTCTAGGAGCACTCGGGGGAGAAACAGAGAAACTTCTAGGCCACTCCTGCCTCTCCGCCCAAGGAGAGAGACTAACACCATGGCTCTGGGCTAGACCCCGTGTGGGCAGCCTGGCCGGGTGACACACAGCGGGTCACGTCCTCACAAGAAAAAAACGACGAGTCGCGGCCTGCACCGGGCCCCCGGGCCCACCGTGCCTAAGCTCCCGGATGCCGGCTACACATCCTGCCCTTCGTCTTGCTGACCTCACCAAAACACAAGCAGGCAGGCCGGCGACCGTCCACGGGACTCCTGCTGCTACTAGTGGACACCACGCTCGACGTCAAGGTCCCGCCGATGCCGCTCACCCGAGCTGACCCCGGGCCTGGGCTGCCGGCCCTTCGTGGTGACCCCATCTCACGGATGAGGAACCCAAGGCGTACGGAGAGTGTCACTCACTCAAGACTAGGCACCAGTCGGGGGACGGGGGCAGGCCCAGAGCCCAGGTCTGGCTGGCTGGCCGGCCCCGCGTACTCCAATCCGGGGTCCTGGGATGCCGCTCCTCGTGGCTGCCACTCACAAGCGACAGGGCGGGAGGTCACGCTTGATTCAGAAAGCAGCGCGAGCTCGGCTGGACGGGCACACGCCGCAGGTGTCCAGGTGGGCCTGCCGGGGGCCGCTGAAAGGACACCGGGAGGCGGGGCTCCCACCTCTCTTCACACCTGTCCTACCTCCCTGCCCTGCTGCTCCTCTGCAGCTCTGACACCTGGGCCACCCGCTTCCGTACCCAGAACATTCTGCCCTGGGCTCCCGTTGTTAACGCGCCCTCACCTTTCGGCCGGGGGCACCAGGATCCCTGCCCTGATCCCACAGGCCACTTCAGGGCCCTGCTGTCGGGTCCTGCAGCCTTTGCCACACGGGGCAACCATTTCTGTGTGTGCCCAGGCGGCCACCGCCTGCCCCCCGCCTCCCAAAGTGGCTTAACCACCGGATGCAAATGACGCTCACATTTATGAACCCTCTAGGGAGGAATCCATGTTCCTAGAACTGTCTTTGAAGGCAACAAGGCCTCTTTCCAGAAACTGATGGGGCTCGGTAGCTTGGGGACAGGGACCTGGGCGCTGTGGTCTTAACAAAAGCACCATCGCTCACACAGAACAGCCCCTGGCGCTGTCCAGTCCACACTTGCTCATCTGCTGTCTCCAGAAGTCACACAGAGCTGAGTGGGTGATGGACACCGGCCCTGCTGGTCCAGCACTTCGCTGTGTGACCTCGAGCAGGTGTCTCAGCCTCTCTGTGCCGTTCCCTGAAGTGTACGATGGTAACCCCACTTCCTACCCTCAGAGGCTTGCTATGATCATTAGACACTTAGCACCAGGCCTGGCACACGAGGCTTTGCTAAGTGTCAGCGAGGGAGGCTCCTGAGCCTGCTTTATCACGAGGAAACAAAGCCAGATAATCACGGACTGACAATATGGTGGGCCCGTCCACTGTGCCCCATGTGCTGGATTTTGGCCAGACCACATATTCTTTGGGTCTCATTAGACCCACGGAAGAGCCAAAACTCCCTCTGTGTCACTCCAAATCAAAAAGACAAACCTTCTTTGTTCGGCAGATGCAGGAATCAGGCACACTTTTCTTGAGGGCCAGCCAAAGGGTTTCAGTTACTCAAAGGGGGCCGTTCTGAGGCGGTCTCCCCTCGGAGGCTGCAGGGGGCCAGCGGCGGCGTAGTGGCATCCGGGTCACACCGACCTGGGCTGCAAGTCCTGGCTGGTGATCTCGGGCCCCAGCCTCCCTAGCTGGGTGACGGGGCCGCCGCCGCCCCCCTCAAGGATCTCAAGGCCTCCCGCCCACCCCCATCTAATGCACGTGAAGCACACACAAAACAGACAGATGCCCCATAAATGTTTGTCTGCCTCCTCACACCCTTCTTCCCGCCTGCAAGGACCTATGGGGGGGGGGGGAGGCCTGTAGGGAGGGTGACGGGATGTTTCAGCTTCCGTCTGCATGCACGCTGCTTCAGCTGACCAGCCAGAAGGCACTGAATAATCCTGAATCTCCACTAAAATGATTATCAATATGTGGAATTCCCATTTGCTCAGCTAAAAACCCACATCCTCTGGAAAACCAGAGGTGACTCATGATCCCTCTTCCCCCTTTAGCTCCTGGTTAGAAAATTCCTTTCCTCTCCAACTCTCGGGGGAGGCCACTATTCTCCATCCAGCACCCCCGCCCCCACTCCCGGGGCACAGAAGCTGCTGTTTCCAAAAATCTGGGGCGGACGGGGGTCCTTGGGTGAGAGAGGGCACTAGTTCGGGGAGCAGCGGTGATTTGGCAGGGTCAGGTCTGTGCCTGTGACTCTAGCACCACCACCACCATCACACAGCAGAGGGAATTTTATAACAGGGGAAGTGAGACTGAAATGGCAGAGAAAGACACAGGCCAAGAGGGAACCTTGAGGAGGGGTAGGTCAGCAATTTGGACATTATGAGGGGGCACACGGTCTGAGGAATGCAGGGACACCCCAACTCCGGCCATTCAGAAACAGGATACACAGAGGAGCGGCCTGATTAGGAGGCAGAAGGCGTGCCTGTCCAGCATGTCTCCATCTTCCCCTGCCTTGTGGGTGATCTTGACCGGGGGCGGGGAGGGGGGGCTCAGTTTCCCCATCTGCCAAATGGGATTCCCCTCAGAGAGCCCGTGGCTAGGGCTGCCAGGCTGAGCAAACGAAAATACAATTCGCCCAGCTAAATCCAAATGTCAGACAAACACTGAATGCTATTCTAGTATAAATGTGTTCTAAATATTGCAGCCGAAATTCAAATTTCACTGGGCGTGTTGTATTTTATCTGGCAACCCTCCCTGTGGAAAGCAAAGGGGAGGTTAGGTGGGAAAGAGCCTCGGAAGGAGTCAGGAGGGCCACGGGCAGGGCTTGAGGCTCCAGAGCCTGCATTCATTTGGCCAAATGATATTCTTGCTCCTCTCAGGACCCATATAGGGGACACCAGGACAATGAGGAGGAGAAGCACGTGCCGACGATGAAAGCCAGGAGAGCTGGCTCCCTTCAGGGGAGCTTTGGGAACCGAGAGCATTTAGCCTGAAGAAGGAGCCCAGCAAGGACAGAGGACAGGCTCTTCTTTATCTCTCAAAGAGCCTCCCCAGGGGCAGGGGAATGACGGGGGCTCAGTGGGCAGGAAAGCCACCCACAGCGAGAGCTCTGCCGAATGGCCCAGGCTCCCACGGGAAAGAGCGCCCAACACCAGGCCGCTCAAGCTGGAGTGTAATCACCACGCGACCAGGATGTTCCAGAAGGCGTCCCCGTGAGCTTAGAGGAGGCGGGACGGCCAGACTTTGGGGTCCTCCTAAGCTGGGGTTCTCTAACTCTCGTCTGGATACTCCATTTCCAAAGCATTAGCTCAGTGCCCCGGGCCAAAGAAGATGCCCAGCAAAGTCCTGCTGAATGGACAGCGGGGATGACGGATGCCCGCCTCATAGGTGGGCATTTCCCTGTCCCAAGTCAAGGAGATGTCGCTTGTCAATCACACCCCCTCCTTCCCACTAGTTCCAACGGGAGTTTGAAATCTTTCTCCACACAGTGGTCTAGAGGCCTGCTACCACGCATAACACGTGTGTGCGCGCCTATGTGTGAACTAACAATAACTATTATTATCACGACTAGCACCTCTCGAGTCCTCACTGCGCACAAAGCGCCTTTATATGTGCTAGCTTCTCTAAATCTTCACAACGGAAGTCTAACTTGGGTACTCATGTCATCCCCATTTTGTAGATGAAGAAAGTGAGACACAGGGAAGTTAAGGAATTTGCTCAGAACCCGAATTCAACAAGTGGCAGAGCTAGGACCCCAAACCCACGTGACCTGGTTCCAGGGACAGCGCCAGACCGTGGGCATCTGTGGTCCTAATAAGAGGGTGCACAACAATCCCATCTTATGGAGGGGGCGGGGGCCTGGGGCCCTGGGAAGTGAGCCGTGGCTGAAGAGCACAGAAGCAGGAGGAGGTGAGGCTAGGGACCCTCCGCCTCCACCCCTATCCTGCCCAGGTTCTGCACTCACCCACCTGGGTGGGAGCATGCTGCCCCTGGGGCCCTCTTATCAGGACTGGCTTCCCCTGAACAACGGGGTCCCTGAACTCCCCCGGGGCCTTCTCCAGCCTCCCACTGAGCAGAAATTCTTGGCACAGTTGCTGGAGTAGCCAACGCTGGCAGCCCATTGGTCCAACAAGGGAATGGTCTACTTTTGTCCCTCTGGGGCCCCCCCGGACTCAAACCCCTGAGGAGTGACCAGAGGACAGAGCAAAGGGGGAATGAGACCCTTGGGAAAGCTCTTAGAGTCATTTCCCGGGCCTGGACCTCTCAACGGGCTCTTGCGGCTTGACCCAGGGTCAAGGTCCTACTGCGAGGGCCCAGCACGAGGCCCTGGCTTTGGCTGCTGGAACCACTCCACTCGGCCTACCCCAACCTGTGGGGTCAGAGGTCAGCCTGCCTCCCTCCTCCCCATCCACGGGCCTCACTCCCAGGAGTGTCAGGAGGTAATCGCAGTGATGAACACAACGATATTTTCCTCTGATTGCACACTTAGTAAATGCTGGGCCCGGTGCCAAGGACAGTCCGCGTAAGGCCTCGGTTACTCCTCACAACGCCCCCTCCCACCCCCAGAGTAGTCAATGATCATCGCCATCTTACAGATGAGGAACTAAGGCTCAGAGAGGGTAACTCCACGCAGGCCACACAGTCAGGATGTGGCAGGTGGTCTGGCTCCAGAGTCACTGAACTATGCAGGAAAGGGCTCAGAGAGGGTGAGCGATCTACCTGAGGACCCGCGGCAGGGCTTTCCTCCCTCTGCCCCCTGGCCAGACTGATAGGTCCTGCTCCCCAGCTCCTCCTGGGGTTTGATGAGAGGACCTTTCCCCATCAGGGCTTGTTGCTTACCCCCCACACCCTGCCTCTTGCCCCCACCAACCAGGCATCTGGGTACTTACAATGAGGCCGGGCACTCCTCGGGGCCCTGGCAGGCCCAGTTCTCCCTGCAAATAGAAAGAGACCAAAGGGGTTACTTGCCCTGTCTCCCCTCCAGTCACTCCAACCGTGCTATCCCCCCGTGGGCACCTGGCGGGATCCTTCGGAGCTGACCATTCCCTGTGCCTGATTAGTGACTCTCGGAGCCTGGCCTGAAGCTTGGACAAGAAGACCCTTCCCCCTTCTGCCATCGGCCTTCCGCATCTGTAAAATGGGGAGGCTGGATTTCCAGACCCAGGATTTTCCACTTGTCAGTGTCCGAGAAGAGGCACAATCCTGATCACGACAACAAAGATGTGCCGGGCGCCTGGCCCAGGTGTCACCTCATCTTCACTGTGCAGACGGCAAAACTGAGGCTCAAGAGGGATGGGATGTGGCCAAGGTCAAGTGCAAGGAAATAACACAGGGGCGAGGGCTCTGAGCTGAGAGCCACGGGGCCGGCCTCTGTCCCACTGAGAGCCACGGGGCCGGCCTCTGTCCCTCTGTCAGCTGGGAGGCGTTGGGGCCCTCAGAGGAGCCCAACATCCCTGCAAGGAGGCTGTTGGTCTCTGCCTCCCGGGGCCTCCCTTCAATGGCTTGCACCAGAAAAGACAGGTGGAGGGGCTTGGATCAAGTTCAAGATGCAAAGACATGGGGCAGCCCCAGTGGCTCAGTGGTTTATCGCCACCTTCGGTCCAGGGCGTGATCGAGTCCCACGTCGGGCTCCCTGCATGGAGCCTGCTTCTCCCTCTGCCTGTGTCTCTGCCACTGTGTGTGTGTGTGTGTGTGTGTGTGTGTCTCATGAATAAATAAAAATATTTTTTTAAAAAAAAAGATGCAAAGACATGAATAAAAATGGGGGGGGCCTCTAGAAATGCCGATCATCAGTGAGAATTGCCAAGCCCCCTCCAGGTGATCGTCTGGCCTCCCGTGTGCGCCAACAGGAGGCCGTCACTACAGACGAGAGGGGGGGAAGCAGCTCTGCCTTTAAAATGAGGGAAGCGAGGCCCAGGGAAGGGCAGCGACTTGTCAAGGTCTCAACAGCTGCGTGGCCAAGCCGGGGCCGCTCATCAGGTCCTCTTTCTGCTCCCCTGGGACCTGAGTATGAAGACCCCGCGGCCGACCCCAGATGCCGGCCTCCGGGATGACATCACCTATTATTAGGGCGCCTGGCCCGGTAACTGATACACCTGAGAGGCTCTGATTTCCCACCACCGTGCCTTCGCTGGTGACCTATCCTCCCCAGGGAATGTCCCCTCACCTGTCTCCTCACCCCAATCCAGGGTCACCTGCCCTGGGAGGCTTCCTGTCTCTTTATCCCTCCTCCACGGCCCCCGGGGCCTTCGACCCCACATGTCTCACTGTGCCTGGCACGACGGACCGGACAGACAGCGTGAGCTCCTCGAGGGCAGGCGGTGTGCCTGCGGTGACCTGCTGCTCACAACTGCCCCATCCCCGCTCCCAGGGTCTCGTTCTGTCCTTGCACCAGCCCTCTGACCCCCAGATTTACAGACCGGGAAACTGAGATTCAGAGAAGGGAACCGATGTGTCCGGGTGATGCAGCAGGATTCAAATCCGAGTCCGTGTGGCTCTGAGACCAGGGCTTAGGCCCCAAGGGGAGCTGGGGTTAGCCCAGGCTGGGGCGGGCTCAGGGAGCCTTTGTGGGATTGAAATCAGTGCCTACTCAGGGGCTGATGGCAGATCCAGCAGTCACCTCTACAGAAAACACAGCTGGCCACAGCTGCTGAGGTGGGAAGCCCCGGAGAGATGGGGGAACACGGCAGGTGTTTGTTCCCAGTCTGCTCCCCCCGGGCAGAGAAGAAGCTTCCCCTCCCGCAGAGCCCCAGCCTGGGACAGGAAGGGGAGGGCGGGCTAGTACCTCAGGGCAGGCTGACCTGGCTCCTTGATGGGCCTCCCATTATTTACAAACTCTATAAACATGCCTCTGCTGAAGATTGTTTAGAACTCAGCTCTTCTTCCCTTACCGGGCCTGCAAACCATCTGCTCCCCCAGGGCGCTGCGTTCCCATAAACATTTCTGATGCTTTGGAAGATGTTAGTAGCCCTGGCTTCCCCAATGGGGGGCGACCCGAGAATCTTCCTGTGTCCTTGGGGATGGGCATGGTCTGGGGCTTGGGGAGCAAGGGCTCGGTGGGCTGGAGGACTTTCCTGGGGGACCCACGGCGGACAGGAGCCTGGGGTTCAGAGGTGGAAGGGCTGGGATTTGATCCCATCTGTCTGACCCCAAAGCCTGGATTCCTCAAACCCGCTGTGTGCTTGTTCTGGAATCTCTTTCCTGTTCCCAAAGACTTGAAATACTTACGGGGTTTCCATCCAGTCCTGGAGGACCTCGTTCCCCAAAGTCTCCAGGAAACCCCTGAAGGCATAAAAGAGAGAACAAACACCTGCAGATTAGTGTTTTTACCTGTGGGGCGGCTTCCATCCGAGCCCCTGGGGGCACATAAGGACAAGTCCACGCAGGCTCACTCCTTGGTTCTGGGATCTGGGCAGGCGATGGGGTCACCTCCACAAACACCTTCACATGAGGAACTTCTCAGGGACTGGCTACTGGGGAGGGGCCCACGGCTTGGGAGCCCTTTCCTTGTCTACATAGAATCTGAGAAGAAACGAATGCCTGGCTCCATGCTCCGCAGCATGGAAATACCCACCCCAAACCTGACCGACCCCCGGAAGGAGGAGGCGGGAAGGCCGAGAACAAAGGTCAGGAAGCTGAGTCTAGGCCTGACCCAGCAGCTGACTTGCTGGGCAGTTTATGGACATCCCTTTACCCCATGAGCCTCAGTTTCCACACTAGGCAAAGCAGGGAAGGCCTCTGCAACATTTTCCAGCTCAGACCTTCTGTGGCTGTGACACGCTCTTCAAAAGCCGCCCTATGCAATCACGATCCCCATTTTTACAGGTAAAGAAAGAGAAGCTCTGGAAGCATAACTGTCAAGGTTACAAGAGGTCACACGGTAGGTGACCATCGGCCCCCGCTGCCGAGGTGAGTTTCAGAGGCTCAGAGAGGGGCCAGGCCACCCAGCCCAGTCATCCCCTCCCTGACCCCACTCTCTACTCTCCCGGGAGACAGGCAGCTGGAAAAACATCAGCTGTGGGGACACCTCTGGGGACCAGGGTAGGGGTGAGTATTTCACTTCAAAAGGGAAAAAAAAAAAAGTCTCCAAGCTTAGAATTTAGGGAAACCTGTTCTTCCCCTTTGCTTGAATTCAAATCGTTGTTTTTCCAGGGAAATTCAATAAAAAACAGCACATGTTTCTCTGACCAGGCGGATGCCTGAGCCGTTCAGTCAAGATTCCTCGTGGAGGATAATCTGCATCTGGTTTCTACCACAACTGGGGGGATCCGGTGAGTAGATTAAACCTAAAGGACAAGACCCAAAGCAAGGACGTCTGTCCTGGCTGAGCAAAGAGACCTTGAAATGGTGTGTGCGTCTAGGCCTTTGTCCTTGTCCTCCCTATCCAGCTGTCCCATTCTCCTCAGATCCCTCCTCTGCCAGGGAGCCCTCCTGGATCAGAAGGGCAGCGGTCGGCATTCATTCTGCGGGAGGTGTGGCTTCGTGCAGACAGCCACGGGAGGACGCGAGGACAGAATCATGAGTTTCGGACCAACCCAGGCGCTGTGCACACAAACCTTCACTTGCCTTTTCCATCTACCCCTGGGGAAAGGTTAGCAGTCCCATTTAACAGATGGGGAAACTGAGGCTCAGAGAAGCAATGTCACCTGGCTAAGGCGAAACAGAAAAGAAAAGCAAGTTTGTGGCAGCGCTGAGCCCAGGCCCCACCTCTCTGAACTCCGTCAAGTTTGCATGAGCTGCACACAGGCCGGTGACGGCCCGTAGAGGCCGCTCAAATGTGTGTTCGGCTGGTTTCAGAGAGTGGCAAGGCCACTCATCTAGGGGGTCGTGTGTCTACAGGCCCATCTCCAGGTCAAGTCTTTGCAGGGGGCCACCTGACCGTATCTAAGACTCCTCTCCCCGCAGACCTCAGGTCCCCCTAGCAAATTCCAGTCTCCCCTCTACCCAGCCCCTGTTGTCATGCTGTAAGGGAGACCCTCTCCCCCGCCAGGACCGGAGATGTCGGCTAGGTGGGCTGTGCTCAGGGAGCCTTCTGAAGGCATTGCATTTCTGCCATCACCTCTGGGGGCTGGGGTTAGGGGCCCGGCCAGAGAGGAGGACCATCCATCAGGGGATAAGGCCAATGCCGTCCAGGCAGGCACCTGGCCAAGTCCACATGGCCCATGGAGGGCAGGACTCAGGAAGTCTGCACTCTGCTCGCCAAGTCCAGTGTCTGGAGACTAGCTGTGGCTCGCCTCCAGACGGGCTGGGTGACCTTGGGCAGACCCTCACTTGACTCACTGTCTTGCTCAGGCTGTGGGCGGGGGTGGGGGGAGGGGGGTTCTCTAAGAACACGTCCCAACCTCTAGATGAGGCCTGGATGGAAGGAGCCTCTTCCCCTTTCACACCGGAAAGCCGCCCAGCCTGGGGCAAGACGAAGACCTTGTCAGCATCCCCCGGGGCGCACACCCTGGCTGCAATACCCAGGGGCCACCAGGCAGGTGCCAACCCCATGGGCCTGTGTCCAGAGGCCACTTTAGGCTGGCTGAAGGACTCCAGCTGCCGGGCCAGCCTTCCTCCCCACGAGGCTTGGGCAGCAGAGCAACCCGATGCCAGTCCCAGCTCTACCACCCACGGGCCTCTGCAGGCCTCAGTTTGCTCCGCTGCACAATGGGGGAGTACAAACAGGATGAGCTGAGGTGTCACACGGAAGGTGACCCTTGCCGGCAGCAGCAACGTAAAGGCACATCTCTGGGGCATAAGCAGGGGAGAGACCATCAGAAAGGTCAAAACCCCCCAGGGAAGGCAATTCTGCAGACCAAAAGGAGCCCGAATATAGCCAGTGGCCGACAGCAGCAGCAGGGTAAGAACAAGGATGGGAAGAGCAAACTCCAGTAGCCCGGTGAGGTGGGTAATTAAGACCATAATGGTTGGGGGGAAAAGAAGTTTTAAAAAGGAGCTTTAAAAGTTCTAGAACAAACCTGTGATTGGAACAATCTCTTAGACGGAAAGACCGTAGCTGTTCTTGACACCCACACCTCATTGCCCCCCAGGGGAGACGAAGGCCCGTCACCCGCTGGCCTGCCTCACCCCTCCACCACTGGAGACACAGCCCCGGGGCCGCGATGCTTCGCCCCTCCGGCTGTCAGGGAGGCGGCTGCCAAGCTAGACGTGTGGCCCCGCGTCCTGCCCCTCGGCACCCCCCTAGCTGGCCTTGTGCGCCGAGTGCAGTCCCGCCCGGCCTGAGCTCCCCGCTGCGGCGGGCTGGCCCGAGGCCCAAGAAATGAGCTCGGCGCCCTGCCGGGGCCCCAGCCACGTGGTGTCTCCGCTTCCCCAGGTCGGGGGCCCCCGGGGAACTGGACGCCTTGTACTTAGAGCAGAACAAGGCTCAGGAGGAGAAAGGATCAGGCTCCAGGACAGGCCTCCAGGTTCAGTCTCAGCTACAGGAATTCAGAGGACTAGATGGGGGGAGGGGGCAGTCCTTGTCGCAGCAGCGTGCCAAGGCCCAAGGAGGCCGCTGAGGGCCACCCCAGCCACTCCCCTGCCTCCAGGCACCGTCTACCCCAACCATCTGCCCAGGAAGGTGGGCTGTGGAGGCAGAGGAGGCACGAAGCCTCCGCAATGAGAAGTCCTACTAATGCCTCGAAGGCTCAGCTTCCTGACCTACAAAATGGTCCGTCCTGCCAACTCCCCTGGCAGAGCTGGGCCCAAGAGGTGAGGTGTTGTCATGCAGCCCCGGCACGCTCCACCGCGCCAGGGCACGCTAGCTTTGGCTTGTACCAACAGCGGAGAATACAGAATAACCTCTCGGAAGAGCCAGCAGAGGGATCCCGGGGGCCTCCTTACACAGTTGAGATTCTCTGCAGTCGGGGAGATTCCTGTGCAAGCTTAACCTGCATCCCTCCTGCTGCACTCCCAGTGGGCCACCCTCCTTTTGCGAGCACGTGCGCACACCAAGCGTGCGGACATGGAAAGACCCCTTGAGGTCAGGATGCCGCGCAGGTTTTCACTCTGCCCTTTTGGAACCCACTAGGGAGCCCGTCCAAGAAGAGTCGCATCGGGGAACAGGGAGATGTAGGAGAGCCTGGTCCAGTTTTCGCCAGACAGGGTCCCCAAGGGCCCTGGGAAGAAACCCCTTCAGCTCCAGCCAAAATTCGTAACATCCTATATCTGGACCCTCCTCAGGAAACCACAGGTTTTCACTCTAGCAGCCGAGCGGCGATGAGAGCGTTAGCCGAAGCTTCCCTTCGGAGTTCAAGACAGGAGTGCGGAGAGGAGTGAGAGGCAGAAAGCGAGCAAGGGGCCCGGGGTCGAGCCCTGACTCTGCCATCGAGTGCCGTGGGACGTCGGCCAAAGGACCGGCCTCCCTGAGCTATGCCAGCGGATGCGTCTGACAAAGAGGCTGGGCCGACTCCTCACCAAAGTTCTGTTGTGCTCTGACCTCCAGAGTCTCCGCTACGGCTCCCCTGAGCCAAAGATTCCCACGCACCCGCCTTCCCTACCTGACGCTTGAAATTCGGCTCGCCGGAGAGAGAGGACGACAGCAGTCACCCCCGGCCCTGCCAGAAATGAGGCCAGCCGGGATGGCATGCGGGAATTCAGCTCATTCTCCTGACATCTCGCTAATAAATGCCTAGAAATCAGCCGGCCCAAAGCTCCGACGAGAGGGGATCTGCAGAAGGAGCGCCCCACCCCCAGGGCTCAGGAGTGGTGGCCACGGTGGGGGGGGGGCGGATGGCGCTACCAACCACTGAGGGAGCATGCGGCCCAGAGGATGGCCAACTCGGAGGCCTGGCGTGGGCAGAGACAAGGCCGTAGGGACCCGGGCACGTGGGGTCCCAGTCCACATACTCCTGAATCACATCCAGGGCCGGGGGCGCCTGGGGGCTCCGGCAGTGAAGCGGCTGCTTTCAGCTCAGGTCGTGATCCCGGGGTCCTGGGATCGAGCCCCTGCTCAGCGTCCCCGCTGCTTCTCCCTCTGCCCCTTCCCGTCCCCCTGCTCCTGCTCTCACTTGCCAGTGTGCGCTCTCTCATCTCTCTTTCAAATAAATAAATAAAAATCTAAAAAAAAAAAAAAAACACGCATATCCAGTGCAGACCCTCCTGCTCTTTGGCTGGCCATGGCAGCTGGACCAGGGGCAAGGGGACTGTGGGGGCTCTCGGGGGGGACTGTGCGGCCACAGCGCTGTTTTGCTACAGAAGGGGGTTTCCTCGCCCCCATGCCTGACGCCGTGGTGCCAGGGAACACCCCCATCAGGAAGGGCAGGATCTCAGAAGGTAATGGCAGGGAGCAAAGAGGCAGAAAGGGGGTTCTGCCTGTCTGGTGAGACCCCCCCAAGGGCATCTGAGCAAATGGCTCAGACGGAGTCTCAGGTTCCGGGTCTGGGAAACAGGTGCCGTCGACTCACCGCGGAAAATAGGGTTCGGGGGAGAAGCATAGGCAGTCCGGATGCCACACAGGCCAAAGGGCCTCAATGAATGTTGCTTCGGGGGATATGTTTTGGCCACAAGTGCTGTGCCCAGCACCCAGCACACGGCAGGTGCCCCATAAATTTTTGTTGAGTGAAAACCGAAGGCGTGGTCTCATCCCACACGCAGGTGGCAAAACGGCCCGGAGCACCTCCGACCCGGTGCTGCCTTCCCGGCCGCGAGCACCTTGGGTGGCCTTCAGCTCCAGGGAGCAGACGAGTGCGTGGCAAGGAGGGCGGATGGGATGAGGAGGCCACTGGACGCAGGAAAAGCGGGAGGTGGAAGAGGAGAGCTGGGCCCTGGGCCCGTCATTGGTCCTCGCGGCGGCAGGGCGGAGAGGCAGCCACGGCACGCCCGGTTTCCAGGCCCTTCCCCGCTCCACACTCAGGAGGCTCCAAAAGGCTCCAGAATCCATTCGCTCGCTAGCAATGCTCTGGGGCAAGAGGCCAGAGCGCTGGCTGCTGCGCTCCAACCCAGCAATGACCCTCAGGAGCCTCCGGGCCTCGGCCACGTCATTCACCCCCAGCCGCACGCCCCCTCTGCAGAGCAGCGGCAATGCCTGGTGCCCTGGCAGCCTCCCGGGACAGAGGCTCAGCAAACCCCTCACGGGTGGCTCTGCAGGCAGAGCTGGGTGAGGCGACAGGGCCCAGCTGACCTCATCCAAGCAAGTTGACGGCCCCTACTCGGCAACTTAACCTTTGGGAAGACAGGTCCAGAGAGGTGAAGCCATTGGCTCAAAGTGACACAGCACAGACAGCCTCAGCCACCCAGGGAGCTCCACACAGGAATGGTGGCTGCTACTGTGCCCGAGCACAATGACCTCAAGAGCTAGAAGATAATATCCCCATTTTTCACAGGGGAAACTTGCAATTCAGAGGCTTTGAGCCAACCCTGCCCCCAGGGCCTTTGCACCTATTATTCCCTCAACCTCGAAAGCTCTTCCCCTGGGAGCCAAAGGCTCCCATTCCCACCTCATTCAGGTTTCTCAAGAATTCAAGAGGAAGGGATCCCTGGGTGGCTCAGCGGTTTAGTGCTTCGGCCCAGGGTGTGATCCTGGAGTCCCAGGATCGAGTCCCACGTCGGGCTCCCTGCATGGAGCCTGCTTTTCCCTCTGCCTGTGTCTCTGCCTCTCTCTCTCTCTCTCTCTCTCTCTCTCTCTCTCTCTCGTCTCTCATGAATAAATAAATAGAATCTTTAAACAACAACAACAAAAAAGAATTCAAGAGGATTCCTGGATCAATTCACCTAACAGTCTACACCCCAAGCACTCACGGTCTCCCTACCCTACTCCATGTTAACGCTCAGCACCCTCTGACATTCATTCATTCATTGCTCATTCCCTTGTCCAATCATTGTCTGTCTCTCTGTCCATGGAAATGGGAACTCTGTCTTGTTCGCAGCTCAGTACTAAGCATAGTGCCTGGTCCACGGTATACACTCAATATTTACTGGATGGATGGATGGATGGATGGATGGATGGATGGATGGATGGACTTCCTTGCCCAAGTCACCTGGCTTGAGGAGCAGATCCGGATGCCAGCCCAACCCTCACAGATGCCAGGTCCTTGCCCTGAAGCACTAGGTGCTACTCTTTGCCCAGATCCAGGTGTCAGGTGTTAGTAGGCCTCCAGGCACAGAGGGGCTGTCGGCCACAGGAAGGTCTGGTCTGAGGACGAGGTGCCCCTCTGGTCCTTGAGTCCAGGACCTGGATCTTGCTCTTCTTTGTATACCACACTTGGCCCCACGGGGCCCAGATCCATACAGGATCTACAACAGGTAAGATGCCCGTGGTCTGTGTGTCAGCCCCAGAATCACAGACAAGCCCCTTTCTGGGCACCACGGAGTGCTCCTGGCCGCCTTCTAGCCACCTCTCAAGCTCCAACCTCCCTCACCGTCCCTTCTCCATCCACCACCAGCAGAGGGAAGCCCAGAGCCCAAGGTGACGATGCTTCCAAGCCTAGGGATGACCCTGTGGGCAGCCACACGGGGCCTTCGGCCACCAACAGAGGTCAGGCTGGAGAGAAGTCTGCCTCAGTTATAGTCTGGGGTCTCCCTCGGCTGGCAGCAAGGACGCCAGACATACCACTCCAAGGGGAGCCTCAGCCTCCCCTTGTGAGTAATGAGATCATTGGAATTCACGTCTTGCCCACCGGGTGAGATTCTAGGGCATCTGCTTGTACAACATTAGTGCCAGCCAGGGAATCCGAGAAGCCGACTTGGTCCACCACTGAGATCAGAGGCCCTGGAGGCGAATGGGGTTGTTAGAATCCTGGCTCCCTTGTTGATTGTGAAACCGTGGGCAGGTTACTCAACCTCTCTGTGCCTTGGCTTTCTCTTCCTGCCAAGCAGGAGGAAGACGATTCCTGCCACACTGGAGGGTCACGGGCAACGCCGAGACTCTGGGGTCACGACCCTGGGATCGCACCTGCTGTGGGCCTGCTCACATGCCCCATCACCCTCTGGCCCTGGGTGTGCACGGCCACCCACAAGTGACGTGATGCCGGCCACCCCAAGACAATATGGAGACTGAGGGTTTTCCGAGATAGGAGCCCAGACACGGGTCTAGCCATGATCCCCCCCAGTCCAAGCAGGGCCCCAGACACTAGTGACCCAGACAACAGAAGCCCCCCGGACGCAGGACCACACTGTGGAGCAACTGCTGCACACACGCACCACACACACATAGAGGAGCCATCCTGGAGGGGCCCAGAGCACGACAGGCCCCAGCCACAGCCAGGCGGCAGCAGGACACGCGGCCCAGACAGCCCCTCGTGCTGGCCCACACACTCAGAGCAGAGCCATGGCCAAGCAGACAGAAGCAGAGAATGCCCGGGCTGCAGGTGGACAGGGCGGTGCGGCCAACAGGAAGTCAGAGTCACCCATAGAGTCTGCATAATAGACACGGAAAATCTTTACCGGCCTACCCATCTTGCCCCTCTTGCCAGGAACACCAGGCAGGCCCTGTAGGGGAGAGACAGGGAAGAGGTCAGGACACGATTCCACAGGGACAACCAGTGATGCCCCAAACCAGCCCCGGAGCCACCCACGAGAGGAAGTCGCAGAGGGCCTGGCGCCCGGGCCACACATAGTAGGTGGCATCTCTGTGCACGTCGGATAGACGGTCCTTGCACTCTATGGGGCTGGGCTCTGTGGGCACCTGAGCTGGGCAAATGCCTAGGAAAGCACCCGGTGTCCCCGGTATTCAGCAGGTGCTCCCGCCGCTCTCCCAAGGTCCTCTCTACCCAGCTTGTTATGAGGTGACGAGTGAGTTCCCAACTATGGGCTCAGGCTGGGAGGGGACAGGGCAGAAAGGCCCGTGGGCCATGTGGTCCCTGCCGAGGCAGCAGGAGTACGAGGCGCTGCAGACAGCAGGTAACCGACCGAGCACGCCTGTACTCGGCACCACTGCATACACACAGACGGCTGGCGGGATCTGGCCCTCGGGCCACAGCGAGCGGACACGTGATCCGCAGTAGGAAGCAGGCCCACGTCTCATTCGCTGAAAGCCCTTCAGAAGCTGTCCATGCCTCAGAATCACGTCCCCCTCCTGACCCTGGGCCCGACACCCACGTAACCTCGCCCAGGAGCCTCCCGCACCCCCCAAGCTCGTCTCCTACCATTCCTGCCTCGCGCTCTGAGCTCTGACGGCATAGACTGTCACACGTGCCAGTCACCGTACCTCCCCGACTTTGTCCCCACTCTCCCTTACATCTGGAAGGGACCGGACTGCCTTGATTCGACCCCTTGGTGGGCTCCTATGCAACTGGAGGGCACCTCCTCCAGGAGTCCAGGACTCCTCCCAGAAGACCGGGGTGGGTAGGTGGGCGGGAGGTAAACAAACGAGGCCTACTCACTCGCTCTCCATCGGACCCTGGCAGGCCGAAGAGCCCCGGGAGTCCAATGTAGCCCTAGGAAAGAGCAGGTAGGGGGTCAGAGGGACCGAGGGGTGGGGTGTGGCTGGCCCGGCCCCGCCGCCCGCGCCCCACTGCCCTCCCACGCCCAGGCTCCTCTTCCTTGCTGGTGGCAGCGGCGGCTCCGGCGACTCCTCGACGACACAGGCCTTGAGGCAAGTGTATATGCCCATGGACTGCATGGTGCTGGCTTCCACGATGTAGTCCAAAGGCACATACCCTCACGCCAGGGAAGGGCGCGGGCGCTCTCGGGGGGGAGGCCCGCCCCACGCCGGGGCTCCCGGACCTGCAGAAAGGAAGCTCTCGGCTGGGTTAGATGCTAGAGCGCGCCCGGCTCCGCCCGCCCCGAGGGAGCCTGCCGGGGGGGCCCCGGAATTGGGGCTCCCTCCACCCACGGCGGCCTGAGCCGAGGTCCCGGCGGCACGCGGATGCCACTGCGTCCGAGCCCCCAGCGACACTGCCGACTGGCTGTCAGCTGCCCCGCTGCACAGACAAGGAAACTGAGGCTCGGAGATGATGCGACACAAGCAGCCCGGGGGCAGCCAGCCGGGAGTCCGAGGCCCCAGGATGTGCCCGGTGTCCTGCCTCCGCGTTGTGCCTGCACCAGACTGGCCCTTCCCACCCCAGCGACGGCAGGGCCACCCCTCCCAAGCCCAGCTCGAGCTCTCTCCTCCCGGCTCTTCCCTCCACCCACGCACCGTGTTTGCTCCTCAGTTAATAGGATTTACCACTTTCTCCAATGTTTTACCTTCCATCATCTGTGTCCACGCTCCACGCCCTCATTAGCCTGGGGACTTCTCGAGGGCAGGGACCCAGAGCTCCTATCACTATCTGTGCTCTCTAGATCTTCGTGGAATGATTTAATAATAACGCTCACAAACTACGTTCTCGGGGCTTCGGGGGGCACGAAAGCATCTATTGGGTCCTTGCTCCACCCCCAGAAGCAGGTTATAATCAGCCGGCCCCCTGGAAAGGGGACAACATTTAGGCCCAGAAGTGAAGTGACTTGCCCAGGGTCACACGGCTAGAGCACGATAGAACTGGTATTTAAGTTCGAGTCAACGGACTCCCAGGCGGGCCTCCTAACCACTCGGCTACACTGCCCCCCGACAAACAAGCAACCAACACAGGCTCACAACCATCTCTCCTCCCCTAGTAGGTCAAGACGTCATTGAACCTCCTCACCCTCCAGTGATGAACATCCATCACCGTAACGAGGGACTTTTATTGGTCCTGCCAACCAGGGCTTCTATCCCAGATTCACAGTTGAGAAAATGGGCTCAGAGAGGTCCGGCAACTTGCCCACCATCCCACAGCTGGTTAAGGGCACGGCAGCTCTCAAAGCCGGTTGCCCTGATTCCATAGCTTGCATTTTATCTCATTCATAAATATGAGGCTGGTGGTGGCAGGGGAGGGAGGGCAGCTTGAGTGCTCCCAGTTCATCCAAGCTGCTCAGGGCCCTGGGACCCAGAGAGGGGGGTGCTGGGGTCAGACCAGCTCTCTCCCCACATGTGGTCTCAAGATACCATCAGCATGGCAAACAGCAAGCCACCCCAGATGCCATCAGCATGCCTCTGGGGCCACAGCTCGTGGGAACAGCTGGATAAAAGTAGGGAGGCCCAGCCTCCCAGGACAGGAGCCTCCTCGGCCCCTGCATGACATCACCCATCATCATCATCACTGACATCATCGCGTCCTGAGGAACCTGCCCACCCACCTCCTTGGCCACCGCCCAGATGCTCTAACAGCCACATGTCAGCTGCAGGGATTAAGGCCCAGACTGTGGTCATAAATAGCTTTGGCTCAGGAGTGGAGGACACGTCACACCTGACCCAGCCTGCCCGAGGGCTGTGACCCACTTGCTGAGCATTCTTGGAGAGGCAGCAAGGCCGGGCCCCAGGACAGCTGGGTCCCTATCCCAGCTCCACGTTAGGTGTGCAGAGTGAACCAGGACTGTCAGGTCCCCACCATGAACCCAGTTGCCTTGTGTGTAGACAAGGGGACTACACCACATTATCTCTTAGACTTTCAAACTCCATCTACCCCCATTCCATGCACCCAGAATCTTCTCCACAACCCAGTTGGGAGCTCCCACCTGATGGTCCCTCTTCAGCAGTATTTGCTTCCAAATTCCTGGTATCCCCATAACCATGCTAGAGGTAGGCATGGACCTCACTCCCATCGTAAAGGTGGGCAAACTGAGGCTGCTGGCTACTTGGGGTTTGTCCCAGGGGAGGGAGAACAGATGCTCCATCAGTCTCCGGGCCTGAGCAGCATCACCCATCAGTCACCCCTGCTCTGTCAAAAGTGGGGTCCCCCAGACCTCAGTCGGGAGGGGAGCAGGATTCTAACAGCAGACAAAGTAGCCCTGACTTAGGTCCCCTAGCTCTTGGGATGTGCTGGGGGACAAGGCAGGCAAACATCTGACCGTGGCAGCTGGGCCACGGGCACCAAGCCAGCTTACCTGGCTCAAGGATCCCCCATCACCTGTCCACCCTGCTGCCCCTTGGCTCTCCGGAGAGCACTCAGGTGGGAGGGCAGAGGCACCCCCCCCCCCGCCAGACGCTGTGTACAGACCCTGCACCTCTGACCTCCCATCAGGCCCACTGGGGGGACAGGTAATGACCACCCGGGGCCCCACCTCTGTGGCACTTGCCAAGACCCACTTACCCGGCTGCCTTTGGGGCCAGGGTCTCCTACCGGTCCAGGTAGCCCCTGAAACATAAAAGACAGAGGGGCAAGGACATAGGGAAACGTTCTCCCTGCTGCCAACAACCCAGGGCAAGTCCTGCCTCCTCGGGGCCTCAGCTGCCCCCCACCCTGTAGAAAGGGAGTGAGGTTGGGCCTGCAGTCTTCACACTGAGGACCCCACTCTGCCCCAGAGTCCCTGGGAGTGGATGGGGGTGGGGGAGACTGAGTGGGAGGAGCCCCGGAAACCCCAACCCCACAGCACCAGAACCCCTTTCTTCTGCTCTGAGCATCCCGTGCCCTACTACCTTCAAAGAGAGGGATCCCTGGTCCAGCCCCCTGAAAAGCCCTGTCTTCAGGCCCCCCCCCGACAGGGGGGGTTCCTCAGCCCCCTGCCTGCCGCCTCCCTCTGCCTGGGGTGGGGGTGGGGGGCACCCGTGGCCATCTCCACATCGTCATGGCCACCGAGCTTCCAGAAGCCATATACTGCACCTGCCTGCCAGGGTAACCTTTGGCCCCTGGGCTGCCCTCAGGTCCCGGCTGCCCCTGCAAAGGAATGAAGATAAACGTAAGGAAAGGAGAGACCTGGCCCAGCTCTGGGTCTGGGGGGCGGTGGGAGACGGGGGCTTACTCACAATGGACAAAGAGAAGGGCAGGAATGTGAGCTGGATGGGGAGGAAGGGGAAGGCACGGGCCTGCTGGGCCCCAGCCCACCCCTCTGTGAAACCGGTCAGACCAGCTCAGAAGGACAAAACCCCCTGTGCTGGCAGCCCAGGACTGAGAAAGCTCTGAGGAGCCCTGGCTGGCTCTCCCACGCTGGCAGGGGCTGCTATTTGACTTGGGCCAGTACAGCCCGAATTCCTGCAATCCCCGTGGCGGCATGTATAATATCCCCTAACATCGCCCGGAACAGGCCAGCTATTCATGGCTCTCGCCGGAGTCGGGTGGCTCATGCCAACGCCAGGCCGGCGTGGACTCCAGCTCTTTCAGGCAGATGCGGCTGGGGGAGAGGTGGGGTCGGCTCTGGGGCCCCAGCAGGATGGGAGGCAGAGCCGCCTGGCTCTGGGGCTCACTCATGGCATGGGGCCCAGGGAGGAGGCCAGGGGCAGACGGGGGTGGAGTGGGGAAGAGGGGGGAGCAAGCAGGGCAGGGCTGAGGCTGCGGCCCTCACCTGTTCTCCGGGGTGCCCCGCTGGTCCAGGATAGCCCTTGTGTCCCTGTGGGGTGGGGGGGGGATTGAATCAGGAAGGCCTCTGGGCGTGCGGGTCGGATGGCCCAGGCCCGGCCGCCGCGCCTGCCTTTGCAGCACTGCACGCTGTGTGGACGGCAGGGGTGTAGTGTGTGTTCAGTGACCACTCGCTGATCGGACCTAGGCCCGTCAGGGTCGGCAGCCTGCTGTGGTTTCCTCTGCCACCACGGCCCTCGGAGCAGAAGCCATTGGCAGGCTGGTTCACTCCTCCGGCAGGCTGTGTGGGCTGAACTGGGATACAGCCCCTGTGGCGGAGTGATGCTCTATCCCCACCATCCATCCCTCCCAAATCCAGATGGGGGTGAGCCCGTCCGAAGCCGGGGTAGAGCGAGTTCTCGATGAATGGGTGGGCCAATTAGGACCTTCGGGTCTGGGATACGCTCAACCACCATGCGGTGCTGCTGGGATCTGTGTCAAGACGTGCCCCTTCTCATAAACCCCCTATCAGGAAAGATCTCACACATACCGACCAAATACATTCACCGAAATAGCGGCCTCCCTTCCTCCCACTGGTCCCAGCTCCCCTTCTGGGGAGGACGAGGCCACCCAAATGCCTGATTGTGAAGGACTCTGGCTACAAGCCAGCACCACCCCGACCCTCGGTCCGCGTGGCCCAACTACCAGGTCTCTAGGTCAAGAGAATCAAACGAGCGTGTGCTTACACGTGGCCCTGGGGCCACCCAGCAGAGCCATTTCCTAAGATGTAGGGGCTCTCAGGAGGGAAACCCCAGACTTCAAGCTTCCATCCCCTGACAGCAGCTGTGAAATAAGACCGGGCAGGGGCCTTGCATCTCAGCCAGGGCAGCCACACCGATCTCCGTAGAGCCCCTCGCACAGAGAGCCCAGGGCTTGGCTCACACTGTCCCTCACCGCCCTTGAGAACTCCAAAGTTGTACGGCTCCCCCAGGGCGTGATAAACGAGACGATGCCTGCACACCCCCTCCACACACTGCAGTCTACCTGAGACTCCACCCACGTGGCCCCCTCTAGCCCTCACACCAGCCAGACGAGGTGCAGCGGGGAGGCAGGGGTTATCATCTGCATTTTCACAGAGGAGAAAACTGAGTCTCAGAGAACTGGCCCCAGTGCCATGGCTAAGAAGCAGCGCGCTCGCACCCATCCCGGGTCCTTCCGACGCCCGAGGCCACAAGGAGAGGCTTTGCCGACATCCCAGGCACGTACAGTTCATGCGTGTAAGCAAACACACACAGGCACACGCACTCAGCAACCCCCCCACCCCCACCCCAGACTCCCGGGAAGCAGGACTCTTAATTATAAACAGCATCCTCGGTTTGATCCAAGAGGTTTGGGGAGTTTACAAGCATTCCTTCTGCACCTACTCATACCTCAGCACTGCTCAGCGATACGATCACATCTCACACGCGGACCCCGTGGGACTGATGCAGCGGGGCTGTGAGCTTCTTCCACCTGGGGTGCACGTTCTCTTCCCCAGGGAGCAAACTGAAGCGTAGGCCACAGCCGGCGGCTACCATGCGGAGTGGCTGAGATCTGGGACTATCCTGCTTCGCTACTGGGCGGCTGCATGATCTGAGGCCACTGATGTCGCCTCGCTGAGCCTTGGTTTCCTCTTTTGTAAATGGAAATACACGGACTGGCCCATGGATCACATGATATAATGTGTGTAAAGCACCTAGCACAGTCCCCAGCATTGAATTCAGGGGCCCTGTAAAGACCTGCAAGCTGTTACCACCCTGAGCTTCGCATTCATTCACTCATTCATTCATTCAACAAACACTTGCTGAACTTGTATGTGCCAGCATCACTCCAGACCTGGGATGAATGAGGAGACAACACCCTTTAGCCTCAGTGGAGTTCGCAGCCTAATGAAGGAGATATAAAAACAAATAAATATAAAAGATAACGTCCGGGGGTTGGGATAAATAGGGAATTGTTTTCGTGAGTGTCACGTTTTAGTTTTGCAAGAAGGGGAAGTTCTGGAGACGGGTTGCACCACGACGTGAATGTCCTTAGCGCTGCTGAACCCTACCTGGAGACACAGTTAAGGTGGTACATTTTATGTTGTGGGGGTTTTGCCGTAATTTAAATTTTTTTTTAAATTGCAAATGTGTGGTAGTGATGAGCATGATGAAGAAAAGTGAGCAGACTCAGAGGAGGCAGAGTGGCCTGCTGGGAGGGGTGGTGCCCGCTGGGCAGCCAGGCAGGTTTGCCTACGTGCCTGGGGTGGAATGAGTTAAGAGAAAGCCAGAAGCCAGAAGCCAGAGCACATAAGGCCTTAGAATGGAGGGAACCCACAGGAGGATTTTGAGCAGGGACGTGTCATGATATGACTCGCGTAATCGTCCTTGTCATCCTCTCTCCACTTGGAACTTGCATATGAGGAAAAACCAGCCAAGCCTTTCCCTTTCAGACCGTGTGGCTCCCTCCGCTCAGGCAACTGCCCTCTCTGAGTCTCACTGTCATTCTCAGCCTGCCTCGGGTTGCTGCCAAAAGCCAGGGCAATAACGGGGGAAGAATCCCAAGAGAACCAAGAAAGGGGACCAGGGGGCCTCTGAGCATCACCAGCGCCTTTGGCTTCGCCTGCAGCCAGGAAGAAATCTGCTGGAAACCAATGCTTCAGCAGAGAAGTGTTGCCAGGGACATCCCAGAAGGTTTCAAGTGAACCCTTCACTCAGGACATAGGAAGAAGGAAATGTGTGATCTCCAGGATAGGGACAGTGGCCGGCCCTTTGCCCGGCCCGGTCCTAGAGCCTTAAATAAATACATCAGCTCATCAAGTCCTTGCGACCATCCCTAGCGGGTAGGAGTTACCATGCACGTGTGCCACACGAGGAAACGGAGGCTCAGACAGGTGAAGAGCCTTTCCTGCGGCTCTCCGGCCTACCAGGGGCAACGCCAGGTGTGACGCCAGTCCCTAGGTCCTACCACCCCATCACGGGATAAGACATGCTCACGGCGGCCCGACGCCCACATCCAAGAGCCACAGGGCCACACAGGGAACGACCCCCTTACGGTCCCTCCTCCACAGGACAGAGCACGTGGATCACCCCGCAGCTTTCCTGGGGCAGGGGACAGCCACGGAACCCTAGAGTATCTGAGTTGGAGGGGACCTGAGCCATCAATCCGCCCGCCTTTGTCATTGGACAGGCTTACCGGGGGGCAGGGACTTGCCCAAGGTTACTGAGCAAATTATGGCCAAGCCCAGACCTGGACTCTAGACCCTCCCCCCGCCACCCGCCGGGCTGTGCTTTGTCCAACAGGCCACGATTCCTCGCTCTGGTCCCAATCAGTGGTCCCTGAGGGCCTTGCAAGTGGCTGTGAACGACCCACCCCTCCCGGCTGGCTGAGAGCAGCAGAGACAGAGCACGGCCGAGGCACGGGGTCGGGCTGGGGGGCGCAGGGGGGCTCCTGTGCCCCCTGGAAGTACCTTAACAGTGTTTACCAAGCTGGGGCCAGCCAAATAGCTTCAAATGACAGGGCCCCAGGACCTGGAAGAGTCTAAATCATTATCTTCTCCTGGGCCCCGGCAATTACGGGGTAGGCACTTACCGCAAGGTGGACCCACGGGCAGTGATTTCCCTGTGGGTGCCCGGTGCCCGGCCGGTACCAGGGCAAGCGCGGGTGCTTCAGGGGAGCTCCGGGGACCACGGAGTCTGTAAGGGGCCTCTGGCTGCCCAGCAGGCGGGTCTCCACAGGACCCGTGTTTATAATAGAACTCGGTCTATATTTTGGTTTGGGAGCCAGATTAATCATTGCTTACAATGCACAAGGAGAAACCAGACATCACCTCACTGTTGCTGCAGACAGTCTCCCCGTCGGCCGGGGATGCTATTTGGGCTTTGGGCAGGGAGCCTGGGGGAGGGGGTCCTGTTCTTGCCTGGGGGTCCTGGGGACCTCAGCTGTGCCCCCGGGCTCCATCTCCTCATGCAAGGCCCCAGCCTCTCTTTGCTATAACACAGAACTCACCCTGCTTGCTTCGTACTCCACGAGGCTCACTAAACATCACCACAGCCCACAGCCCACCCGGGCCAGTCAGCGGGACAGACAGCCCCAGTCGGGCTCAGCGAGGAAGAAGCGTGCCAGGAGGCAGGGTGACTCGTTACATGACACCGCACAGTCCCTGGTCCTCTCTGGACCTCAGTTTCCCCAAAGCATTGCGTTGGCTCAAAGACTGTAGGACTTGGAAACGTGTGGCTTGGCCAATGTGTGCTTGGCCAAAAGCACAGTCCATCACGACACAGCCAGGCACCTGACATCAAACTCTGCTCCACGGGTACCTGAGACAGGTGCGGTGGGAATACACAATTTCTGTCTGGCTCGTTCATTCGACCAATTGTTCATTCATGCAACAAAGGTTTGGGGAGCCCCAAACGTGACCCTGTGTCAGGCATGAAGGATACACCGGTGGACAGAACAAACTCACCCCCTGCCTTCTGGAGGGCAACATCCTGAGTGGAAGGAAGGAGAAGCACCGCATGCTATGACAGTGTAGACAGCCAACCGGAACGGGTGGCATTATAAACGGGCTTGAAGGAGGAGGCAGGTTGGAGAGCAGAGCAGGAGTAGGGCTCAGAAAGGGCAGTGGGCAGGGGCCCCAGAAGCCCGGGGCAGCCCAGCAGCAGGGGAGCCTGGAGAAGCCTCTTGGGAGGGGGGCTCTGCATGGCAGTGGTCAGCTCAGGCAGCAGACGGAGGGCCCGTGGGCAGGGAGAGGTTGCCAGAGGGCGCCAGGAGGAAGCTTCAACTGGAGTACCAACCTCATTCCATTAGTCCCGTCCACGTGGGGCAATGGGGTGAGAGGGGCTCTGAGGCCACATCGGGGCTTGACCAGAAAGATCAATGAGTGATGTCTGCCACAGGCAGGGGAGGAGGGAGGAAGGGGACAGAGCAGGTCCGTGTGTCCCGCACTGTGCTAAGCCCCCCATAAGGAAACAAGCAGGGACAGGTCCTCTGAGCACCTGGTCCCGCTGACGAACGTGCCAGGGACACCAGTGACTTTCCTGCCAGCTGAACATGCGGCGTCCCAAGGAGGCTGCGAAGGAGCCGCGACCTCTGCCTGGGGGGATGTTCTAGCCCCGCCACCAGCATGGGGCCGGCACTCGTGGGCACTGCTTACATGTTTGTTGAATGAATGAACGATCACGATGAGTGTGGAGAGGAAGCATGCCAGGGCAGCGCACAGCATAAGCGAGCCCAAGGATGGCCCGGAGGGAGGGCTTCCCTGCTGCAGAGCGGCTTGGCCCGGGCTGGAGGGCTGGAGTCTTTGCTGCGGAGGGACAGCTGCCTGCACGTGGCCTTATTTATTTATTCATTTTATTTATTTTATTTTATTTTTTTAAAGATTTTATTTATTCATTCATGAGAGACACACACACAGAGAGAGAGAGAGAGAGAGAGAGGCAGAGACACAGGCAGAGGGAGAAGCAGGCTCCACACAGGGAGCCCGACGTGGGACTCAGGTCCCTAGGATCACACCCTGGGCCGAAGGCAGGCGCTAAATCGCTGAGCCACCGGGGCTGCCCCACGTGGCCATATTTAACAGCATCTCTGGCTTCTACCTGTTAGCCTCCCCCTCCCAGCCGTGATGGCCAAAGATGTCTCCAGACATTGCTAACCGTTCCCTGGGGGGCGAGGTCACCCCCAGTGGGAAGCACTGCCCTGAGGAAAGAAGGCAGGACGGTCAGACCAGGGGCAGCACAGGACTCCACCCTCCCACGGTGCAAATGAGGTTCTGGTCGCCTTCGTGGCTAGTGGAGGGTGGCTTCCTGGTGACTAGGCGAGATGACAGATGGTACCAGATGGGCAAGACGCTCTGCGCTTGTCCTTCATGGTCATCATGATCATTCATTCATTCAACAGATACGTAAGCCGGGCCCGCGGAGGCCAGCCCCATGCTGGTGGCGGGGCTGAAACAGCCCATTTCGCCCAACCTCTCCCTGAAGCAGTTGAGGCTCCGTGAGGGGAGGCCACCTGCCCGGGCTCACCCAGCAGGAGAGGGGACAGAGCTGGGTCCTGTCCGGGTCCGCCGCCCTAGTCTGCGCGCCCGCCCAGCCCTCGGGAACCGGCCCAGCAAAGGCCCTCAGCAAACATCGCAGGCCGATGGCAGGCAAATGAACCTTCTCAGCCAGGGAGGCTCTTTCTCACTCCTGGGCTCCCCCTTATTTGAAAAGCTGTGCAGAGACAAAGCGCCTGAAAGGCAGGGACCCGGGTTCAAACCCCAGCTCTGCAGCTTAGCAACGCCCGAAGGTATTTCCATGAAACCAGGGGCTCTCGGTCTCAGCTGCACATGAGAATCCTGCACCTGGGACGCCTGGCTCAGCAGTTGAGTGTCTGCCTTTGGCGCAGGTCATGATCCTGCAGTCCTGGGATCGAGTCCTGCACTGGGCTCCCCACAGGGAGCCTGCTTCTCCCTCTGCCTGTGTCTCTGTCTCTCTCTCTGTGTCTCTCATGAATTTAAAAAAAAAAAAAAAAAAAATATATATATATATATATATATATATATATATATATATATATATATAAGAATCCTGCACCTGGGTCCTGCTCACACCAACCGGACCAGAGTCCCTGCCCTCAGTCCCCCCTGGTTCTAATGCATCTGACACCGGTGTCAGCACCGGGCCGGTACCTGGGTGCACAGTCGCTAAACGACCAGAAGAATGACTGAACAGACGAATGCATGAGTGAGGTCGATTTGAGCCTCAGTGTTCTCAGCTGTAAAACAGGCATAACAGCGCTTTAACTCTCCGAGGCTATCGGGAGGAAACAATGTGACAAAGGACAGTCACTCTTTGTGCCACCTCTAATTTGCCACACTCTTAACCTGGGAACCCTCCCAACCCAAACTCCCTTTTCCCCTGCCTATTTTTGTCCATTTTCTATTTGCGCTTCTATTTTTACTGTTTTTCTTTTTATTATCTGTCGCCCCACCACACCCACAAGAATGCAAGCTCTGGGGGGACAGGGATTTTTGTCTATTTACTCAGCGCCACGCCTTGCATCCTGCCTGGCACATAATAAGCATTCAATCACTTCTGTGGAATAAATGAATGAATAGGCCTCTTGGTGTCACGCTGAGGTGACACCCCAATTCAGCGTGCTGACACTACCTCTCCCCCGCACCGATGTCCCCTCGCCACCCCCAAGGCTCCCCACACGAGACGCTGCAGAAAAGCCACATAAGAGCATCAGGACAAAGTGGCCGCTGTTGTCACCAAAGACACACATGGGAGGAGAGAGTGCTTACAAACAGCGATGATTGCAGCCCATCCGTCCTCCTCCGCGACCCCCGCCTCGGCCAGGGGTCCCTGCCTGGGACCCCGAGCTCCCCCAAGCTCTGCCCAACCGGCCTGCCACAGCTCAAAGTCCTGCATGCTTGCCTGAGCCGGGGCCTGAGGGCCTCAGTGTACATGGCTTTGCCAGTTTTCCAACCACACGGAGCCTCTTCCTTAGTTTAGGAAAGATGCTTCTCCCTTCCCAGGTGAGCTGGTCCCTCTTGGATGGGGGCTGTGGGCCTCCCTGGCCATCTGCTGAGAGCAGGGGGCCCTGCCACGCCAGCAGGAGCTGGTGTAGTCTGCTTTCCCATCTCCTGCCACCTCCGCTCGACTCCCACCCCATGCAGAGCGAGACCACCACTGGCTGCTTTATGAGCCGGCACTGGAAAGAGACTTTTCCACTCACACCTCATCCATCAGCAAGTGCTGGAGCGTGGAGGGGAAGTGAGTGGGGAGAGGGAGTCCCTGTGTTCTCTGAGCCAGACAATACCAGGTTTCCCTGGCCCACAGATGGCCACAGACTCCCGTCTGGCTCTGGCCTCTCCAGAGTTATGCTCTAGCCATGGAGGGTGGAGAAGGGGATGCAGGGGACGTGATGCTCCAAGTCCCCTGTGCCACAGGGACCCTCCGAGCAAGGACAAGATGGAGCCAGGAGGCACCACGTCTGTCCAGATGAGAACCAGATGGCCCAGAGAGAGGGTGGCTGCAGCCACAGCGGGGAGCCAGGGTGGAAGCTGAAGACATGGCCCTAAGCCGATATATACCTCCTGGAATCCCCATCAGCAGCCCTGCAAAAAGCAGCTGACGCCTGACCTGTGTTGTCCTCCCCCGCCACCCCCATTTCCTGAACACCTACTACGCACGGGCCCTGCGGACAAACCAGGTTCGCCCACCATGGTCGGGGAGGCTAGACGTCGGGCTGAAAATAACTAAGACGGGCTAACAGTCCTTGAGCAGAGTGGAGGCTCCTGGACCGCAGCCCGGGGTTCCAGGAGGTCTTCCTGGAAGAGGCACAAGCATTGTTGAGTCCCGACAGCTGACAGGCCCTGGCCAGGAAGCTAGAGAGAAGGCCCACTGGACAAGGCAAAGCACTGAAACCCAGGTGTACCTTTCGTCCGACAGGTCCCGGATTCCCAGAGAGCCCAGGCAAGCCCATGTCACCCTGCAAAACACAGACAAAAGGGTGAGCGGGGTGGGGGGAAGAGGAGCAGAGACGCTCGTGAAACTGCACGTGTGCCCTCGCACGGACAACTGTCTGCGGACAGGACTCCTGGAGGCCCAGAGGCCTCTGCGGGTGGGGGGCAGGGCAGCCGAGTGGGCGGGTACTGCCCCCCCCAACCCAGTACCCCCACTAGATGTATCTGCTACACCGGACTCTGGCACAGGATGCCATTTAGGGAACGGGGTCTGCTGCTAAACCCGTGTCTGGAAAACCAGTGCCCCAGGGGACACACCACCTGTCTGTCCCGTTCCAATTTCCAATCCACTCGCTCTCTCTGCATTCCTGACACTCCTTCCCTCCTGCCCATCCCTCCCCCTGCCCGGGCACGGTGGTCAGCAAGGGCATCTCTGCCACGAGAGCCGAGAACACACAACCCAGGAGAGCAAGAGAGAAGCCCGGGCCCCCGGACTCGCTCAGACCCGGATACAAATCCTGCTCCGTCCCCGACCAGCTGTGTGACCTCCAGCGAGCCACCTGCCTCTGAGGCCCCTCTGCTTTCCCCCCCGCAAGCCGGGCCCCGTCCGTCCTGCATCCCAGGGTTTCCAGGAGGAGCGCACGGGCACGCGTGCGGGGTTTACACCCGGTAAACGCCCTCCGTGAGGACGTGAAGGAATGAGCCACCTGGGTCTTGAGGCAATAGAAGGGAGCTGCCTCTTCTCCGTGCCCACGCACAGGACGCTGGGTGGAGAAGCAGGGCTGTGCCTGTCCGGAGGGCTCCTGGGCTTGGGGCCAGAAGAAGCCGGGGTGTTCCTTCCAGGACGCTTGTGTCTGAGACCGGGGTCTCACCTCGAGTCTGGTTCCCCCGTTCCTACCTGTCCTGTGCTCCTTCCAGGCCCCTTAACCGGTGTATGAGGGGCGGGGGAGGGATGCTTCAGGGATGAGTGAAGTCCTCTGGGCTAATGTTCTCTTTCCCACCAGAAACTCCTGGTCCCATAGCCCCTTCAGAGTCAGGGAGCCCTGAACCTCTGGCCCGATCCCTTCCTACCTCCTAGAAATCCACAGAACTGTCTGCTCGAACTGACCTCAGAGGGGACCTCAGAGGGAGCTTCCTGGGTGCATGCTACCAAAAAACCTTCTGGATGCCAAGGGTCGCCTAGAGGGCTCTACGGAAATGCAGGACGTCACACAAAAGGTCACTCGCTCACCAAGGGTGTGTCCACGGGCAAAATCTTTTGTCTGCTTTATTGGATGCGCCCCCCAGAGAGTGTACAGGGCATGGCTTCGGGTTCTGCACGGACAAAGCTGGAGGACCTCAAGGAGAACCCCAAACCACGCTCTTCCCTTGCCACTTGTCACACAGTGACCTCCTGCCTCCGTCACCCAGGGGCCTCTGCCAAGGCCTGGCGGTTTCCCTGCTGTCACTCCCCCACTTCCCTCAATGCTGGGGTCCCTGGAAAACCTACCTTTGCCCCATCGAGGGCCTTTCCTGGTGAGAGCCCTGGGTCCCCTTTCTGTCCCTGAAAGAAAAACAATTCTTTCTAGAGTCGTCTAGAGAGGCTACCTCCCCACAACCTCTGCTCAGAGTCCTGTCCCCTGCTGCCATGCCCTCCCACCCGCCCCCCACTCGCACAGCTCCCGGGGGGCCTTCACCAGTTCCCTTCTCCCTGAACACCTTCCACAGCTCCCCACTGCCCGCAGGAGGACACCTCCGAACTCCTCCTTTGCCGTCCCACGTCTTCCAGCCTCGGATCCACCCATCCTCAGCAAACCCGGCTCTCCTTCCAGCGGCCAAACCCACAGACAGGGTCCCTCGCTCCCCGCCAGACCACAGCCCGTCGTCAGCCGTGCCCTGAGCTCCCCGGCTGCCAGGTCCTCGCCCAGGCAGTCACGCCCGCCTAGAAAACCTTCCTCAGGGAGATTCTCCAGGCCATAGGCAGCCTTCAGGATGCAGCTGCACTGTGTCCTCCCAACCAACCAGGAGGTCTCTGGGGACGAGGCCTTGCGTGTGCGTGTTGCTGGGACTGCCCCCAGACTCCTTCCCCTGGGCTCTCAGGGGGCTTCTAGAGACACGTCTAGGAAGAATGCCCGGAGCGCCTGGTGGCTCAGCGGTTGAGCATCTGCCTCTGGCTCAGGGCATGACCCTGGGGTCCCAGGATCGAGTCCCGCATCGGGCTCCCTGCGGGGAGCCTGCTTGTCCCTCAGCCTATGTCTCTGCCTCTCTCTCTCTCTGTGTCTCTCATGAATAAATAAATTAAATCTTTAAATCTAAAAAATTTAAAAATTAAAAAGCATGAATTTCTCATACGCTCACCTTAGTGCTCTATTTACCGAGGGTCAGTGCAGTGACACCCACTTAACGTCCGTGCACAGCCCTTCGAGGTTTGGAATACCCTGGTCTCATGAGATTCTCACCATAGCCTGATGAAGTGGGCAAGGGAGGTGCTATAACCCACCCCATGCACTGAGGGAGACTGAGGCAGGAGGGGAAAGGCACTGTTGAAGGGCCCCAGATGAGGCATTGGCTGAGCTAAGACTTCCCATTCCCAGGTCTGGCGTGAGGCCACGTGCACACGCACCCACACATGCACATGCATGCACATGCATGCACATATTCACACATGGGCATGTGTATACACATCCTCACAGGTGCACACACATGGGCATGCTCACACAAGCACATGGGTGCATGCACACACACATGCACACAGGTGCATGCACACACACTCACACATGCACACACTCTCACACATGAACACATACATTCTCTCACATGCACACGGGTGCATGCACACACACTCACACAAGCACACAAGGGTGCATGCACACACACACGGGCACACACGCTCACACATGAACACATACATTCACATATGCACACAGGCGCATGCACACACACTCACACATGCACACACTTTCTCACACATGGACACAGGTGCATGCACGCACTCTCACACATGCACACGGGTTCATGCACATTCTCACACATGCACACAAGTGCATGCACACACACATATGCACACACTCTCACACATGCACACAGGTGCATGCACACTCTCACACAAGCACACAAGGGTGCATGCACACATACACGTGCACACACGCTCACACATGAACACATACATTCTCACATATGCACACAGGCATGTGCACACACACATGCACATACTTTCTCACACATGCACATAGGTTCATGCACACTCACACATGCACACAAATGCATGCACACACTCACACATGCACACATTTTCTCACACATGCACACGGGTTCATGCACACACACATACACACATCCACCAGCGTCCTACATTTCTTGGTAGGGAGCCAGGGAGATAATGGATGTGACACATGGAAGGGGTGGCTTGGCCAACTTTAATTAGTTCCCATTTGGTTCCTTTCTTCGTCAGAACCCAGCCCTTCCAAATCCTGGCTCAGCCACTCTCCATAAGAAGTCACTGCATTCGAACTGGACAGAGCCTTAAAGAGAGCAGACCTTTCAGAGCCACCTACACGGTGCCCAACACTGTGTCCATTTGTCCTCTTAACACCCGCTGGTTGCAACTCAGGACTAAGACACAGGCTCAGAGGGGCTAGGTCACTGCCTGGTGTGACACGCAGGTCAGAGGTAAGGTCTTCCCAGGTCTAGCTAGTGCCCGCTCTGTCCGACTTCAAAGCACTCGCTTACTTGTTTATGAATAAGCAGCCTGGATGCCTCTCTGGCACTCCCTCTGACCAGATGACAGCTGCCCCAGGCAGGAGAGCCACCCCTCCTTGCCCACTGTGCATCCACCTGGGCCCCTCCAGGTCACTGTTGCAGAATGCGCCCTCTGGGATCTACCACCCTGCCCTGGCCGCCCTTCAAACACACTTTCGCCCTCAGCATCTCACAAGCCCCGCTCCCATGCCTTTTATGTCCATAGTCCAAGTGCAAAGCCAGGCTCAGGGCTACCGAGGATTCCAATGGCCAAAAAAGGGCAGTAGCTTCTCCCCACCCCACCCTCGCCCACCTCGGTCTGCAGCTGGTAGAGCAGCTGGGCTTGAAACACATTCAGGGTGGGCCTTCAACTATCCTTTTCTGTCTCTTTATAAAAGGGGAAACTGAGACCCCAAGAGATGACAGGCTTGTTCCCTTGTCCGGGTCCCTTACCTGAGCCATTTCCATTATTTACGGATTTCTTTCTGCATGCTCAGCAGCCAGCACAGTGCTTGGGATGTAACCCCCGCCCAAGTACAATAGCCACAAGCATAGATTCACATTGAACAACCACTCTGAGCCAAGCTTTGGAGTAAATACAGAGAATACCACAGTGGGGAACATGACACAGTTCATGACTATGGGGGACTCTCAAAGGAGAAACCAGAGACCATCGGTGCTAGCATTTACTGGGTGCTCTTCTGAGCCCTGGACACATAAATTTGTGAGGTATCAACAATCACCATCCCATTTCATGGATGAGGAAACTAAGGCACAGAAAGGCTAAGTCCCTTCTCCAAGGTCATACAATCTGTAAGTGGGACTTAGACTCAGGTAGTTTGGTTTCAGAGCCCAAGCTCTTCACAAATCAAAAACTACCATCCAGTGATAAGTGGAGTAAGGAGGAAGTCAGAGAGAACTTGACCTAGACTGAGGGGAAATCCCTGAAGGGAGTGGCAGCTAAGCTAAGGCTGGAGGAAGACAAGGAGGAAGGAAGATGACAATTTAGCTCCAAGGATGCTCGAGGCACCCCTAGTCAGGTGAAGGTGTGATTTCTGGGATGGAGAAGACTATATGTCTTCCCAGCCAGACTCCTGCAGATTCCCCAGTGAGAGAGGAGGAATATATAAAGTCTAATTAATTGCTTATACATTGGTAAGGATGAGAACCTGGTTGGCAACCCAGCTCTCTAGAATGGGAGTGGGAACTATGTTGAGCTCCTTTTTGCAGGTAGGGTTGGGAAGCAGAGGACAGAGGACTCTGAGTGGCTGAGGTCTAGAGAGGGACTGACACAACGGAGGAACACATCATGAAGGATTGGGAAATTCTGGGCCAGAAATCCCCTGTGTAAGTCCTCCCTAATCCAAGTACTTGGCACAGGGGGTGGCCCAGAGGAGGCATCATCAAATATTTCACTAATGAGCAACTGAATGGATAGAATCTCAAGAGACAACTCTAAGACTGAGATTGGCTCAGACTGGTTTCCTCTGAAGATATCCTGGGCCTCCCACTATCACTACATCATGTGTTTAGAAGTTCCGGCCAATGCAATAGGGCAAGAAAAACAAATGAGACAACTAGTCTTTCAGGAAAAGGAGACACAAATATGTCCTTTTTTTGCAAACAATACAAGTATCTGTCTAGAAAATACAGGAGAACTGAAATATTGTTAAAATCAACAAAATCATCCAGTACGGGGCATGGTTATAAAATAGCCACAAAAAATATAAAAAGATGAAAGTCAACAGTCCTACTCAATAGCTGACATCCAGCTAGAAATTAGAATGGGGCAAACATTTCACTCACAACAGCCACAAAAGTACAAAATTTCTATCCACAAACCAGAGCTCTGTAGGCCTTATGCCATAAAAGCTACAAAAGTTTACTAAAGAGATGTCTAAAAAAAAAAAAAAATGAGAAGATATGCCATAGTTTTAGATAGGAAACTGTAATATTTTAAAACTGTTAATTCTCCACAAATTAATATATACATCTAATACAATTCCAATAAAGATCCCAAGGGTATTTTTAAGGAAATGATTAAAATGATCATAAGGCTCCTCTGACAGAACAAAGATCCAGAAATATTTTAAAAGAACAAGGGGAGGAGACACGGTAAAGATCGTCAATGTCACATAAAACAGTATTTTAGCAGAAAATAGACAAACAGAGCAATGAAACATCTTCAGACGGTCAGGATTAGAGCCTGGTCTATCATATAATAATCAGTAGTATCAAGGTTATTTAATAAATGGTTAACCATTGGGGAGAAAAAGTAAAGTTACAGCCCATCTCATACCCACTCCCCATGAAGATTCATACCAGATGGTTTAAAATCTTTAAGAATACAAATGAAATTAAGAAATAACTAAGGATACAAATGAATACCTATCTGATCATGTGGTGGGAAAGAAATGCCTAAGCATAAAAGTGAAGAATAACGTATTTTACATGTGGGTGGAACCCTCTCCAAACTATCTGACATAAGTTCCTAATAAGTGTTAGCTGTTATTTGTTAGTCCCCCCAAAAAAAAAAAAGATAAAACTTTTATTTGTGAACACCGTCATGAATACTCTGAATAAGCAAATAAACTGGAACATACTCATAAGGTGGACGAGGGCTGCACAATCTTAATATGTAAATATAAATAACTGTACAAATCCATAACAAAAGACAGCATTCCAACCCCCAAAATAAACAAACTCATAAATGATAAGATACAAATGGCAAACAGATGTAAGAAAAGCATTCTTCCTCTAGCTGGTCAATGAACTGAAGTGAAAACAAGGATAAATTATCTTTTTAAAACAGCCTCTGCTGAGGCTAGCTAGCTGCAGCATGAACTGCCTCAATCTTTCCAGAAGGCAATTGCTAATAAAACAAGTAAATACGTAAAGCACTTGTTTGCAGAAAATTTTAAATTATTCATATATGTGTATGTGTGCCTGTAGGTGTATATACATCTGTAGCTTTCTGGGCGTGTGCAGGCATTTTGATTAATGTACGTTATATATGTGTATGTTATCACACGTATATTATGTTACGTATATGTTAAGAAATCATTCTGATTTCTTTATTTTGGTTAAAATGTTACTTATGTGTAACTCATATCTAATGTCTATGTTATATACGTGTGTGTACGTATGCATGTATGTTACGTAATCCACAGAGGAAGGCCACAGAGATAGTGAACAAACTTGCCTTATCGCCAAAAGTACCTACAGGCTTTGGGGTTGGGCAGTAGAGGATTCAAATCCTGTCTCTGACACTTGTCAGAAATGTGACCCTGGGCAAGTTACTCAGCCATCTAGACCTTCATTTTCTCATCTGTAAAATGGGGGTGATGCCATCTGCCCTACAAAGTATGCAAAGCTCTGGGCCAGTCCCTGGCCCAGTCTTCAAAATGCACTCAGTGCTCATCACTGGGCAGGGCCACTGCAGGCCGCTTTATTCTCTTCTTGATACTTTCTGGACTATTCCATGTTTTCCTTAATGAGCCTGCCTTACCTCTGTCATCAGAGGAAGGGGAAGGGGAGGCTGGGGCCTGACAACCCTGTAGGCTTTCTCCATCTCGGCCCCCACCAGCTCTGCTAGCAGCCACCTAGATCACCAAGTCTGCTCCTTCCTGTCCACCTATTGCCCCTCACCCCTCCGACCCCCCCAATCCCAGTGCCTGAGGGCCCATAATAATCCCGGGTAATTCACTGCAAACTGAGCAGGCCACACCGGGGACGGAGCGGCTGCCTGCCAAGAAGAGTGGGGCCAAGCGCCTTATCCTCTGGCATGGGCAGCAGTGGTTTTCCTGCACAGCTGGAGCCCCACTGGCCTCTGGCCCAGAGCCCCTCACCTGCCCACGGGCCTGCATCCCACCTGTCTGCACCCCAGTCCAGCGTCAGCATCCCCAGCAGCGCAGCCCTAGACTTCCCTGCTGGCTGCCCGCCAGGCCCTGCTTCTCAAACTGCTCGAGTGGCCTCTGCAGATCTCATCTGATCATGTCACCTCTGCTAAAAACCTTGTCGTGTTTTCTTGTTGCTGCTGGGATAAAGTCCAAATGTCTTTCCACCGCCTACCAGGGCCTGCTCCCCTCCCCACCCTCCTGCCCCTGCGCCCCTTTGCCTTGTCATCTGCTGTACTTTAGACCTTAGTCCAACCCATGTGCCTTCTGGGAAAGTGCACCTCACCTCCTAGATGGGACCAATCCACCCTGTGTTAGGCATCCGAGCGTCCCATGCCTCTCTCATAGAGTCCGGGTCATGGCATAATTCTACATTTATTGGTGTGATTAGCTTGTTTCCACAAGGGCAGGGACTGTCCTTGCTGGGGCCCCAGTACAGGCCCACCCGGCTGGTGCTGCAGCTGACCCTGCTGTAGCACTGCCACAGGCCAGCACTGCTCTAAGTGATTCGGTTACTCCTCATGACAACCCAAGGGGGCAGTTACTCTCATCGTCCATTTTCTAGATAAGGAAACTGAGGCACAGAAAGTTGAAATAATGTATACTCAGCGCCAAAGAACCAGGAGGTGACAGAGCTGGGGTCTGAACCTTGATCACCTGGCTCCGGAGCCTGTGCTCTTAACCACTGCCCTTCCCCGCAGCAACAAGTGCAGGCCGGTTGGCGACATGAATCAATCCCATGAGTCAACACCGAGCCTCCAAGGTCAGCCAATGCCGTCCTCCCAGGGGCCTGGCTTCTCTGCCTCATTCTCAAGTCCTTGATCTCGACTCCATGTGGGAGGTGACTCTCCCTCTTCTTGATGGATTTGAACATGGGAGTACGGGTCTCTGGCAAGTGGGCAAAGCCTTGGGGTCTAGGGCGGGGGGGGGGGCGGCGGGGAGGGCAGGTCGGGCTAAATAAAGCTTGGCTCTGGCCTGTAGCAGCCCTGACACGTGTCTTCCAGCAGGCAAACTCAAGAACCCAAAATACAGTCCTGCCACTGCTGGTCACCACCGGTACCAGGTAAGTGACCTTGGCGTCTTTGCGACCTCAAGAGGCGTAGAGTCCTTCCTTTGCTCTTCCTCTCCCCCTTGAGCCTCCTCAATCCACTGGTATCTCCCATCCCTCAGTCCTTATCCCACAAGGCCATAAGCTCCCAAGGGTCCCATGAACTCACTGAAGCAAGGAGTGCACAGTGACCCACCCAAAGTGGGGGCTCCTGCCACCTGGGCAGACCCTCCTGTTCGGCTGATTTCTCCAACAACACATAGTCGGTGCCCATAAACATTTGCTGACAGAAGGACATGGCTGGATGGATGCCCCCCCCCCCCCCCCCCCGCCAGGGGTTGCTCTAGAAGGCAGCATCATGTGGAAGAGGAGGAGCCAGCACAGGGCCTGGGGGAGGCCAGCCCTACGATCCCATCAGGTCACCTCCTTGGTCCAAGGGGGATCTGGGACACAGTGAGGACCCTCTCCCCACAATCACCCTCTGGTGCAGATACACAACATTCCCTTCCAACCTCAGCTGAGGCAGGAATTCCATCCAGGGAGAGTCTCTGTTTTAACCTTGTCCCGGCGATGCCACAGATCAAGGGCAGCCCAGGACCCAGCCGGCCTGTCCTAGGGCCACTGCTCACCCCTGGGCTGCAGGCCAGGTGTCAGGCATGACTTTTCCCCCTTGGAGTTTTATGCAAACACGAATGGAAGAAGCAGGCTCCCGTTCCAGTGTATTTTTTGGAGCCCACACCTTATCTGTGATACCCAGAAGCGGGCTGGAGTCCTGCCCAGGAGAGCACGAGTCTACACATCCCTGCTACATGTGGCAGGAAGAGGAGTCACCTGCTAGGTACAAGCCTCGCTCCCCACACCCAGAGAGAGCTGCTTCTCAAGATGGAAGGAGAAGCAGCTAAGGGGCCCCCTCCTGCCTCAGCACATCTGTTGGCAGGATGGGAGGAGGCTGCGGGCCAGACCGGGGCTGCCGTGGGCCTGGGGCCGGGGCCCTGCAACGTGGGGCCGGTATGGACCGGGGCAGAAGCCAATGGACCATCTGCTGCCACAGAAGCAAGGGATCAATCTGGAAGCTGGGAGGAGTGGAAAAGAATGGGAGGGAGCGGGAAGGACCGGCCAGTCCCAGAGCCAACCAAGAAAGGCGTGTTCCCGAAAAGACCTGACAATTCCCAACAGCTGTGGGTCCTCGGCATGGTGATGTAGCCCATGGCCCGGGAGGCCTGAGGCCTATGCGGAAGTCTCCGGGGGGCTGCCTCTCCGCCGGGCCCACGGGGGCGGATCCTGGGGCGGTCTCCTGGACAGTGTCCTACCGCGCCCGAGCCTTAGTGCCCCATCCGTATACGGGCACAGCATCTCCACCCATCCCTTTAGGGCTTTGTGGGGATCGAATGAAGACAAGCCACATAAAGTGCATGCAGAGTGCATAGGCCCCCAGGAAGGCCCAATATAGGGTGGCTTCCCGGAGGACGGCCATGCCTTCAAACGCTGCACTAGTCGCCTTGTTAAAACCACAGCACTTCCGGGCAGCGGCTTGGCCACTGGGCACCCGAGGCCTCTGGGCTGGCTTTGCAAGGAAGGCCCCGGGCCCAGCCCCGGTCGTGTGTGCCGCACTCCCAGACGAGCCGGTGGGCGCCACGGCTGGCCTTTGGGGGCTGTGCGACCAGTCAGTTAACGGCTTTCCCTAAGCCGCTCAATCTGCACCACGGGCTTAGCAAAGAATGGCCTTGGACCTGGCCACCCTGGTTACCCGCACAGGGCAGGCTGCGCCGGGCAGCGTCCTAACCAGGAGCCCCTCTGCCCTCCGGGGCCTGCTTCCCGCTCCTTCGGCCCAGTCCCGGCGCTCCTGGCTTCCCTGGCCCTACAGCCCCTTTCCCTGCTCCTGCTCCCCCAGCCACCCCTGGAGACCTCTCCCCATGGCCTCAGTGCTGCCGGCCCTGCGGCTGCTCGCTCCGAGCGCGGCCTGGAGAGCCCTGTTCGCCGCCGGAGCTCCGGGCACACAGGGGCGCCCCGGGGACGGAGTTCCCAGCAGGCATCGGAGCACTGCTCACTCTGGCCTCTGTGGTCTCATCTTAAAGTTACCTGGAGCACCCCAGGAAGGCTCCCTGGGGCAGGTGGCATCCCTGTGCTGTCGTCTCCCCAACCCCCCCCCAGGGCCTCATCTCAGGCTCCTCAGCACTCTGTCTGCCCATGAATTGTCTCCACCTGGCGGGGCTCCCGGTTTCCCGGTTCACAAATGAGCATCCTCGCCTTCCTCCTCTGGGGCTCCTGGGTTGAGTCACCAAGGCTAACACCAGGGTGTCACTGGTCTCTTATCTCCCTACCTCCCCTCTGCACCGTGAATGCATCCGCTTCCCTCCTGCCCCTCCTCCCACACCCCTCAGCTGGCTGGGCTGGCCTCATCCCTCCCCGGTACCACCCCGGGGCCTCCCTGCCTCTGCTCTGGTCCCCGCCTCCAGTCCACGTGCACACGACATCCAGCGACTGTTTCCAAACACGACCACGTCCCTCCCCAGCTCAAAAGATGACATGCCTCCCAGGGTTAAGTCTTAAGACCCAGGAAAATCTCTATCCCTAGTCTGACATTCAAGGCCTTCCCTACTTAGCAGCAAATGACCCTCATTCCTCCTCTCCTTTGAGGGTTCTGGGTTCCAACTGCCCTTCTCTCTCTAATTCCCTACAACCAGCTTCTGCAACCAGAAGCTCCACTCCCGAGTCCTCACTGTGTCACAAGCCTGGCTCTTGGGAGGCGCTCAGGGAGTGCCAATGGCACCGAGGGCCTCCCACCAGGAGCCCCTAGGAAGCACCCCAAACATAGCCCCAGCCCAGCCCCTACTGCATGGCCCTACCTCCAGACCCCACAGCAAATACTCACCTTGGCTCCGGGAGGGCCAGGGAGGCCTGGGTTTCCATAAGGCCCAGGGGGACCCTGAAAGGGAAAAGAAATGAAGAGGTAAGGGAAAATGGGGGTCATTCCCCTTCCCACAGCGATGCCCAGCAGGTTCCTTCCACCTGCTGGTCTGCTCGCCTAGCCGAGTCTCAGCAGGGCGGCCACGGCGGCCCACCTCCAGGGGGGACCCCTTGATGCCTGGCCCTGCTCTGAACACTTTCCGTGCATGACCTCGTTTTATCCAACTAACCCACGAGGTGGGGACTGCCATTCTTCTGATTTTGAAGATGAAAAGCCCGCACTCAGAGAGGGCGAGAGCTTTCTCAGGCCACCCAGCTGCTAAGGGGCAGAGCTGGAGGTCAACCTCAGATGTGTGACTTTGAAACACAAGCTCTCAACCTCTGAATTTTACTTTACAGCCTCCCCGCTCTCTCCCCCTGGCCCAGCAGCCCTTCCCAGGCTGGTTCCCTGGGGATACTATAAAGATACTACAAAGCCATAGGACTTCTCGATTTTTTAAATTGAAGGTCAGATCTGTAACCCCGTGGGCCACACGGAGTTATGTCAGATGCAACCTTCCTTGACAAATTCTGTTTCCGCTCAAAGCTTCCGTCCCCCGTGCCTCACCACTTTCACCTGTGCCATTCCCAACATCTGGCGTGCCTTTCTCAACCATCCTCTCCAGCTGACACCCCTCCCATCCTTCGAGGCCTGGCTCAAGTGCCACCTCCTCCCAGGGCATCTCCTAAGACTTCTGCCTAAAGGAACTTCTCCCTTTCGACTCCAACTGGACTGTGCTGTGAGCCTTTGGAGCAGAGAGCCCAGTGAAGGGCGTACTTGGCGTCTTCTGAACAAGGGCCCCAGCCCAGCCAGAGAGCTCTCCCTTAGGTTCCTACAAGCTCTGAGCTTACGAGCCCTCCAGGGGCCTTGGAGCACCTAGGAGGACCTGGCTCAGAGAGTCCAAGAGTCTTGGCTAAGTCACACAGCAGAGAGGTGGCCAAGCGAAGGCTGGGACCCAGGCCTGTTGGCTTTAGGTCCGGGGCTTATTCATGGCATTCGATTTTCCCAGGTCCTATCTTCCTGCTATAGAACAGCTGGAGCCTGTTATGTCTACTTTCCCCTGCAAGGGCCCTGGGTTAGAGTCTTGCAGCCAGTAATATAAACAGAGCCCTAAGAGATGGGTAATTCCTAAGAGTCTTTGTCCAGCAGGAATACTCTGGGGCATGGGGGGCGGGGAGAGGCGCCCCGAGGAGCCCAGTGGTGCCCCACCACCCCAGCTTCTAGACACACTGCCCTCGTTCCTGGCCCCTCTTGACTCATCTGGCTAGCTCTGTATGAACTTGCTTCCTTCCTCCCTCTCGGAGGCCAACTTTCCAGCTGCAGCCTGTCACATTCCAACCCAGGCACCTCCCTCTTCTCGATGCCTGAACAGGGACCCTCCCCTTCTCCAAACACGTTGAAAAGGAACAGGGTTCAGAAGCTCACTGGGCCTGGGGGATTGATAACGGTGTCACTGGTGGCTTTCCCTCTAAAGGAACCCGCTCCCCGGCCCTCTCCAGGGTTCCACCAAACACGGTCTCCCGGCACACGGATGTGACCTGGAAGCGTCAAGACCTGGGACCAGCTGTGAGCAGCCCCCCTTCCCCAGCCTCACTCTCCTCAACAGTCCTATGAGTAACTGGGACCCTGGTGGTCCTAGGAATCTGGAAGACCTCAGATGCTCATCCCAGCCCAGGCTCCTGGGGTCTCACCTCAGAGCTCACCCCTGAATTGGTCGTTAAATTGGGTGGGTGTGTTTGAGGAGGGGCCCCTGACCAGCACTCCAGAAACAGGCATGGGCTGTGGGGCGGCCAAGGGTGGCTGCTTCTCCCCAGTTGGGTCCCCAAAGATGGCAGGCTGGAGCGTTCGGCTCCCCGAGCTGCAGCGTGTGAAAGTGGGGGCTTCCTGCTTCCCCGCCCCCCTCCCCACCTCTCCCCAGCCATTGCCTTGCAAAGAGACGGAGCACATAGTTGACTGTGAGCCAAGCAGACCAATTCTATGAATGCTGCAGCCCAGAAAGCCGGGTAAGGGGAGGGCCCAGGGATTCCCCATCATCCTTGCACGGGCTGGGGAAGTATGTGGAGGTGGGAAGGGGCATGCCACTGAGCTTTGGGTGACCTCAGGTAAGGCCCCGTCACTCCCCGAGCCCCAGAGCCATCATTCGTGCAGAGAGGAGCTGGGATGGTCTACTCTTCGCATTCTACTATCTCTGGAATTTTATGATCTATGGAATTTCCAGCCTAGAAACAGGATGATGGCGGGGGTGGCAGTGGGGGGGGGGGGGAGGAGCACACAGAAAGCCTGAGAAGGATGTCAGGAGAGTCATTCCCTCACTCATGGAATTGCAGAGCTGGGAGGAACCTTGGAACTATATTTCCAAGGAAATGCCTTGGGAAATCCTGGGCGGACCCCATGCTTTACAGATGGGAAACTGAGGCCCAGGGAGGGAAGGGATTTGCCTAAGATCACACAGCTTCTGGGGCGGGGTGGAATGTTGTTAACTCCCAGACCAGAACTCTTCAGCAGCCATTTGCCTGGCACCTGTTAGGTATCAGGTGAGAACGAGAAAGAAACAAGGCTTGGCTCTGGGCTCATTCAGGTAGAGAGAAAAACCAGCATAATCGATGGTTAAGAACATAGGTTCTGGGGGTCAGACCGTCTGGGTTCAACCCTAGCTCCGGCATTCACTCTCTGGTTGACTTTGTCCAAAATAACCAAACCTTTCGGAGCCTCAGTTTCCTCGCCTATAAAATGGGAACAACGTTTTAACCTATTTCTGGGGACGGCTGGGCAGGTGGGATGAGATCATGCATAGGCAGCTCGGCCCACAGAGTGCAGCAGTCCGTGTGAGCTTTTTGGAAAGTGAGCCACACCAACCATTCAGAGAAGCAGATAACTCGGTGGGAGGGGTGGGTGGGGAGGGAGGTGGTCATTAGAAAACGAGGGGGCATTTGATCTCAGCAGGGGATGGAGGAGGAGCTTGCAAAGAAGGGCAGGCCAGGTCAGGTCAAGAGGACAGCCTGAGCAAAGGTGCAGAGGAGGAGGGAGGAGTCTGGATGGGCAAGCTGCCTGCTGAGTCAAAGGGCCTCATCCTGGTCCCAGGCTGCAAGGTCCTGTGGCCAGCAGGATCCCTGGTACCTCTGTGGTCCCCAGCTCCGGGTATGTGCTCCATGGAGACTCTGGAGCCAGGAGGAAATGCCGCTTCAGAGAGCAGATTCCAGAGCCCTGGGCCCAGAGAGCACAGGGCCAGGCCTGGAGTAATTGCATAACCAGAACCATCCGCTGGGCTCCGAGCTAAAAATATGCCCCAGGCAGCTGTCTCTGCCAGAGCCTTGCCAGGCACCCAGCGTGGGAAAGGCTGATTCAGCCTGGGCACAGGTGCCAGGCGTCATGGGTCTGAGCCCTCTTAGGAAAAGGACAGATTTTTCTCCAAGAGGACCCCCAAGGGTGCCGGCATACGGTTAAGAGCCTCGGTTCCCATCTTGTCTCTTCCATTTCCTACAAGCTCGGTTTCCACCTCCCTAAAACGAGAATGATTATCCTGGCCCATGGGGGTCCCGGGAAAGAGGGGCTCAAACAAGGCAGCACAAGGCGCCGTGCGAGGCATCACACAGAGGAGTTACTTTTCACACCAAGGTCAGGCCAGCCCGTCTCAGCCGCGGCGGGCCTGCGAAGCCATCCTCCCGCCTCTGATCAACCCTCTCAGCATGGGGAGCTCACCCCCTCCCTTGCCCGTGTCGGCATCCCCACCCCAGGGTGGCCCTGCAGAGATGGGAAGATGGATACAAGGGTCGTGTCCTGCCAAGCCAGCTTTTTTTTTTTTTCCTGTACAAACACTGAGGAGCATCAGCTCAGGGGACGTGGTCTGCAGAAACCCCTTCTCCACTCCAGGCTGCCAGCTTGGTACCCGCAACGGACACCTGAGACCCTGAAAGGGGTGGTTGCTCTCCTCCCATGCCGTGCCCGTCCACACAGAGCCCCCACAGAGCCCTAAGTACACTCCATGCACGAAGCGGAAAGTGGGCGCCCGTGAGGGACAGGGGACAGCGTGAGGACACGCAGCGAGGCTGGAACTTCAGGGGCAGTGGGATACAGGACAAAGAGCCAGCCAGGGCTCCAAAGGACAGTGTGTGGTCACTTACCCGCGGCCCCCGTGCTCCGGGGGGTCCAGGGAGCCCAGGCAGCCCAGGGGGACCCTGAAGGAAAAAGCAAGAAGACAGAGTCAGTGCCAAGTGGCAGCAGAGAATGGGTCCAAGCAGTCATTCAACAAGCCTGTCCAGCTGGGCGTGGACCCTCCATGGCTGAGAAGAGGGGTCCTCTGAGGTCCCTGCCCAAGGAAATCATGCTCTTTGGGGCTCTCAGGCCTGTGCAGCCCCTGCTTCTTGGTCTTGAAGTTTTCATCTTTTATTACTCAGCTAACTTACCCAGGGTGCCACCTCCTAAGGGCAGCCTTCCTCCTCCCTCCCCCAGGTTGAGTCAAGTCCCCTCGTCCTCTCTATTTTCAAGGCTCCTATATTATCTGGGGGGACTGTCTGCCCAGAAGCCTGGGTCTCCCACTAGACCATGGTCTCCTCAAAGGAACTAATCTCTCTCTCTCTCTCTCTCTCTCCCCACAGGGTTCAGGTAAATGTTTGATGAGATAAGACAGAAAGAGATCTCAGAGCTCAGCCAAGCTCTCTGCAGCCCCAGAGCCGAGAAGGGACCTGTCCAAGGTCACACCAAGCATCTCGGGGCCGCGGGGAGGCAGCGCAGCATACGGGGAGGGCATATGCAAAGGCTTTGCACACACAGGCCCGGGGCCAGACCCCGTGCTGCCACTTGCCGGCGGGGCTTGGGCAAGGTCCTTAGCCAGCCTGTGCCTACCAAACGGGGGAAGTCATACCCTCTTCACGGGACTGTCGCAAGGACGAAATGAGAGGCGGTAACCGCTTAACACAGCGACTGGGATATAATCGTCACTCAGATGTTCCCGCTCTCCTGGTGGTCACAGCCTGGCCCAACCTTCATCGCTGCTCCCTGAGAACCTGCAGCAGCCCCCTCACTGCTCTCCCCACCTGCACCCTCTCTCCTCTCCCCTCCGCCTCCACGCAGCCTGGTTCATCCCCCCCCCCCCCCCGCTACACCACTCAGTGGCTCCCTATTTCCCACAAGAGAAAGGCCGAACCCTGCCGCACGCACGCAAGCGAGGCAGCCAAGCCGGACTTCCTAAACGGAGGGGCGGAGGGGGCTGACCTTCGTTCAAAATCCCAGTTTTGCCACCTGACAGCCGGGCACTCTGTGCAGGCCCTTGGGCCAGAGCGCCCACCGCGCCCCTCCACCGTGGGCGCCCCCGCCGCGGCCCCCGCCACCCCGCGGGGCTACACGAGGCTTAACGAAGCGCGCGACGTGAAGAACTGGACACGGGAGCCTTCGAAGGAAGCCTGGCTTTCGAGGATGTGTGAGGCCTGGGGAATTCATTTGTTTCAAAGAACCATCAACGAGATTCCAGGTTTCCTGCCCGGAGTTAAAAATCAGTGTTGAAAACCCAGTACGGTTTGGCTGGTAATTAATCCAGATCTCACGCTGGGCAGCCTGGTTCACAGTTCTGGCCTGTGAACACCACGTGCTTGCTCGTCCATGAATAAAAATCAGAAGAGAGATCCAGACAGGCAGATATAGGCGCCGAGGCCCCGGGGGCACTGGAGAGAGCCCGGGCTGCAGGCAGGGGGGGCTGCGTGCCCTCAGGCAAGTCCCAGACACCTCCGAGCCTCCAGGGACCTCGGGCCAAACTGGCACCTGTCTTCCCTCCATCCAGAGCCCAGGGGTGGCAGGCGGGGGCCGGGTGGATGTTTGTACTCGGCCCTCTGGTCCCGCAGGTTGGGGATTCGGGGCCAGGCTCCTCCCCGCTCCTCCCCAGGGCGCCGTGGAGTGCGGGGGACCCGGGTTCACCCTGGGCGGCCTTCCCTCTCTCAAGGGTAAAACGAGGACATGACGGCCCCTCGCTGACAGATAATCTGTAAAAAGTGCTAATCCCGGGCCTGGCACACAGCTAATGCCCCAAAAGTTAGCTGTTGTTTCTGTGAAGCAAGCTCCTGGAATCTCCCCAGCGCAAAATTTTAAACCACCCTCCTCGGCATCTGTTTTTCAGGAGGAGCAGAGGTTTCCCTTTCCGGAAGGCCCTCCCTGGACCTGTTCTTCCAGGTGACCCAGAACTAAAGGGAAATGCAGGGGCTTGGGGCTAAGCATTACTGTGGGTACCATTACCATCGTGAGCCCTTTGCATCCGTGAGAAACCTAAAAGCGCCTCAGAGCCGCAAAGTGACTTGCCCCAGGCCACACAGCTAGCAGGGAGAACCAGGACGAAACCCAGGACTTCTGAGGCGTCCTCCTCCCCGGGGCTACGTAGGTCCTGACGAGGTGTGCAACCCTGGCTAAAGCTCTCCACCCCACCCCCACGCCCCCGGGGAGGCATCTGAGGAATGAGCATCCTGGAGCCTTCCCAACACCGGGCCCTTCCTGACTTGCAGGGTGGTGGTGACTTCTTCTCCAGTCCCCTGGCAGGAGAGGAAAGGAGGAGACCGTGCATGCCCATCTCACAGAGAAGAAGGCCAAGGCCTGCCTCGCGCTCAGCTCCAGGGAGGGACAGGCTCCGTGAGGCAGGGCTCCCTGGGGGACCCCGGTCGGGCAGCTGCCGTGGAGGCCTGGACACTCCCTCTTGGCAGTCCTTCTGCCCCAGAAACAGGGGCATCCAGGCTGGGAGTCTGACCTCACCCACAACATCTGCAGAGCAGACTCCAAGTGCCAGTTGGGACCCGCGGCCCGGCCTGGTGATGTCAGTTCGCAGCCCGGCCCCCAGCGGCAGGCCCGGCCAGGCTCTCCTCTGCCCACCCGGGGGGCTGGGGCTCCCCAGCTGCCCGGCTGCAGCCCTGGGCCCAGCTCTTCCCCGCTCAGTACCTACTTTGTTCGCTGGCAGACGAGGGTGGGCGCCCCCTGCCCCCTCTCGCCTGAGCCGAGACCCTGCCTGTTCTCCACGCAGTGGAAAAACGTTGCCATTTCTTTCCAGGGCCTGAAGCCTGAGCGGGTGACTCTGGGATGATTCACGAGGGCCGGGGTGGGATTTTCCACTCCACGCTGCAAACAACGGGGCCTCTGAGAGGGCCCAGAGCAGGGGGAGGGGAGGGGAGGGCAACGGGGGCCACAGCCCTGCTAGGGGGGTTCAGGGTGGGGAGAGGTGCATGAGGCCAGGGCTCGGGGCTCACACAAACAGAGCCATGGAAACAAGCAGGTCGGGGCTCTGGGTTTCCCCCCGAGGGTCCTGGCCAGCGACAGCCAGACCTTGGGGAACCCCAGCCCGTGGAACAAGTCCACCCTTGTGTCCAGCCGCACAGCCCGCCTGCCAAGCCCCGCAGGAAGCAGCAAGTGCTGGCGGGCACGGCCCTTGGCAGCCAGCGGGGACGTTCCACGGGCCTACCGAGGCCGGGCCCGCGTGTGCTGCTACCTGCACGTGTCCCTGTGCCAGGACTTTCCATCCCTGGACCTCTGCTCAGTGCCTGTGGCTCGACGGAGAGAGGCAGGGGACCTCGAAGGGCCTTCCCACTTCTGACCATCTGAGCAGCCCCCATCCCCAGTTATTCCCAAGGGTAGTGCTCAGGGCTCTGGGCCCTTTGGCCCAGTCTCTGTCCTCGGGAAGGGCCTCAGGGGCCAGGGCTTCTCCGTGTGGCCTGCACAGGTTATTTCATCTCCCTGCACCTCCAGGCCTCAGTTTGTCCAGCTGGAAAACGGGGCTCACACACCCAGCTTCCAAGAGAACATGTGAGGGTGCTGGCTGCTGGCTATCCTCCACTTGCCCCCCAGAGATCGTGTGCCCTGGGAACCCGCCTACAGGCTGCAGCCGCACACTCTCTTGCTCTCTGCTCCTCGCTGGGTCTGGCCAATAGGAGGTCCCAGCAAGAGACGGACAAGTGGGAAAGAGGGAGTGGGCAGGGGCCTTCTCTCCAGGCGGGCTGCAGTCCCCCCTGCAGTCCCACCGCAGCCCCCCGGAGCCTGCTGTTCCCACTTTAACTCTCCCTGGGTTCTGGTCCCAGTTTCCCTCCCCTTGTACTTTCAGGTCAAACCTGTGTGCATTGTGGCCACTGCCGGCTCCTTTGATGCCGTCCGCACCTCTGTAAATAGCCCTTTCCCTGAACTCTTCTCAAGTACCTGGCTCCCACCCGGAGCTGCAGGACGCAGCACGCAAAGGGCTTAGCCCAGAGCCCAGCACGTGGTCGGAGCTCAAAGACAGTACGCCAGAGACAAAGCAAAACACCGCCCCCACCCCTTCTCCTGGGTTCTAGATGGGAACTAGGGTAAGGGGTGAACTTCTCAAGATGTAGCCCCAATTCCAAACCACCAACGGCGTGAAGGCCCTCCTGGGTCCAGACACTCCCAGTGCTCTTCGTGCAACAATCCCCCCATCTCAACCATCGGCACATAAATCAATAGTCACAGCAAACCACTGGGACCAGCTTCCCTCATCTCAATCTGCACAACAACTCTGGAAAGGTAGGTAGGACCCTATGCCTGTCTCACAAAGGCAGAAACAGAGGCTCAGAGAGGTTAAGTGACTTGCCAAAGGTCACACAGCACCTGGAACCTAGAAGGTACTCCATGCACGTTTGCGGGAAAGGATGAAAGGCTGGCTGGATAAGGGAGTGGTTCAAACCCAGGTCACTCCAAACCCAGTGTGAGCTGTTACCCTCCCCACGGCCCCGTGACCCGCCAGCAGCAGAGATCTGTGCAACCTCAAGGAGCTTGGCCTGGGAGTCAAGACAACCTTTTTTTTTTTTTTCTGTAAAGATCACATTCCTTCGTTCATCTCGCAGATAGGCATGGAGCATCTGCGGCAAGCCAGGCCCTCATCCGGGTCTTCCTGAGGTGACGCTTGCAAAAAAGTGCAAGCGAGTGCAAATGCCAGCGGCCTGATCATGAATAAAAAGGCCTTGACTCGCCTCCTCCCAGGCGTGGGGCTTCTGTGCAGCTTCTGTGCAGTCTGTGAGCTGCAGCCTCCCCGCCCCTTCTCACCCAGGGCCCAGCTCAGCTTTTCCATGCTCCCCCCCAACCCCGCCACCCCGCTGCTGGGGCTCCCACAGAGCTCCCTCACTCTGTGGCTACAACTGCTGGCAGGCCCGGCCCCGAGCTGTCTCCGCCTCTGCCCGCCCATCTCGTGCCCCTCAGACCCATGCAGAACCCCTCAGACCCAGCCACAGCACCTTTCTCTGGCTCTGAAAGGTCCCACAGCCCCAGAGAGGGGAGACAGCCCCTAGGGAGAGGAAAGAAGTTCCCCAAATCACCCGGCCAAAACAGATCTCCGAGGGGCCCTGGAGATCACCCAACTCGCTGCCTCACGGGAGATGGGAGCTATTCTTAACTTACATTCTGCAGAACCAAGGCTTAGCGTGGCTCAGGGCCATGAAGCTAGTAAGGGGTGGGGTCAGAACTGGAACCCAGGTCTGCAGGTCCCCAGACGGGGGACAGTGAAGGCCCCTGCCCGGGGCAGCATGGCTCCTGCTCTGCTGGGGCCAGATCCTAAATGTATATGGGGATCGGAGGCAAATTAAGAGGGCCCGGGAAGAGCAGGAGCCCTTGCCACTGCGCTGAGAGGCACCACTTCAATCATGTGACTTCTGAAATCCAAATGACCAGTTTGTCACCTGCCACACAGTGGGCCGGAGGAAGCTTCTCAAAGTTTTCTGGGTTCCTATTGGAGTGAGGCTAAGCTCCAAGCTGAGGGAAGGTGGGATTAGGAGACAGGGTGGGCACGAGGGAGGACACCACTGGAGCAGACTGACATCATCCCTCTTGCCCTCGGCCCTTCAGGGTTGGAGGAACGAGAAGAGCCAGTGGCCTCTCTGGAAGTCAAGGACCCAGAATCCTACCCCAGTCCCTGCAAGAACATGCTGCATGCCCGTGGCCAAGTCTTTTGTCCCTCTAACTAGTGTCCCCTCATCTGTCAAGCAGGGGTCAGCATACACACCCTGCCCTCCTGAACCAGGTCCTGGGAGGTCCTAAAGGAAGGTACCACTCATGGGACTCATACACGTGGTGGGTACAGAAACAACAGATTCTTCAGACATTGAGACGTTCCTCTGAGGCCATGGACAGGCCCTGTCACATCTATGAGGCCCCCAGCCTCCTGGCCCTGAGCCTTAGGATCTCAGAGTGGACACTCAGGGGAGTGGGATGGAATGTGCCGGTCTTGGCATCTGGAGCTGGGGCATAAACCTTAACTCTGCCTCCTACATGCTGTGTGTGCCCTTGGGCAAGTCCCGGCCCTTTCTGGGCACTGTCTCCAGGCTCCTCACCTGCCCAGCGAGGAGGGCTGAATGGAATGACCCCTAAGCACCCATCTACCAAACAGGTTGACTCCAGCACATTCTTTGATCATAGAGAAGCTCAAGAAGGAGATCTAGAGTGAGGCCTCACCCCTGCCGACCCACATCGCCAAACCCCAAGGGGAACGCACATAGCCTGGGCCTCCTCCAGGCCCAAAGGCAGATTCTCTACCACTCCTGCTCCAGGTGTGCCGGCTTGGACACGGCTGTCGTCTCTCCACCCCACACACAGCCTTGGGAGGAGGGGTTCACCTCCCCTGGATGGGGCGGAGACCCTGACCCTCACACACTCTCTTGGGGGCGGGGTGGGGGGGAAACAATTCACCCCCTTTCGACCTCATGGCCAGTGACCCCAGCATCCACACAGCTTGGGAAGCTGAGCTGTCAGGGCTCAAAGGCACCTGGTGCCTGAGTCAGGCCGGGCAGGCTGGAGGGGTGATGAGAAGGGGTCCTTCTTTTCCTTGCTCCCAACTTCCTGCCCTGACAATCTCACAGCACAGGACTCGAGCAGAGCGCTGACATAATTGCAAAGCAATGCATACAATTTCCATAAGTTCTACAATATGGTTATAATAAAAACGGGCTCTCAGTCCCCCTGGAGACAGGCTGAATAAATATTATTCCTAATGATTATTAAAACTCATTAAGTGTGTTTGTAAGGCCTGGGAATTCCCAGCATCTGCCACCGTCTCCACATTGTAGGGGAGCCTAACCTCAAACACGGAGCCTGGTGGAAAACCTGCCCTCGGGGAGGAGAAAAACCGCAGGGTGGTCATCTCCAAGGCAGGAGCACGGAGCTGAGGCCTGAGCTTTCTGGAAACTCCGTCCCCTCCATCCCCTCCATCCCCTCCCTGCCCCGGTCGAATTGGCCTCCAGCTGCAGAAAAGGTCGTTGTCCCTGGAGACAGTCCCAGGCATGCTGGAGGCCCCGGCCCTGAGAACATCTCCTGCACGTGGAATGTTCTTTCTCCTTCCCTTGACCGTCCAGGCCCACTCTGACCCTCCTCACCCCAAATCCCTAACAGAGGCCACACTCCAACGTCTAGAGGAGCCAGGCAGGTAAAATAAACGGGGGAAGGGACTGGGTGGGGGAGACCCGATCGGGAGATGTGGGGTCCCGTCTGAAAGGGCAGCTCTGACCGGGCCGCAGGCCACGGGCTACTGTAGCTCTCCCCCTTCCAAGAGAAGCTGGTCACCAGGCCTTTTATAAGAAATCTCTCACATTTTTAAAATGTTAGTAACTTATTAAATATTTTTAAACAATGCCGCGTGTGCCAAACAAAACACGTTCAGGACTACCCGTGGGCGACCTTTGTCCAAAACTCCCAGACTAGCTGGTGGACTCGGGAGAGCCGAGCTCTGGAGACTGCATGACGCGGGGGACAGTTAGTGGTTTTCCTGAAGCCACTTGACCTTCACAGTCAGGGTTAGCAAACAATGACCCGGGGCCTGGGGCCAACGCCAGCCCAAGGGGTGCTTTTCACCCAGCTGTGGCCACCAAACCCAGGGCTGCCCCAGTGCCCCGTGGATCACAGCAGAGCGGGCGGTCACGAGCAAGAGGACGTGCATGCGAGTGGAGGCCCTGCCCAGACGCACCGCCCTGCTCTGGGTCGCTTCCCTGGGTCAGGCCTGGGCAGCAGTCGCCACTTGCCCTAACTGCCCCTGCCACCCCCTTGAGCTCCAAGCAACATGCACATCCCAACCCGTCTTACCGGCAAACCACAGTCTCCCTTGGGCCCTGGAGGTCCCATCAGCAACGGGAAAGGCGTGGGGCCGGCCAGGTGGAAGAATGGATAGCTCTGACTTGTTGGCCAGGCACTGGAGGACAGGAATCGCGCGGGGGCCAAGGCGGGGGCCGGGGTGGTCGGCCGGCTGGGCCGGGACGGTCTGGGGCTGGGCCTGGTTGTTGGATCATTCAATGGGACATCCCTGGCTGCCTTCCCAGGTATGAGGGGGACAGGCTTCCGGGGGTTGCTCTTGGGTCTGGCTTTCTTTGTGGCTTCTGATCCAGAGGGTTTCTTGCTTCTGGTGGGGGCTGAGCCAGGAGCAAGGGTGGGAGGCATCGAGGTGGCCAGTGGAGCAATCCTGGAAGAGCCAGGACGGGGGACAGGTGGCAGGGACAAAATCGTGGGTTGGGGAGGCCGGTGGGCGCCGGTGCGGGCAGGGACTGGCTCACTGGCATGACTGCTCATCTTGGCCACGGTCTGGCCCACCGGAAGAAAAGGCTTTTTGGGGGAGCCAGTGGCCAGAAGGAGGGGCCGAGCGCTGGGTAGAGGAGGTCTGGGCGTGACAGGGGTCCTCTGGATCGGCTTCACCGAGGGGCGGGAGGCTTTGGCAGGAAGTGGGTGGGAAGTGGGGGGCACTGGCTTCTTGGTAGGTGGGGCTGACTTTGCGAAGGAGGGCTGAGCTGCCTTCGGGGTGGGGTGGGGATTTTTGACAGGGCCTATCATAGAAGGAGAAGGGACCGAAAGCCTGGTCGGATGACTTTTGGGGATCTTGGTGGCCATGCTTTTCCGCAACGGCCGGACAGGTGCAGTGATGGTGGCAGGAGAGGTGGGGGGCACAGGAGGAAGCGCTTCACCGGCCGACAGCTTGGCAGGTGGCAGCGGGGTGCGGGCTGAGCCCCTGGCTGCAGCTCGCTGGCGAGGGTCTGCGGTGCTGGTCCTTAGGGGCTTGGCGGGCACGGCAGGCACCACAGTCCCCCAGGGGTCCCTGCTTGCTGGCCGTGACCCCAGGGTTGGCGCGGCAGTGGTCAGGTTCTCCAGGCCTCGCAGGGCAAGGTCGGTCTGGAAGGTGAAGGTTGTGCCCGAGTCTCGGGGAAGGAGGGGTCCCAGCTGGGGCCGGTACATGTCGGCCTGTCCACACTGCTTTCTCAGGTGGGTACAGTAATCGGGAGCGACCTGCGTCACGGGGTAGATACTGAACTGGCACAGGGCACCTTCAAACTGCACCGCGTGGGGGTTCATCTTCCCGAAGAGGAAGGAGCCCTCGGGGTCGAGTGCCGGGTCCTTGTGGAAAGGCAGCGGGACAGGCACCCGGCGCTGCCCGCACGCCGTCACCAGGGTGGCGGTGCGGCCCCGGAGCTCCAGGGCGAGGTGATGCCAGCGCCCGTCGTGCATGTCGAGGTCGAAGGCCACAGAGCGCCGAGGCCCCAGGTGGAGGACCGTCTTGCCGGGGAGGAACTGCAGGCCCAGCTGCAGCTTGTGCTTCCGGCTGCGGACGGCAAAAAGGAAGGCATGGTTCACCCGGTGGGAGCAGAGGCTCAGCACCAGCGCCAGCTCCGTGCCCAGGGCGGCGGGAATGACGGCAGCCGTCGGGGCCTGGAGCCGGGTCCGCTGCGTAAAGATGAAGCCCGATTGGAACGGAATGACCCCCGGGGGCGGGGGGCTCCGGCCACCCCCTGCCTTTGTCCAGCTGAGGCCCAGCCGCTGGAGGACATCCACATCTGCAGAGGGAGGGCAGAGGGGGAGAGGGGACGGTCAGGGCCTGCTCCCACCCCAGAGCCCTCCGGGTGCACAGCCCACCCCCTGCTCCCTGGGGCCCCGAGCGCGGCCGGGAGCGCAGACTCGGAGCCAATCCCCTGTCTGGCTGAACGACCCCGAACGTCCTCATTATAGGCACAGACCCCGCAGCCAGACTTCCCCAGCTGACTTGTGACTTCAGTGCCTCGGTTTCCTCATCTATTAAGTGGGATAACAGGAGTCCCAAACTCACAAGGCTGTCGCGAGGAGTCGATGAGCTAACACGCTTGAAAACAAGTGCCCAGGGGATCCCTGGGTGGCGCAGCGGTTTGGCGCCTGCCTTTGGCCCAGGGCGCGATCCTGGAGACCCAGGATCGAATCCCACATCGGGCTCCCGGTGCATGGAGCCTGCTTCTCCCTCTGCCTGTGTCTCTGCCTCTCTCTCTCTCTCTCTTTGTGACTATCATAAATAAATAAAAAAATTTAAAAAAAAAATCCTTTCAAAAAAAAAGAAAAAGAAAAAGAAAACAAGTGCCTGGCACCAGTTAAGCCTTTTTAAATGATAGCCGCTCATACCCAAAAGAATGACCGTCACCAGATGCTGGCACGGAGTATGCAGGCCGCCCAACATGACATGTGTCCCCCTTCTCTCTGTCTCAAAGGCCATCGCCTCCAGGAAGCAGCCCCACGACTGAGGGAGCAGGGTGACAGGAGCAGACGGGTCACAGGAGCTCGGTAAGGACACCCAGTGGGCCTGACTGGTTTCACCACCCTTGGGACCCTCCCCAGCCCCTAGGTCTCTCTGTGGCCAGAGCAGACCAGGGAGGCTGCTATCTGCACGGAAGAGGACAAGTCCAATGACTCTCCCTCTCCCCATGTGGCTCCAGACAGAACAGAGGAAACAATCGAGGCATCCCTGCAACCTCTGTCTTCTGGCGAGGCGTTTGGACATCCACTGCGGCCTGGCCAGGTCACATCCGCCCAGTAATTACATCCATGGGGCTTGCCAGAGCCGAAGGAGGGCTTCCAGGGTGTTTATGGAAAGGCTTCCCGACCTTGCCTCTCGCCGGGTCATCCGACTCCTTCAGCGGGCCGAGCTGCCAGTGTCTGCAGAAGCCAGCTCCGGAGCCCCGACCCGAGATGGAGAGGCTGCCTCTGGAACTGGGGTCCGGCTGGGCTCCTCAGCTCCCCACCCCCACCTCCAAGCTCAGCACCTAGGCTCCGAGCATGCCACGTGGGGTGTACATCAGGCCGCATGTGGCACTTAGCACTTAGCACTCAGCCCTCCTCAGTGAGACGGATGGGCAGACGGATGGGCTGGGAGAAAATGAGCACCGTAGAAGGCTCTGGAGTCACATGGCCAGACGTTAGAGCCAGACAAAGCCACCTATGGGTCTGCACTCTGGGCCCCAGTTCCCTCCACAGTAGAACGAGGCAGCCAAGACTGCCTACACCATGGGGCTTGCTGGCCCTCCTCATCATCCTCCCCCAGACACCTCTGGGCAAGTCTCTTCCTGACCCCTGGGCCTCAGTTTCCCTGCCTGTAAGACAAAGGAAACCAGACCTTCAAGGCAACCACCAAGGGCTAACGATGTTCTACAAAGCCTGGAGTTGCAGGCTGCTTTTTCGGGCTGGTTTGGCTTAAAGACCCGTCTTCCTGCCTGGGATCTGCAGGCCTTCCATTCACTCCAAATCCCTCCTTTCTCCCACTTCCAGCCCCCAGAGGACTCCAGGCCTGTACTAAGTGTCCCCGCACACTGCGGCCTACGGCAGCTTGCACTCGTCGGGGGTAAATGCCAGCTGGCCAGGCCAGACACCACCGATGAGGCTTCCCTGACCGTCCTCTCCAAAGCTGATACCAACCAGTCTCCAGGCCTAGCCCAGAGACGGTCTGCAGGTCAGGGGCAAGCCCCAAACTCTGACACCTGGAGCTGGCGGTCATCTTATGGTGGCCTCTGACCACTGTGAGCCCTGCAGGGGATGGAGAAGCATGTTCTTGCCCAAGTGCTCAGGTGAGTAATATCATTAACGACAAAAATAAACACTAGTATGTACTGAGCACGTACTACGTGCCGCGGGCTTGATGCGTACTCTCTCGCTTGATTCTCTCAATCATCTACAAAGAAGATACTGCTTGTGATCCCCCCCTTTACAGAAGAGGGTCAGTTCGCCATAGTAACTGACCCAAGGTCACGCAGCCTATAATAAAAGGCACAGCCGGGACCTGCACCCAGGCCGCCTGGCTCCAGGGTCTCTGTTCTTAACAGTACGTGGTCCTCAGCTGGAGCCCCTCAGACTAATTGGAAAGCGGGGTGGAGACACATCCAGAATCCAGGGGCGAGGATCTAGGGGACAGAGGAATGAACGCAGCCCAGCGCCAAGCTGGAAGGACCCTGCCAGCTGGCTGCAGCAAGATCCCTTTATTACATAAACCTGGCTCCGTGCAGCTCCGGCCTCTCCCCAACACCCCCCGCCCCCCATTGCCTGACTCAGGACTCTGGACAGCTGTTCACCTACTTTGTGGGGGAAACAGCAAGCTCGGAAAATATGACATTTGCACATAATGTTGCCGGGCAGCAGGAGTCTCTTCCGGGCATGGCCCTCCCCTCCCGGGGACCCAATCCCTGCCGGCGGCCAGGTCAGGCCACAGGGGCTCTGGGAGTGCCCGGCTGCCTGCCCCGGCACATGGGCGAGCGTGGAGGAGGGGAGGGGACGCTATTTTAGGAGGCCTTGTGGCCGCTTGACAAACAGATGTGGGAGAGGTTTCAGTTTCGCGGGGCAGCTGTGCAGCCAGCCCACCGCTCGGCCCCCTGGCTGGCTCCTTGGGGATGGCGGGGAAGAGCACGATCTCACGGGAAGGGGAGGGAGCTGGAGCTTTTGTGGCTCCTCTCAACACATGTGGGCATAACCACTGGACAAGTCGGGGCTGAGGCTTGCCCAACCAACGTGATTTCTTCCAATTCTACCCCGGCGCCTCTCCACCAGTGGGAAGGGAGGGATCACCCCCCCCCCCATTCCTGCACGGAGCCCTCCCTGCCCCTTACAAAACTTCAAATGTGATTCTTCCCAGCCTGGAGAGGAGTTTGCCAATGATGGGCTCCCAGTTTACTGATAGGGAAACTGAGGCACTGAGTTCCAATGAGGGGCATGGCTGTCTCCTAGCCCTGAGTTCTCAGGTCTCTTCTGCCCTTCCTTGTCCCTCCCCTCCCCTCCAGCCCTCTCACCACCCCCCCACACACACCCCCCCTGCACAAAGAGAAGAGAGGATTACCTTCAGGAGCTCCTTGGGTGGAGGCCAGGTGACAGGCAAATGAGACTAAGATCCAGGTGAAGAGAAACCCCCTGGAGACGGGAAGACACAAGCAGAGGCAGCATCAGCTTCCACACTGGGGCCCAGATCTGGCTTCGGAGCTGGGAGGGAATCACCCAGCCCCAGTACCCCCACCCCCCAGGCCAGCCCAGCTCGCCCACAGGAGGCGGACGCGAGGTGCAGGCTCTAGGACCCCACAGGGTAGCCCACGCTCCCGGGTTTCCAGGCACAACCTCGTGCACAGGTACAACCTTGCTTTTCCCAGATCAATAAGCCAAGGTCACAGGGCAGGAAACAGTGGGCGGGAAGCCCTGCCCCGGGCGTCAGGAGACCGGGGGTCCAGCTTCACATCTGCCGCTCTGGGCAGCGAGGGGAGCCCCTGCCCATCTCTGGGCCTCCGTCTCCCCATCTGTACTATGGCCTCACGATCCTGAACCCCAAAGGGGGCAGAGCCAGGTCTGAAAGTTCCACGGGAAGATCAGACCGGGCACCTGGACGACTGACATCCTCAAAGGACAAAAGCGACGAGGTCTCCCTCCCTAGACATATTTAGGGACATTAGACCGGGACCAGCGTGCGCTGAGGAAGCCGCCTCCCTGGCTTCGTGCTGGCTTCGTGCTGGCTTCGTGCTGGTGGCAAAAGGGAGGAAAGGAAAGGAAACAGAGCACACGAGGGGGCGACGGGTGGCGGTGTCCGGCCGACAGACCCCGCTCCTACCAGCCGTGCGACCCCGCAGGAGCCACCCAGCCTCCCTGAGCTGCCTCGGGCTCCGCAGCGCGGCCCGCACGCCCCGTCTCAGGCCGGCGTGAGGATGCGCTCCGGCGCGTCAGGGCCTCGGCCGGGTGCCAGCGGGCAGCGCTCCGCACGCAGCCACCACCGCCCCGAGCCCCAGGGCCCGCAAGGGTTAACGCTCTGCCCGTGCCTCCTGCCAAGATGGGCAGAGGCAGCGATCCGATTTCACCTTCCTGTGGGAGCAGCCACCGGCGACACCCGAAGCCACCCGGGGCATCGGATCCCCCGCGGGCAGAGGGGAGGGCGGCACGTGGCCAAAGCTGGGGGCAGGGACGCGGGCGGGGGGTGCGGGCTGAGGCTGGGGCACACAGGCCCAGGATCCCGTTGCAAGAGGAAAGCTAGGACGGTGCACTCCTGGGGAATCACGTAATCCAGGAAACTCGACTGCCCGATCCACGGCTGGCGCCCCGCGATCTTCCCAGCTCCCCGGCGCCCTGGGAAACCAGCTCACGCCCTCTGATTCCATAGCGATTGCTCTAATTTAATCGCGGCTGTGATCAAGAGCAGTCCTGACTGGGCACCGTGGGAGACGCTGGGGGTCACCCAGCCACCGCCTTCCCTCCCGCCCCCCCCCCCCCCCCGCACTCTTCTCGTCCAGGGAGCCGTGGACCTGGGAGGATCCTGGATGAATCTGGGTAAGTCTAAGAGAATGGTTGGATGCGGGGGAGGTAGGCATGCAGGTGTGACCCTAACTCCAAACACGGCCAGTACGATGTGATGGATGCCTCTTCTTCGGGCCCCTGGGAAAGTGTTTCAAAGGGACAGAGAGAAGGTTTTCTTCTAGCCTTTGTAGGCTACTGAGCAGGGATATGCGGCTGCTGCTGCAGCCATTTTGTGCCCATGAGGTTAACGGGCCCCACGAGCACGTGAGGAGGACGGAATGGAAAAACAGTGGATGCTGGATGACCCCTGAAGACTGAACTAAACCCCCTATCACTGCTTTTCCTCTGGGCCCCTTGATATGGGAGCTCAGAACTCCCTTTCTTTGAGCCCTGTCCAACTGCATCTTCAGCAAACGAGCAGCAATAGCGCTCAGATGCTGACGGTGGGGCCTTGAAAGCCTTCTCCAGCGCCTGGCCCTTTGCACATGCTGCTCCCAAGTGCTCCAGACAGCACTCTTCTGCCCGGCCAGGGCCCCCGCACATGCATTAGCTTCCAGCCTGAGAGTCGCCTCCCACAGCCCCACTGCGTGCACCTCACCACAGTGGGTATCCCACGTGTGCTCATCGCCTAGTCTCCCATTTCCCTCTCTTGAACACATCCCTGAAAGGTAGGAACCACATCTTTGTTCACTTTTGCACCCCCAGCACCTGGCATGCGTGTTGCAAACGTGCAGGGTATCTTTGTAGAAGAAACCCACGGTACCTGGTAGCGCAGGACCCTGGACTTGAAAAGCCTCTCCCCAAGGGCCTCCCTACTTTGACTTGTCCCAGGGTGGTTCCTGGATAATCCTCAATTCCCCCTCCTCCTCTCCAACCTACTGCCAGGGCTGTGGACATGCCTTCTTCACGGGGCCAGTCCTCCCTGCCTCCATGGGCCTCGCCTCCAGCACACTGTGAGCCGTGGCTAAAGCTCAGAGCTCCCCGCTGTCCCGCTGTTACCCGAGGAGGAGAGCAGAGGCTGACCCTTCTGGCATGACCTGCCCCACTGGAAGCCCACAGCAGCCTCATCAGCCCTGAGAAGAAATGACAGGAGGCTTTGTGTGATGTGACAAAAACTGAGGCTTAGGGAGGGCAGGTACCTCCTCAAGGTCACCCTAGGGAGGCTCTGGGGTCATAATTCTTCAGGACTCTTTCCCATGTGCACCAGGTACGCCCTCCAGGAAACCGGAGCCAGAGCCGCCAAGGGAAGAGCTGCCTCCCAGGCCTGGCGATTCCCAGAGCACAACTGAACAACTAACGGTGCACAAAAGCTCTGAGAAGTCCTGCAATGAAGACAGCGACAGTGTTTTCTGTCCACCAGCCATCCCCAGACCTAGAGGACCAGTGAGCTCATTTTTCCTGAGAGCGCTTCCTCGGAAGAGACGGGCCCTCACTTCCTAGGGTTCCAACGACCTCAATCCGGTGCCATTTCCTTCCATCCTCTCTTCCCAGCCCCTTCCTGGCACGAGCCGAGCCCTCACACCTTGCACATCCCACAGTGTGATGTCACAAGCACCCTGCCTAGGACGCTTCCCAAGCTGATAAAGAGAGGCTGGATGGAGGAGAGAAGGTGCAAGAACCGTACACGTCCTTAGTCGATTTTTCTGGCTGCGGTTCTTCCAAGGCGACCACTCCGGAGAGAACAAGGATACACTTGGGGGGGGGGGGGCGGCATATTTTTTAAGCCCTGAAGGTCAGGAGAAAAAAAGACTCACAGGAGCCATGGGCTCAGACTCTTCTTCAACGAAGCTGCCCAACACCATGGTTTCCAACTCAAGAATGTCAGCCCCGAAGGCCTGTTACAGAAGTATCGGCCCTTCTCCACCCGTTCACCTGGGCAAATGCAACCGACCTCTCAGACCTGAATTCCGTGTGCACACGACTCACGCGCCGCCAAAGTCAAGAGTGGCAACACGCGGCGGGAGAAGGTCCTCCGAGATCATCTGGAGGCCAGATTTGAGGCCCATCTCCTGGCTGTGGAGGCCCAGAGAGGGGACGTGATCTGCCGAAAGCCACACAGCACGGCAGTGGCCCGCGTCATCTGACTCCACTACTCAGCAGACGGTCCCTTCCGCTCGACTCGTCTCTCATGGAGAAGAAACTGGAGACTCACAGGGACTTCCTATATTTGCCAGAGACCAGAGTCCGGCCTTTACCAACAGGAACAGAGATGCAGCCCAGAGAGAGCCAACAAGCCATCTAAGTAAGCTCCAGGCCTGGAAAGTTGGCTCCCGGAGGGAGGCCCTGCCGATTCTTTTGCTCCCGTTCCAACGCTGTTTAGGCTACTGCTAATAATGTTTAGTGCCTGCACTGGCTCAGAGCTTTGTTCTTCCTGACTTCTGTTTTCACCACTGACTCGTGGGCCTTGGCTCGGTGAACCCGGGGTTGCAGGATGTCGGGAAGACCACAGCCCAGGGGCCAGAGTGGACAGGAGGCAGTTGAAATGGCAGCTACGCGTTAGGGGACCCGACCTTGGGGACACAGCCTGGCCGCACAGCCCTCCAGGAGGAGAACTCAGTGTTCCCACCCCTGCAAAAGGCTCTCTGCCGGCACACCAAGGGTGGCTACTCCGGGACCCCCAGGGCTGCCGGAACCTACAGCTGCTGTGCTTGGTTTTTCCTCCATCCTTGTAACCTGGGAACACACGGGATCTTAAGAGACCCCTACCAACTTGATCATCCACCAAGAGCTCAGAGCTGAGACTCGGGGCACACAAAACACACACACACACACACACACACACACAAGGAAAGCAGCCCTGTGGACTCACAGGCTTGGCCGTGCGCTCACAGGATAAGCCGAGCGGGCACCTGGCCCGAGGACCGCAGAACAGCAAACGGGGACAGACCTGTCCCACTTGCCTCCACGGATCGGCCAGGCAACCGTGTGCCCAGACAGCCACACCCAGGCTCCTCTCTTCACACCTGATACCCCTCTTCCATGGGAACACAGACAGGTCATCTGTCTGGACAGGACGCGGCCCAGAATTTTCCAGTTGACTCACACATCCATTCAAGAAGAAGTGAATAATAATATAAATCACAGTGGCCGTTTATTGAGCACTTACTACATGCCAGGCACTATTCTAAGCTCTTTACGAGCAAGGTCCCGCATGAATCCTCACTAAACCTTGCCAGCCGAGAACTAGAAGAGAAGCATAGCGGCAAGGGGCATGCCCAAGCTCGCGCGGCAGTGGGGATTCACGCCGTCCGATCGCAGTGCTCCCTGAGCCCTGCAACCTGCCCACTGGTGTGAGCCTGTGAGTGTCCTCCACCAGAGGTGGTCGGTCCACCACGATGGATACGGCACTCCGGCGCACCAGGCTGCGTCGTGGGGTATCAAGAGGGTCCCTGAACACAGGTGTCAGGGGGTGAGAATATGCCACCAGAGTAACAGGCAAAGTGTGCTCAGAGACAGACAGGGAGCGGGTTACATGGGGAGGGCAGCCACCCGCCCAGTGCACCCCACCAGGGGAGCTGATGACTGTCCAGGTGAGGGAGACCTGAGTGACAGCAGGGCATGTGAAAGCACCAGGAAGGGAGGTGCTTCAAGTACAAGGAGGAAAGGGAAAGAGAGAAGAGGCCAGGGATGTGCTCCGTGGTGTCACGGAACCCGGTCTGGGAGAGGCAGAGAAGAGCGAGGCCGGAAGGCAGGCCAGAAGCAGAGGGCATGGGGTCCGGGGGGTCTGGGGGGTTTGGGGCGCTGCTGGGGTGAGGGAGGCAGCGAGACAGGGCAAAGCAGAGGCCGGGCCTCCATGCAGCTTGACTGCCCATTTGCCCAGAGCTTGGGCCCCCCTATGGGGTGCTCGCCTGGCACCACTTTTCTGTCCAACCGCTGGCATCTGCCTTGGCACAGGGTCTTCTGGAGAAAGTGAGTCAGCAGTGTACTTAGTGGTGCTGTGTGTGTGTGTGTGTGTGTGTGTGTGTGTTGTGGTGGTGGAGGGGGGGTGGTGAATCTCAGCCAGCCAGCTTTTTCCAAGACATGGGAAGGGGGGGGAGCATCATCCCCCTGATTCCAGCTCAGAGGGGGCAGGGCATCGGGGGGCGGAGCCACCGCCCTGACCAGCCTCTTGGGAATGTCCTGGGATTCTGGGGGCAGGCTAGCCGGGGAGCAAGTTCTGTGCTGCTGGGGCAGCAGCAGCGAGCATGAGCCACAGCGCCTAGGGCCCCAGGGCTGCTCCCATCCTTGCTCGCTCCCACACCCCCACCCTCAGTGCCTCGCTCCTGCACTCGCTCGCCCTTTACAACCAGCTCCCGCTCCCGGGTCCCAGCTGGGCCACGCTCCCTCCTTGGGCATTCCCTGCCGCTCCCGCCCCGCCCCTGCCTCTGTGCAGTGCCTGGGGATCTTCGGGCCCTTCCACTCGGACACGCCGGCTCTCGCGTGGTCTCTCTCACACGCGCAAAATGACAGGCGCCGAGACACCCCCCCCCCGCCCGCCCCGGCCCGGCCCGGCCCCGGGCGACGCGGGGACACACGGAGGCGCACAGACCCAGGCGGACGCCCGCGCGCCGAGGCTCCCCGCGCCGAGGCTCCCCGGAGCAGGGGACGTGCAGAGCCACACAGACGCGGGCACCGGGCAGCAGCCGAAGCCCGGGACCTGGAGGCAGCGGAGAGTCGCACGGACGCACTTCCAAGCCGGGACCCGTGGGCACCGGCCTCGGGACGCGCAGCCCCCGCGTGCCCGAGCATCCCCGGGGCGCCCCCCGCCCCCACGCCCGGCCGCGACCCCGGGGCTCGGCCCCCGCCCCGCGCGATCGCGGAGTCCGGCCAGCGGGGCAGGGCAGGCAGCTCGCCGGGCCCCCTCAGGGGGGCGCAGGGGGCGCAGGGGGCGCAGGGGGCGCAGGAAGCCGGGGAGGGCGCGCCCCCGAGCTCGTACTCACCCCCCGCGCGCCGCCGCCGCCGCCGCCGCCGCCGCCGCCGCCGCCGTGCCTCGGGCCCCCCGCGCCGCTCCCGCTCCCATGGCGGGCCCCTACTTCATGCTCCCGAGCCCGGGGGGCAAGTGTGGGCGCGCCCCATGGGGCCGCCGGCCCCCCGCCCCGCCGCGCCAGGCCGGCTCACAGCGCGCGGCCCCCGCGCCCCCCGCGCAGCCCCGCGCCCAGGGGCGCCCCAGCGGGCAGGCGGCGCGGCCGGGGCCCCGCGGGCGCCCGCGCCAGGCCCATGGTCCCAGGAGTCCGGCGCCGCGCTCGCCCCTGCCTCTCGCTCTCGTCCTGCTGCCACCGAAAAGGAAGGAGAAGCGGCGAGAAGCGGCGAGACGACCCAACTTTTGGAGGCGGGCTGCTGGGGCCCCCGGAGGCCGAGCGAGGCGGGCGAGGGAGCGCGCAGGGCGGTGGAAGCGGCCTCCCCGCCGGCCTGGGGGAGGAGAGGAAAAGGAAGGATTTGGGGGAAATGAAGGCGATTTAAAGTCTCGGCCCGCGGCGGCTCTCCACCTTCTCTCCTCCCCGCGCCCGGCCGCGCTCCGCTGCCCCACGCTGCCCCCTGCCGGCCGCGGCCGCGCGCACAGCCCCGGCCGGCCCCCCGCGGCCCCGCGGAGACACCCCGCCCCCACCCCAGGGCGCGCGGGGAAACCGAGATTCACCGGGAGGAAGGAGGCGGCCGAAGCGGCACCGCAGGGCCACCGCGGCCCGGAGACGTGGGACTCCTGGCTTGCGAGATGGGGGAGGGGCCCCCAAGCTGGGGGCCCAGATGGCGGGGGAAAGGGGACACATGCTACGGGGAGAGGAACCCCGTTCCCGGGCCAGATCCAGGACCAGCACCCAGTGTCTAGACTCCCACGCCAGCGACGACCAGTGTCCCACCACCCATACACACACACACACACACACACACACACACACACACGCGCGCGCGCGCGCACGGCCCTGCTCCCAGGTCAGAGCGCCCCCCCCACCCCCACCCCCACCCCCGCGCAGAACAGACTTCCCTGGGCACCCAGTGGCTGGGCTTGCTGAGTGTTGGTCACACTGTCCCCTTCTCTGTCCGCTCGGTAAGAGTCGGGAGCTCAACGCCCCCCACCCGCACGCCCACCCACACACCCTCGGGAGCCCACCAAGACCCCCTGCGGTCCCCCGCGGGGGCGCGCCACTGCACACCTTGACCCAGGCGCCAGCGCCCAGCAAGTTCGCACAACCACAACCCCAGTCCCAGCCCGGGCCCTAGAAGGCACCGCCACCTCCACCTCCGTCCACCTCCACCTCCACCTCCACCTCCACCTCCACCTCCACCTCCACCTCCACCTCCACCTCCACCTTCACGATTTGCTCGCCGGTGCATACACACTCCCACGCACATCCACGCTTACCCCAAACTCAGACGCACGCTCACACCCACTCACATGCAAGCTCGGCCACGCAACTCCTCCTGGACGCACACAAACACACCCTGGGCTTCCCGGACCCCGACGCAGCCCGGACTCCACACACGCAGCTGCGTGCACACTCGTACTTACACGCACACAAAAGCACACGAGCCTGTCCACACAGCCCCCCACCGCGCACACCCGCACACACACCCCAAGTGCACACGAGCGCGCGCGCGCACCCCCCACTTGCACGCGGCTGTCCGCTAGTGCCCACCGCGAGCGTGCACACACGCACCCACTCCCCCCACGTGCACCCCCATCCCCGGACGCGCGAGACTTGACGCGCACGCCCCGCTACCCCCAGAGCTCCAGGAGCCCCGGGCACTTACTGGGTCCCTAGCTGCGAGGCTGGACGGTCGGTCCTTCCTCGGGCGCCTAACGGCATTTGTATTCATGGGTCCCCGCAGCCCCGGGCGCGGGCGCGGGGGCGGGGGTGCGGGGTCCCCTTCCCTAAACGGGGCGCGGGCGCTCGGAGCGCAGCGGCACCGGGAGGGGCATGGGCGCGCGGGGCTGCGCCGCCGGCCCGGTCCGCCTGCGCTCGGGCTTGGTCCGCTCTGCGTCCTCGGGCTCCGGCGCGGGCTCCGGGCGCGGGGGGCGGCTCATAGGTGCTGGGGCCGCGGCGCCCGCCGGGCCTTTTGAAGTCTCCGCTGGGGGCGGGGAGGGGGCGCTGAAGGCGGCCTTTTAAACCGCGGCTGCACGCGGGCTCGGTGGAGCAAGGTGTCTGGTTTCAGCAAACTTTAGGAAAAGTCCCAAGCGGAGGGCGGGGGGGGGGGGGGGGGGGGCGGGCAGGGGCGGGGGGAGCCGAGCAAGAAAGAAGCAGCAGCGGCCTAGCTCCGCGCGGCTTCCTGCAGGGGGCAGAGCACCCAAGGCGGCCAGGAGGGCGGCCCAGGCCGGTGGGGGGGGGAACCCGCGGATGGCTGGGAGGCGGCGGGACCCCCACTCCCGCACCCCCACGTGGAACTGGAGTCCTTAACCTCCAGGGGGTGCGGGAACACCCCAAAGCTGCCCAGAGCATTCTTCTGGGTGAGAGGGGCCACAGCCCTGGAGGGTCGAGGGCTCCCAGTTCAGTCCCAGCTGGCGGCCTCCCGAGCTGCATACCCTGTGCTAGGCGGATCCGTCCTTACTGACATTTTTTGATAAGTTGTTCACCGTGGATTTTTTTTTTTGGCATCAGTTTTGACATTTTAAAAGTATTGCATTAAAATATTATGTATCTTGGCAACGTACGGGTGTTTGGGCACCCCCTTAATTCTAAAACTCCACTACCGAGGGTTGTTTGGGGTCCCCTAGCGTTTTGCATCCTTACTCACCTCACTCAAGCCAGGTGCAGCACTGTGCTGAGTGTCACCATTTCCGGCAGGCCTGCCATCCGCATTTGCAGATGAGAAAGCTGAGATTCTGAAAGATTGAGTAACCTTCCAGAGATCTCCGAGCTGGTAGGTGGTGGAGGTAGGTAGGATTGGAAGCCAGGTAGTCTTGATGCCTGTCTTCTGCAGCTGAGCGTAATGATCCAAATGTTAGCCTTTAAGGGATTCTGAGTGGACCCTTGTCAACCTCCCCAGCTTCTTGGTCGGCCCCAAAGCACGAGTCTCTCCGATGCCCGACCCGGGCTCAGGGCAGAGCTGGGCTACTTCAAGGCTTTCTGGGTGCTGCTCATCCTCCAGGTCCCCCCCACCACCACCATCACCACACCCCCCTTTGCCGCCTGTCCTTCCAGCTCAAGCTCTGCCCCACACCCAAGTTATAGCACACATCACATGGTGTTGTCATTGTCAGATCCATCTCTGTGTCCCCACACTCAGCATGGAGCCAGGGACACAATAGAGGCTCAAACCATTAATAATTTAAATGAGTTTCTTTCACTCCTACAGTGTGCAAACCCCTGTCCAAAACCGAGGGAAGAGAGTCTGCCATGAGGAGAGCCTTGCACATGGTCCTGCTTTCCGGGCACACCCACACTTGTGTCGTGGACAGAAGGACAGAAGGCAGGCTCGGTAGCTCAGGGCAAGGAGGAGAGCTGCACGGGAGACGTCAGATGCCGCTGCGCAACCACATGAAGGTAACACAAGGAGAATGTGATAAATGCTACCGATGAATTGAATTGTCAAGCAGAACTAAGGGATGGAGAGCAAGCAGAGAATGCTCCCAGGAGGAGGTGGCCTTTGGCTTCTGAAGGGTGTGTTGAATTATCATGGAGCCATGGGGGCAAGACAATTCAATTGCAAGAGTCACCAAAAGGCCAGGAGTGTGGGAGGGGATCTCAGGCAGGTTTGGAAGGAGGAGTGGGGGGGAGGGGGCATGTGGTGGAGAGGCTATCCAACCCCACCCCCACCCCCTGTATTGTATGGGTGATGCCCCATGACTCACTGGCCACAAAGCCATTTCCAGGCAAGGAGATACATTTCCTCAAAGGTCAGGCAGTGGGTCAGTGTGGCTGAGCACCGAGGCCTTTCCAAATCTCCCTCCCAAATCCCAGTGTGCAATGTTGAGCCCCAGGGCCCCCTGCTCCATGGAGGGCTGCTGAAAAGACCCATGAGAAACCCCTTAGAGCCCATAAAGATGGATGGTATGTTCTTCCAAAGCCTCATTCTCTCCATGTATGAAATGGGTGCATCACACATGACCCTCTGCATGGCCAACGCACAGTGGTTGTTCAACAATAATCCAGTTCGAGAGGCAATTATTGAGGGCTAGCTGTGTTCTGCTAGGTTCGGAGGGAAATGAGACTCAGGGTCTTGCAGGAGCTCCTGGTCAGCTGGGAAGAGAAGTCATGGACACTGATAAGAATTCTTAGGAAGGGACCTTGCTTCCTGCGTCTGTTGCCTCGTCACGCACAGTCTGCCTGCCAGGTAGGTTCCTGACACCACACCAGTGACTGTGCATAAACAGTTCTGATGGAAGTTCAGTCCAGAAGGCACTGAGCCATTGCCATTGCAGAAAAGGGCACTCACCAGCCAGCCAATACTGGGCCATCTCTGTGGGGCCGAAGGCAATGAGCCTAGGAACTGGGCAGACCGCGACTGCCGGGCCCAGGTGACATTTCAGGCATGAGATAGAATAGGAACTCCCGGTCTGGTGGGGGCCCAGGCCCACGTGGTCCACTCCCTGTCCAAGCAGACCAGCCGCAGCCTCGAGACAAGCTATTCACCTGAAAAGCCTTCCCAGTGGACACACAGTAGGTGCTCAATAAACGTTCGTGAATGCATTGCTCGTGGAGTCTTAGCCTGCAGAACGGAGGACTGCACGCTGCCCAGGTAGCAGTCCCCACCGATCTAGCCACCAAGCTCTTTCTGAGGACTCACTGTGTGCCACCCTCTGCTCTCTGCTCTCCAGTGGTCTGGGGAGGAGACCAGCAAGGAGACAGGCGGAAAATGCAGCTCAGAAAGCCTTGCCTCAAGGAGTACTTGCTTCACTGGTCTGCAGAACCAGGAGGAGAACTCAGATCCCAGTTTCCCCAGATGCCCTGTCCTGCTGGGCACAAGCAGGGTGGAGCTATCTTTCGTATTCAGGCCCCACACAGCAGCAGCATAGGATGTGTGCACACAGTGCACGTCTAACAATAGAATCACTTAATTGAAAAAAAATTTTTTTAATTAATTAATTAAAAAAAGAATCATTTAATTGAATTGTTCATTCCCGGTCGCTCAGCCATCGGGAGATGCTGCTGTGTATCAATCCCTGAGCGGGGCTCTGGTCACAGGCAACTGGAAGTTGTGGTCCTCGCTTGTTGCCTCCCTGACACCAGTGTCAAGCACAGTGCCCGGCACATAGGAGGGATTCCCAAAATGCTAAGTGGAAGATGGAATGAAGGAAGGAATGAATGCATGACAGTAAAGTTTGCTGGCTTATGCCTTAGATTAGCTTTCCTGTCACCTGCTTCCTCTCCTGTCTCGTGACCTTTGTCCATCAACAAATATTTGTAGGGCAGGTGCCACGTGCAGACTTGACTTTAGGGGCGCAGATGCGCTAATCGTGCTCTGCCCGACTCATGTCTGGTTTGCCAGCAGCTCAGAGAGAGCATGTCACTGACGGGAATTGAACTGAACCCCAGGCTGGAGGGAGAGGTGGCTTTCAATAGTGTCCCCTCCCCCTGTCACTTCGGGGCCACTCCTAGCTTGGCCCATCTCCCCAGGAGAGGTGGCTGGAGCACAGGCTCGCTGGAGCATACGCCTGTCTCCCAGGGCTTGGGCTCTGCCTGTGGGGCCACATCGCTCTGGCCTGGTGACTGCCAAGACCCCCAAGGCCATCGTTCCACCAAGAGAAATGGCGGCTGAGGCCAGGGAAGGAAGCTGCTGGGCCACCGTCCAGGAGGGTGCATCCTCTGGGCATGTGACCCCACTGTCTGGGCCACTCAGGCCATCACGGGGGCCTTTCTCACCCATTCCTAGTCTGGCTTTATGGTCCCAGGCCTGGGCCAGTGGTGGAGGCCAGTGAGATATCCAAATCCCACCACCTAGCGGTGCTGATACTGACCCACATGTCGGGGCCCCAAAAGAAATTCAAACCTGGAGGAGCCCCTAGGGCTGCCTAGCCTAAATTCCTCCTTTTACAAGTGGGGAAATTGAGGCTGGGAGACAGGATGTGCGACGTTCACAGCATCAAGGGGAGAGCTGGGGTGAGAAGTCAGGCCTCCTACATCGCTGTCTAACCGTAGAGAGTCAAGCCTATCTCCTCCCTCCATCCCTTCAGCCAATCTTGAACCAATCAGACCCGTCTTCCAGATGTGAGAGCCGTGGCGAGTTAAGATCTCTGGACTCTCCCCGAGGATGTGTCTGGAAGCACCGCCTTCACCAAACAGGCTACCAGGGACGGGTTCTGGGCCACCCCTGTAGCTGAGAGTGGAAACAAAGCAGCCGAGGAGCTCAGAGAGCTCTGGGCCTTCGTTCCTGTGACATCCTCTCCCTAGAGGGTCCTTCTTCACTCCGTCCCCCGCCCCCCGATCCCCACAGCTGTATCACAGCCTCCCCCCACTCTTGCCTGGTCCTCAGTATGCCAGGTCCCTTCAGGGTGTATGTCTGCCTTATACACCTACTCAACTGGACCTCCTCAAGGTCATGGCTGGATCTTATCTTTGTAGAACACCCAGGGCCACCTGAGTGCTCACTCCCAGGAGGCCCTCAGCAAGTGTGGGATGGGGAGGGTAAGATGGGAAGCTGGGAGGGTGTGGACCCCCAGGAGGCTCTCAGCAAGTGTGGGATGAATGGGGAGGGGAGAGCGGGAAGATGGGAGGGTGTAAGGCCGAGCTGAGGGCTGCTGGAGCCTCCTCCCAGGGCATCCCCACGACGCGCCAGGCACTGTTGTTCCGCCCTTGCTAGCAGAATTCCACCTCCGTCCGCCATCCGGGCAGCCTCATCCCCCAGTGGACACTGTGTGCTCCCAAGCCTC